CAATCACTTCGAAAAGTCCATTGAACGTTTAACCTTGGGCAGGCATCGGTGGCATCGGGAAAGCCTGATGAAGAAGTGAGGGAAATGACATCTGACCTGGCTAAGGTGATGTCAGATTACACGCAGGCATCTATCCATGCCAAAAAGCACTCCGCCCAGCCAAAGCCAAAGGCCAAGGCTTAGGATGCTGTTGCAAGGGCTAGCTGGAAGAAAGTGGAAATATTCTAGCAACACAAAACATGTTTTTGTTCGAACTCCCTTTTCAGACCTACAGCCATCCAAGTACATCCTCATTTGTCAAACTAGCCCTTTTTCAAAAGCTTGCTGGGGATATGACACACTGAATGAACATTGTGTGCGATCTTGCATGCAGGGAAATCCTTGCAATGCAATTGCAATATTTGGGGATGCCGAGCGGAAAATCACGAGTGCCTCGATTGATTGAGTATTTGCCAGCTTGAGGGTGCAACCCTTGAACGTATTGCCGAATTCATGGTTCTGGGTTGTATATGTGATGCCTCGTGTGCGTGCTGGGCCTGTGGAACCTTCGATCCTGGGACAAGATGCTGCTTTTGCTGAGCATCTTCTCAGCACTCTGGGAAAGGGTGCCTCGAGCCTTGATTGCCATTTGGGGGTATGCAATTATTTACCTGTTTGGCGTTTCGCAAACCCCCCCCCACCAACCATACATTTCAACTTTGTGCCAAATTATTTTCCAAATTGGATTTTTGTTTGAATATATTGGTTGCACCAACTAAGGAGTTGCGCACAGCTGCAGGAAGCAGCGGCTACTATGGTGGAGGAATCGGGCAACACGTGCTCAGAGCTGACCCGGTGTCTTGACATGCAATTGATGCTGTTTGGGGATTTCGACAGGTTTTCCTATTATCGCAACAATAGTTGTTCAGATCGAGAATCATTGTACGCACAAACAATAATGTATGTTTGGTCTTAGCCCAACAGCCCAACCACAGGTGCTTCACAAAACAAAGGCAAATCCAATTGCTGACCATGTGATTCTACACATGATTAACAAGTCCACCATAGCTATGGCCTAATACGGCCGGTTAGACCCTGCTAGGACTTGTGGTGGATCGACATCCCTGTGAAGGACTTGGATAAGCCTGGAACCAGGGCTACCACCACGATGAAGATCCCTATGATCTTCCCGCATGAGCTGTTTCATTACCTTCCTGAAGCTTGGGGGGCCAACAATTATTTAATGTTTTTGTTTTCTGTTCGATTATTCACACGATGGGGTGTGTTTTCTTTGTGCCTGAATGCCGAATATCGATCGAATCTGAGGAGCCCGGCAAGGTGCAGGTGGATCATGAGATCCGGACGTTCTGGCGCCCCTGGCTGCAGTGCATGCCTCATCACGATGCTGCAGGCGCTGGGCGACACAACCCGATCGGACTTTATGGGGATGACGCCAGATGGTCGCTGGCAGGGGCAAAGGTGGTGGCGTTGCTATGTAACCTGGTGTTGTATGACCGATCATGACCTTCGAACGCAAATTAGCTTTTTTTATATTTATTATTGAATAAAAATACTGGTTTTTCATGATATCTATTTTTTGCGGGGTTGGTTGCACCAAGCTGCCATCGTTCGAAATCCTCTTTTTGAGGCCTCGCATGTTTCAAGGCCGGGGATATACTTCGATTCATGAATTCGAATCATCTCGAGCTCGGGGTACGCTTGGATGGGTTGCTCATGATCACTCTTTTCGGGTCTTGGGGATACCTCGGCTCAATTCTACCCTGAAATTTTGTTGGATGGTTTCAACACCCAAATCATGTTCACATTTTGGGGTTGGGCAAACCCATATATGGACCGTGTTTCTAGTGCAGCTTTTGGGGGCTAGGGAAACCTTGAAGGCCAACGCTCATATTAGAATACTTGTTTGGGGCATGGTTCCAAAATTTAAACCCAAAATCAGGTTTTCGTGCTTAGGGCAAACCCGTGAACGTGTTTCTAGTGCAACTTTTCTGGGCTGGGGAAACCTTAAAAGCCAACCCTCAAATTTGAATCTTTGGGGGATTGTTTAATTATAATGGCTCATATTTGGGGTTGGGCAAACCCGGGAATGTGTTTAGTGCAACTTTTGGGGCTGATGAAACAACATTGTGTATTGGGGGATGGTTTAAAACCCCCGAATCACGTTTTACATTTTGGGGTTGAGCAAACCCTGTGCAGGAGTTTCTTGCATGTGTACTGGAATCTACAACTTGCAGGAGGAGATATGTTGGGGCTTGAAACTAGGATTGTGTCCGACCATTGAGGTGATAGAAGCTACACTGAACAAGTGTGGGAATTCCACTGTTCCCCCAAGAATTGCACCGAGCGTTTAAATACAGCATGGTATACCGCTGTTAAACAAACATGCACTGCAGGCCCCTATGCACCTACCGAGTGCCGGGGGGACTGGAAGTGGCACAAGGAGTCGTGGGACCTTCGTTACTGGTACCGGTACAATGCCGGCATCTGCTTCAAGTGCACTTGCACAATGAGGGGGGCCACCGCGCACCTTGCTTGTCAACATCATTCGATTTTTGTCTATTATCATGAGATCAAGGTGCCAAGCTCCGATTTTAATGTTGCACACTATAATAGCTATGGCTATAAATTCGCCCGGCCGGTCGCCCCTTCGCGTCGCTCCTTGTGAGGTACTCGCACGCGGAGCGCATTGGCACCATGCCTCGGCTGACGGATGCGCAGTTCTTCCTGAGGGCTCTGAGTCTTGGTGATACACCCTCAAACGTGGTGGGTGACAAATTTGGGAGGTCCCAAAACTCGATCAAGTATAGGGCCCTATATTTGGTAAGAGCCTTCGCCACAATTTGAGGGGGCATATATACATAATGTGCATCACATGTTAACATGACATGTGTGTGTATGTGTATATATATATATATATATGTTATGCTGATAGTTTTAGACAGCCTGGCATAATTTCCTCATTGCATACATCTGGCATGCTACGTACTTGAGGAAAGACTACGTCCACCCAATCAGCATGGTGATTGGATTCCGGCCGCACATGCTGAAGTATTGCTCTACGCATTGTGTAAATCTGGGCATAGCCCAGTGGGCCAATGCATCCTGCATTCTGGCACTGGCTGAGATTAACTGTTTCGGGCAGGGGAGCTTGGCGGTGCAATTGGAAGTGCTGACGGTCAGATTCAAGAAGTGGCGCAGGCTTCACGGCATTCACCACTCGCAGGTTGTCATCACCGTTGGTATGATGCACTTGTCTGACGCCGCCTACCCCGAGCTGACACTGAAGGCCTACAATGGGCGCGTCATGGTCAGCTTTTTGGCCACGTGTTGCCAGGCGGCATGCGCGCAGGGGGCTGATCTGGGTTTGACCACTTCTGCAATGACACATCTGTCCAACTGGTTGCTCCTCATTGAGGGCCTGGGCAGATATTTTGAGCCTGGTGACGCCAACCATGTATACAACCTGGGCATGCAGCCACTTGCTGTCATTCATGTAACATATTGTGTTGGTAACAACTTTATATTGTATACATGTACAAACATGTGCAGGGACTAGTCCCATGAACGTTCTTTATATTTAACTATGCAGACACCACCTTGCAAGGAACTGGTTGAACATGGCTGAACTGTTTTTTTTGAGAGGGGACCGCTGCATGCAGGTGTGCACCCTGGTTCTTGCAGGAGGGTGTAAATATTTCGGATAGCTATAGTTACTTCAAGGACCCATGTTCAATCAACCAGGTCCCCCAGCTGTGCCCTTTTACCCTTTTGGGGTCGAGGGTTCCCCCACACTAAAATAGAGTACAGAAATAAGGTACCCTTATTCTAACCTTTGTACGACCTAGTCAAGCTCAAGGTATGGTATAACCGCACCCAAACCATCAAATTGTTGATCCCAGTTAATGCCTAAAAAAACTGTTCAGGGACTATGGTCATAGGGGTTTCAGCCAGCCAAGGTTCCTCGTCACCTACAAAGCGCTGGCCCGGCTCCACTTGCGGGCGAGCAGCAGGCGATGGCCGTGGAAGCCACGGCATCACGCGCCCGGCTTGATGTGTGTGTGTGCGCGTGCACATGTACCATTTTTTAATGGTTGCCAATTTGGGTCAGGGAATACCACTGTTCGATAAAGTGTGTCATGGTTAACTGCAATCCCGAAACTTGTCCAGGGAAACCATCATTGGTGCCGTTTTTTTGCAATATGGCCGGACCCCTTCAACTGCCCTTTTGATAATACATGATCCTTTTAGTTTTTGTTCAGGCTTTTAAAGTCTGCAACAAGTGTGGGCACCCTTTTCCTATTGACCTATAATGTATGCTAAGGAATTTGTCGAGATTCTGTATGAGGCAAAGTGCTTTCTGGATGAAGATTGTATGGGGGTTGTGAAACAGCTGTGCCGCAGAGTACATCGCATCTTGCCTGATTGGCATCATTTACTTGTGAATTTGGGGTGGTGGTGTATTTCTGTGAAATGTAATTAGTCATTGGTGGCTACCAGCCCTTTTGTCTTTTGAGCTTTTAGTGGTGAATTCATATATTAACCCACATCGGTAATTGAGAATCTGAGAACATCCCATTTCTGTGTACATGTTGTGGCATAACTGCACATTGCAATACCCAGGTCGACTTCTAGAAGTACGTGTGATGGCGAGATGGATGATTAGGCTCATGTGTCAACGGCGGTAGCTGTACAAAGTGCGTGACGGCGGAGCGGGCCAGTTTGTCGAAAAACATGCGCTATCGAATGTGGTCTCCCACAAACCACGGACCCCAAATTTCAACATCGGGTGTGTGGGTGGGGCACGCTGGTTAATGTAGGTCATAGTTACCCACGCCTGAGCCTGAGGGTATGTATGTATGGGTGTATATATATATATAAATATATACACATTATGTCCGAATATATCCAACCGATACACATTACTTCCCTATGTGTCCAACCGATACTTCCCGACGTCTGTCCGAAGGAGCCTCACATTGGCTCCGATTCCCGGTCCGAGCCTGCCAGGTTGGCCATCGCCCGGAGGCCTCACGCGAAAGCGAAGCTGCCTCGCAGCAAAAAACTGCCTGGCGACAAAAAACAAAACTGCCCGGCGACATCCGGTAACTACCCTGAAAAACAAACAATGGGTGACTTGTGTTCTCTTTTTTTGAAAACAAAAGGGTAAACCAAACAAATCGGTGGTGCTCTTTTTGATGCCTTGAAACCACAAAAACGGGCTCCCCACCCTGAAAAAACAACCAAGGGTGACTCGTGATCGTTTTTCTTTTTGGAGTTGGTACCTCCGTTTGGTTTGAAAGGGAAGCCAAAAGGAAAACCGATGCCATTTTGAGGGGTCCAACCTAGAAGAAGACACCCCTGAATAAGCCCAGGTTAGGTGATATCCCAAACACACCTCCCTTTGCACCCTTCCCTTCCGGAACCCTGACCCGGAGCCGCTCCGAACGCGGAGCTTACTTGGGCCTGTCGACCCCCATCCAGTCGGGGAACAAGAAAGCATCACAGAATTCTAGGGCCAATAACCAACTCATGGGTAGTGACTGGGCCTTTTGCTTCGCAACCTGTGTGGGTTTGAGGGTGAAACCAACCTGTGGGTTTGAGGGTGTTGCTCCACCAGGCACCAAAAAAAATGGCCGCGCTGAAAGGGGCCACAGTTGCCTTCTTTTAAGCGGCAGCCATGACGTGTGTTGACATGGATCCCGGAAGAGAAACCACAGAAAGTTTCTCCAAAACCCTCCGAAACGATGGCCATTTTGAGAAACCCCCACAGTAAACAGTTAGACAACACCTCAGCCGCCAGCTCACTTCCTGAGTTGAGTGGCAACGAACAGTCTGAACTTGCTACTTAACACTAAAATGGTCTTCACACAAAGTTTAAAGTCTATGAACTCAGGGGCTGAGTTAGGCACCTCAAGAGCAGCCAAGAGCAAAGTTGCAAGAGAACCTTCTGGTCATCGTTCGGTGAAGGGAGGGTAACCCCGTAAATGGTTTTCACTAGGCCTTCAGTGGCCGACACGAAGCTAGTCCTTGCTTCGACAAGCTGGAAATTGGAGGCTATAAGGGGCTGAGGTGGGATGGTGGTTTGGAGTGTGTTAGGACTCTTCACTGTTGGTGTCTTCAGGTTAGATGCTGTTTGGTTCTGTTCCTGTTTAGTGGGCTGCCAACAAGACAAAAAACATCTATCTTGCGACCGTATAATACCAAGGGCTGCAAAGCTTAATGCTTCAGCCAACATAGCTAGCTTCGCTCCCAGGAGGGGAAATCTTCCAGATGCTATGGGCAGGGTTGCCAGTTCCGAAAGCATAAAAGTAGATTGAAACCACCAAGGGTAGCTCACTTACCACCAAGCCTCATCGACCTTGTGACCTGTTAGTTTGCCCCTTCCGGTCCAGTTTTAGTGGCTCCAAAACGTGATATCACCTTTTAATTCTGCGCTCAGGAGCCCACTTCCATGATTGCTCAAAGGACATTCTACTTCTTAGAAGACCTCCGGTCACCAGAACGGAAAATCGGCTGGTTGTCCAGAACGCTGGCTGAAAAGGATGGGGAAAAGGCAGGCCAACCCCTCGAATTCGAGTAACTCATTCCGCCGGCCGAATGGTCCTTTTCAGCGTGCCTTTTTAGGGCTCACCTCTTTGACCCAGCCCCCAGACACATGGCTGTGGGTCAAAATTAGGTACCCAAAATCGAACCCTGCGGTCCATATCCTGGTGGTTTCATTTTGACCCACACCCAGATGTCGGCCGAAGCAAGTATCATCAAGGCAGCTGCACCCATGCGCCTCACCATCACCTTCGGCACCAATGAAGGGCAAGGCCTGGCACTCAGCAAACAAATTCCGGGGGCTGGAGCTGAGCAGTGTCATTTTGATTTTTGTTCTTTTCCAGTTCTTCCAGCGGCGTGGCGTTGCGCAAGCCAGGTTTGTAGGTAACCCTGCGGGATCTTCCAGTTACCACTAATTATAGTAGGTAACCCTTCGGCATCCTTACCACTAGGTTTTAGATTGATGGTTTCCCCTGGATACCTATAGTGGCTTGCCTGGAAGCACTGGACCAAACAGTGCCAAGCAGCGGCTCAAGTAACCCGAGTAATGTTCCACGCTTGCCATGTGTTGATTCCGAAAGTGGAATGCTACAAAGCCGAACCTAGAGACCCAAAGCTGGGTTGGTTGGATTCCTTTTGTGTTCCCTTAAATAAATAAAAAAGCCACCCACATGTCAACGTGACCGCTGGTTGCATGGTCGCAGCGCCTCATACAATGCCAGCAGCTCGGGCCTCAGGAAGGCGGCTCAGGCGACTCACAAGTTCCATAGGCAATAAACCCCAAGGCAGTATGGATGCAATCACGGGGATAGAGAACAACATGGCCAGCTGCTCACACCATGCGCTGAGAGGCACACGCGACAGACGAAAACTTGGCCGTGTCCGTGTAGAACGTCATCTCAGCGGTTGTGTCACATGGGTGTACGTTTGTGTTGAGGGTAACCCAGGATGAAGTTCCCTGTTGATTCGGGGGGTGTCCCATTTTAGTGGGGATTCAGACCACTTTTGGAGGGAACACCCCCCTAATAATGGGTTGATTAATCCTGGGTCAACATTATAGCGGGGAACCAGCTGTTTTCCTTTCATCCTTTACAGGGTGGTTGCCGTCTTGATAAGCCTGCTACCCTTTTTGGGGTGGGTTTAAAGAGAGACCAATAGGAAGACCACCATTTTGGGTCCAAATCCCTATTTTCACACCACGTGGGGGTGTTCAAGAAGTCTATGGTCAATTGGCTTACTTTCCCTGCACGAGAATGCAATACAACCATATATGAGCCCCCGGTTCATTCATCAACTTATCGCTAATAATACAGCTCTATGGAGAACCAGCCCTCAAAATCGATCAAACGAGCGATGCAATAGTTTCATATATATACATATATATAATATAATATATATAATAATATATATATATATATATATATATACATATGTATATATATATATACACATGGGATTGTCTCAATACTGGGAAACCTCTAGAGTTCTGTTTTCCCTGTCAATTCCCTTTGGACCCAAAGCATATCCAAAGAAAGACACACCCATCTTGCGCAAGGGTGTTCGCGTCGCCTCGGCCTGAGCTCCTGAGCTGAGGAAACCGGCCAAAGCCTTCTGGCCATAGGCGTTGTTCACATCGAAGTCCGTCATGTGAGAATCCGCCACGCCGCCTCCGGAGAAATCCCCATGGGTTGAAAGGAGCGTTGGTGTTGCTGGCTGTTTATTTTTCGTTGTTGGGGGGGTGGGAGGCGCAGTTTGTGTTTTTTTTTTTTTTTTTTTTTTTTTTTTTTTTTTTTTTTTTTCGGGGGGAGGGGTATATTATGAGTTGTGCTGTTGGAGATGAAAAACTCCCTGCGGGTGGGCCTTCTTTTAGGGGGACCCCCTCCCACCCAAAAAACAAAAACAAAAGTGGTTCTCCCGTTCCTTTGAAACCACCAAAAACAGCGGGCGCCCTCAACGAAGGCACAAACACAGCCATGTGTTGCTTACCTAATGACATAGTTGGAAGGGTCTCTCAACTGGGACCTCCCGCTCCCCCAGCTTGCGCCCCTGCAAATGCGGTTTGGCAGTCTCACAAAACTAGTTTAAGATCCAATCTGCTGGGGCAGGGTGGCACAATCCGGTTACAAGGTGTCAAACCGTGAGACCTTTTTCTTCGGTGGCGTGGTTCCATCTGATACAGCTCACGAAGGCCCGAGGGGTGTCAACTCTGCCTCTAGTTGATCACAAAGGCAATGGTTTGGCTGAACCGCCTTGCCTAAAAAAACAACACACACACACACACCAAAAACAACAAAAACAGCCGGGCTTGCCCCTTGTGCAATCAGGCACCGGCTGTTGTAGTGCAACTTGGGTTTTCTTTTTGGTGCTTTGAGAACATCAAGGGACCCGAGCTCACAGGCCTATAAATGGGTCAGGCGCTGGGTGGGGCCAAAGACCTTCTACACATCTGGAAGCTTGCCTGGCTGCTCCGACCAAACCCCGGTCTTTTGTTCCCAGGGCAAAATGGATATCCATTTCCTGCACATTCCTCAAGAGCCAGCCGGTGAAGCATCCAGGGTTCTGTTTGAGGGTCCCATGGTTTGGCGGTTTAGACCCTTACCCCTTAAAACTCCAAGCCCTGGGCAAGTTAATCTTTTACAGACATATAGCCCATGTTACCCCAAAAAGTTGAAAAGTTGTGTTTTTAAGAGGTAAGGACCAGGTTTACAACCGCCGGCGAATCGCTTCATGCTGAGACTTTGGCCCATGGAGGTCATGCGGTCACCCTTGGTGACGGCCCCAAGGAGTTTCATCCGCCTGCGCAATTCGCATTGCGATCTGGTCATTGTCAGTCTAAGAAACCGTCTCTTAGCCAAATACCCCAAAAAACACCAGGGGCTGGGGAAACTCTCCAAACGTGGTCTGATTCCCAACTAAACCCAACTAGGTCCTCCAGTACAGAGGTTAGAATAAGGGTACCTTTTGTTCCTGTAGTAGACAAAACCCTCCCCCAAAAAAGAAACGGTAAAAGGGCACCTAGCTCGGGGACCTAGTTTAAGAAACATCTCCAGGAAATTATCCAGGCATTAGCTAATTACCTAAAAACACCAGGGGTATGGGCGAACTTCCTGGATAATTTCCTGAAGATGGAGTCTTAGAATCATGGTTCTTGGAGGATAGATGCTTGTCTCTAAGATGGCTTCCACCCCACTACCCCAAAAGGCTCAATGCGATACACAGGCACTATATGGCCATGAGAAACGGGTGTATACTTTGTGTCTATTGGGGGCAGTGGTTTGGGGATGGCCGAAAGTGTGTTGGAGCGTGCTGTTGGATGCAAGCTGTTAGGTGTAAGCTGTGAGATGTTGCTGGTAAGGCGGCGTCTGTGGCGAGTAAAGTGTTGGTTGTGGGTGGTTGGATATTAGCCAGAAGCTATATGGTGTGTTTTTGGAAAATGCTAGTGTCTTTCAATGTGGGCTGTTTGATAGCTGCTAGCATGGGGTTGTTGGCTACTGGTTGTCACTTGGTGGAGCTGTCAAATCGGGTTCGATGTTTTTCTGATGGTACGCTGTTTGGTGGAAACAGGTTGGTAAAAAAAAAGAAGAAACACAACTGGCACTTTGGGTGTTTTTCTTGCTGTTTGCTGAGCAGGGCTGGGGGGGTGCGGGAAGGGGGGGGCATATTACCGTCCTCATGAAAGGCTTGCACGCACATGAACACACACACACACACACACATGCCAATGCACACAGGTTGATGCGTGGCCGATGTTGGTTGCAGATGCTGCCAAAAAACGTCTGGAGAGCCACCATGTCCATCCCAGCAAACATGAATTTGCTAGAACACTCTCTTTGACGAGGGCAGCACGCAAACGACCCGCTTGCTTCATAGTGGGGACTCAATGCATAGGCAGATGGTGGCAATCATTGCAAGACGATATGCCAATCCAGCTTCACTTTAATGTGTTATCATATTTTCGAGCAATTGAAATGCAACAATGCACAGCACATTGGGTTTTTGCCCATTTATGCACAAAAACAATGCTGTCCTAATTCTCCCGTTCGCTGCCAAGCATGAGCCAGAGATGACAAATTGCAGAAAGGCCATGGGAAAGCACATGTGACGCAGCTTTCGCCTCCACGTTTTTTGAAAGTCTGTGACCCTTTAGATGTGATTTTAAAGGGAAACCAGAAGGAAACCGTTGCACGATATTTATTCTTTTGGGGGGGGGTCGGCTTCTTAAAAAAACGAGGAGCCACCCAAATCGAGCCACTCCGACATCGCGATGTGTCGGCCTGGCGATGGCGCTGTTGAAGCGCACCTCGCCACCCAACGGCCTCGGCGGATAGAGATCGGAATCGGATCGATCCGTCGGCCGAGGCGTCTCACTCCGGGGGGCAGGTAGTTTTGTGGGCTCAAACAGTTTTGAGCCGTTTTCTTCTTTTGGAGGTCCAAATGAGGGAACTTGAGGGACCAGAAACCCAAGGGAGTACCAACTTCCCAATGGGTGTGGCTCAACAAATGGAATCCCAAAACTGGCGCCCGGGCGGAAACAAACAAACCCCGAGCCCTAGTTCTTTCATTTGGAGCCATAGGTGGGAAGTCGAAGAATTACCAACCCCTCAGACATCGGTCCAAAATTGAAACAGCTTCCTTCCGGCTTTCTTTCGTCACATTGGCTCTCTCGCAGCTAAATGGACTCGACAACTGCTGCTTGAGTCCAGGGTTTCCAAGCCATGTCCCTTTGGTTTGGAACCTCCGAAAGAGGCGATGGTTTCAATTGAAACCACCAGACAGTTGCAACTTTCGAAGGGAAATCCGGTGATCCCGGGTTGACCCCTGGGAAACCCAATAACTGATGGGGGACCCTCCCATCCTTTCCCATGTGACACACAGGGTTAGGACTTCCCAAAGACGCGCCCATGTAAGGGGGAGATTCCCTTTTTGTATCACAGCGGTTGGAACGCCGAGTGATCCACCACAACCCTGCACTTCACATCATTAAACCCCGTGCACCGCGCTGCCTTCGCAGGCTTCAACTTGGCTTCGCCAGTTAAAGGCCATTTCCGATTAGGCCAACTGGGGTCCGGGAAAGAGAACAACATATCCATGAAAGGATAGGGAGGTTTGCTTCAAAGAAAGAAACGTGCTTCACACCTGGAAATCTGGATGAGAGTTGGAATCATTTGCCAGCCTCACAATAGAAATTCATCAGCCTGCATCCTGGCAGCCGTTTGATTTCGGCGTGACATCTCGGCATTTCCGTGGGGGGGACCCTGTTTTTTCCAACCACAAGCCCGTTTTCCGACCTCCATTTTATCTTTATGTTGTCCCAAAACAGTAGTTTGTGGTCAGAAAATGGTGCGGTTGGACACTTAGCTCATCTTGAGGCTTGACGTGCCCAGCTCCCAGCACTTCATGAACTCATGGTTGTTTTGGGCGCACTGCCCCAAGATGAAACTCGGTCCTCCAGTAGAGAGGTTAGACTAAGGGTACCAACTTTTGTCTCTTTTGTCGATTTTAGTGGGGGAACCCTCCCAACCAAAAAAGAAGCGGTAGAGAAGGGCACCTGGCTGGGGGACCTAGACAAAAAGTGGCCCCAGTAGGGTGTGTGATTTTTGCTTGCCTTATTCAGGAGTTCCACCAACGGGTCCTTTAATGGATTTTAATGGCATCAGGAACTACCCTCCTGGCTAACATGGAAGCTTCCAGGAACCCTTAAGACTTGGCTCCATTTACAAACGCTTCTGGGAGCGTCCATGTTGGCTGTTCGTCTGAGAAAGTGTACCCCTGTCCGGTGAGCTTCCGGCGTGGTCAGGACCAAAAACTTGGGCGGCACCAGCTGGTTGGCGCGGTGGACCCGCCCGAAGCACTGGATGGCCTCACCGACGCAACCCACAGCGCAGCGACCGAAGTGGTGGCAAGAGAACGGCTTGGGCGCGTGTGTGTGTGTGTGTGTGTGTGTGTGTGTGTGTGTGTGTGTGTGTGTGTGTGTGTGTGTGTGTGTGTGTGTGTGTGTGTGTGTGTGTGTGTGTGTGTGTGTGTGTGTGTGTGTGTGTGTGTGTGTGTGTGTGTGTGTGCGTGCGTGCGTGCGTGCGTGCGTGCGTGCGTGCGTGCGTGCGTGCGTGCGTGCGTGTGTGTGTGTGTGTGTGTGTGTGACTGTGTGTGTGTGACTGTGTGTGTGTGACTGTGTGTGTGTGACTGTGTGTGTGTGACTGTGTGTGTGTGTGACTGAGTGTGTGTGACTGTGTGTGTGTGTGACTGTGTGTGTGTGACTGTGTGTGTGTGTGACTGTGTGTGTGTGTGTTTTGTGTGTATATCAACATCTCACTTCCTGAGTGGATGGGCCAAGAACAACTTTTGAGTGACTGCAAATCTTCCTATAAAGACTTGAAGTCCATGCACGCAGGAAGTGAGAAACAGGGGAACACCCAAAAGTGGTCTTCCTTTGAACCAAACAAAGGGTGCCCTAAAATGAGACACCCCGACTTGGTCAGAACACGTCACAACGACACAGCTGGTGTCTCATCAAGATGCTTCGTTTCATGGTGGCTTTTGAGACAGGAAAGCAGCCATTTGCCAACTCCGCCAATAAACTTCCAAAAAACAGGCCTGCCATGTCGCGCAGGGGCAATGCCATGTGCGCTACAGCAGTTACTTGCTGTGTGGCTCAATGGCTGGGTGTTCCCACCTCGTTTTCCAACCCTGCACTTGTTTGGACTGATTGACCTCGTTCTCCAAAGCCGCGATATGTCGTGCCATACCTCGTTTTGGGGATTTTCCTACCTCGCTTTGCACCTCATTCAGTATATTACCCCGGACATATTCCGCCCGGAATAGAAACGGTATTCTTCGGTAAAAGCAGTCTCTGTGATCAAACATAATCTTTCGGCGAGTGGGGAGTTTAGACATCCACATGAGCGAAGGGACCCCGTTAGACACAACTTCCACAAATCGCTCGTGTAAGATGGCCATGAATTTGCATGAGGAATACCGTCCCACATGCTGGACACAAATACCCACCTACATGTTAAGTCATGTATAGATACCACTGGACTACCAAATAAGATTTAGACCCATATCTTTTCCACCATAGTCATTTTAGCAGAGAGCTACGATATAGTCATTGCCAAACCCTGGATCCAGTTGGGATTGCTGTGTGGAGGGGAAGCCCACGTTGGGCGCTCCTTCCTTCGGGTAAGCTAAGCTTTGATCAAAGTTGGTTGCAAAACGCGTTTGAGCAACCAGAACCATTGTGTCCCTGGACAGGAAAACCAACAGGAGGTAGTTCAGACACGCTTGGTTTAAACCTTGGCTCAATCCAGGAATTTGCCCATCACTGAGTCCAGGACTAGACATTGCTAGCTGTCCTCAGATCCCTGCTAAAAGTTTAACTTGTCGGTGAAATGGACCCCCCCCACTAAACAAACTAAAATCAACCAAACACCTATAAGGAACCGGACGGCTGGGAACCGCCAAAAAACGAATGCTTCCTTGTGGATGTATGAAAAGGTAGCTTCTCCCATTTAGTGAATTTAGTGGTGACAGTCAAATCTTGTTTGGCGGTTTCTTTTAACCCCTTGTTTTCAGGACCTTTTCAGCACCTTGGGAACCCCCAGGTATCAACTAACCCATCCATCCATCTATCCATCCATCTATCCATCCATCCATCCACCCACCCACCCATCCATCCATCCATCCATCCATCCATCCAGCCCTCCAACTATTCATCCATGGACCTTTTGATCGACCGACCAGAAGGTTTCCTTTTTAGCCCTTGAAAGAAGGTTTTGATCCCGTGATCCTTTTCTGTGACAGTCTCCAGAGCCGTCAAGCCCAATGTCAATTGGTGGTTTTGATTGGTGGTTTGGTGGTTGAGGAGGGGCCGTCCACAAGAACCAGGAGTTCGAATCCCACCAATCCAAACCAGCAATTTAGGGTGCTTCCGGGTTTTGGTCGCATGCTAGAGCCACTGTGGCGCCGTCAACCCCCATGTCTCAAAAGCTCTCCTTGGCTCCGAAAACGGACACGCGCCTTGTCCGCACCCCATGGGAGCTCCAAGGAAATCATCAGCCGTCGCGGCGGCCGGAAGTCACTGGTAACCTGTCGCGCTGGACATGCCCTAATGTTGACCCCGGTTTACTAATATGGGGGTTTATTAATAAGCCCCTGTTTATTCATATGGGGGTGTTCCCCTCCAAAAGTGGTGGCAATTCCCCACTAAAACCGGGGACACCAGGGGTTTATTCATCCGGGGTCAACATTATGCGGAATTATGCGGATGTGACGCCTTTTTGTAGGGTTCGGGGCGTGGTGTACCAGGGAAAAAAGAACACCTAAACCAGGCCGTGCTTGGCAGGCTGGTTGCATGTTTGAGGCTACGAGCTTGGTTTACAAGACAGGGAAACCAAACGGAAACTAAACAAAACCCATCATCAGGGATCCTTACATTATACACCTGAACATTGCCTTGTAAATGGTGGTTTCCCTTCATTTTGGTGGAAAAAGCCATGTTTCAAATGGGCAAAATGTATCTTTTGAGGAGCCCTGATCAGCAAGCCATACTTCACTGGCTGGGGCATGGAAGCCTCCACTTGTTTGCGATGTGTTGGGGCTAAAATAGATCACAAAATCCTGCTCATCTGCGATACGTGCCCAAAACCCAGCCAAATATTGCAAGATCAAGCAACTCAGCCACCAAATTGCGGTAGATTCAGGGTTGCCTTTGTTCCCCTCCTGGCACATGTCTAGAGCATCCACCGTAGCTAGTTCCGGCTGTACTTGGCCCACTTAAATTAGTCCAAACCTACAAGGTGCGAATGATTGCTCAAAAGGACTGATGGGCCTGGAAGGACTTATCAAACTCATCCCAGAACAGTGGACAACCTCGCGGAGAAAAAAAAGAAGAAGAAACAAAAAGGGGCAATTTCTTTTATGTCTCGATCTTCAAGGGGCCCCACCTCCAAAAAAGCAAGAAACTCGGTTGCGAACTCTGCGAAGCCCTGCTGAAAGTGACTAGCTTTTAGTGGTCTACTTCGGAAAACCCATTGGTTGGCAAAAAAAATAGAAGTCCTAACATCCCTTGGCAAAACGCACCAAAGAATAGCATCCAAGAAAGCCACCCTTTAAAACCAACGAACATGGGATCCAAGTACCTGTGGGGGCTGGGATCCAATGGGCCCATAGCTCTGCTGAATCTACCTATTGATGTCAAGTGTCAAGTCGTTTAGCACTAAAGGAGGATTCACCATCTAAAACAAGCCCTGAAATGCGTCACGCCCGGAAAAAAAAAAAAAAAAACTCGGGGCAAACAAAAGGACGCACATGGATGTAGAACACGCATGAGCATGCAGTATATAAACATGTTGAGCAGATACAATGCTAGCCATGCAAGCTCAAGTGACATGTGCTCGATGCATTCAGCAGCCTGACGTCTGTCTGCATGTAGTGAAATGCCAGCACTTGCCACCTCTGTCACCACCTTAGAGCAATGGACGGCGAATGTCTGAAGCCTCTTAGTCTCACTTCCTGAGTGGATTGGTCCAACAAAAGTCCAAACTGTCTGTTTCCCACCAACATACTCAGGAACTGAGTACTTCTCCCCAGTTGCCGGCCATGTCAACCCTGGAATCCGGAGCCCAACAGTCAGAGATGCTCACCATACCCTGGCTTACAGCTCTCATCGGTCCTGTCTTAAAACCAGAGGCCCTCAAAAATATGTGATGCTTCCCTTTTCTTTAACACACACACACAAAAACAGGGTCGCTGCAAAAACAGGCACACCCAAACTGGCTTACAAAAGGTTGCCCGCAGCGCCGGACAATTCCTTACGCCGACGTCCCCGAGCTCGATTTGAGCTCGTCAACTCCCTCCAGTTGCATAAGTCCCCTGGAAGAAATCAAACGATGTCCAGTTGTAGATTCCCTTCGAAACCAGCAGGGAAAACAACACATATTCTTAAGCAAATGCAAGATTCAGGTCATGTTTGGAAAGAATGGGCCATGGAGTAGCGTCGTGTTGGCCCTTCCAACTCCAAAGCAATAGCATGCTCCACCGCAAGCCCAGGTCAAGTCGAAGGTGTTTAAGTCTATCTCCAGGGTAGCTTTTCCCTTTGAACATAACCACGCAAAGTGAACTCACAAATCAAATTGGCCACTCCAAAGGGGTTCGTGTTCAAACCAGCTGACCCACGGTCAAATCGCTCGTGGACATGGGAAACATGGTGGCCCATGTCCCACAGCTGCCATAAACTGCTGCATAGTTAGACCAAACCTCACTTCCAAGGCAAAACAAAGCTGCAACCTGAACCTTCGGTTGCCCTCAAATCCACTGCAAATAAATCTAGAACTTCAGATGCCACAGCGGTCTTGGAAAAGGACAAGCGTGAAAATACGGTTCACCTTTAATTTCACCATATGGCTATGGGTCAAAACCCCGCACCTCCAGTGAGCATCCCAATCCCCACTAAAATAGGTCCTAAAATGGGTGGTGAATTCACCTACCAACCAAAATGGGATCCCAAAACGGCTTTGACAACCACGGCCATATCCCGATCATATCCCCCGTGAAGCTAGGCAGGACTTGGGACCTTTAAAGTCTAGGTCCTCCAGATTTGAGAGCAAAGAATAAGGGTACCAACTTATTTTTCTGTAGTCTGTTTTAGAGGGGGAACCATCCCAACCAAAAAAGAAACGGTAAAAGTTGGCACCAATTGCTGGGCGACGTAGAAGTACCTCATGGAAAGGCAAGAGACAGCTCCATGCCATGGACACATGGACGCTCAGTGAGCTACCGATTCGTCAAAGCAACATATGCTCCTCACACAACACCGGCTGTTTATTCAAAACCAAAGAATCCGAAACAAAGAAAAAACAACTCATGACCGTTTCAAGCTGAAAACAAACAGGCTGAACAAAGCCGGGGTATCTAAAAACAGCCGCTGAAAGTTGCGCCGAAGAACAAAATGGACCCATCGACCCCGAAGCTTTCCGCTGAGAAAAAGCAGGTGGAACTGCCCTCATCTCCTGCAAAGTCTTTTCCAGGCAAACCACGGGCTGCAACCAGGATCCATTGTAAAACCTAGAGGTAAGGATCCCGAAGGGTTGCAAGCCTACTATAGTGGCGAAACGCCAATCGGAAGCACTGGGTGTAAAACGGAATGCCCCCCGCAGTGTTTGACTCATCAAACTCATCCTAGAACAGTGACAACCTCGCGGAAAAAAAAAAGAAAAAGAGAAAAAGGGGGCACTCGTTTTATGTCTCGATCTTCAAGGGGCCCCATCTCCAAAAAGAAAGAAACTCGGTTGCGAAATCTGCGAAGCCCTGCTAAAAGTTGATTTTTCAGTGGTGTAATTCGGAAAACTCATTGGTTGGCAAAAAGTGAAAGTCCTAACATCCGTTGGCAACATGCACCAAAGTTTATGTCTCGATCTTCGATTCCAGGGGCCCCACCTCCAAACAGAAACGAAAGCGAAGGCACCCCGACCCAGCGAGGGCGTTTTTGTCTGAGCTCCTGACGCAGATCTTCTTGGAGCCCTTCTGAAACAGAACCTCAGCGAGTCGACAGGATCAAGCGCCGGCCGGGGTGCCTTGGAGCCGGAGCCAAATCGGTTTGGTTTTTTGGTAGAGAGAAAAACCCCATTTGCCCTCAAGAACCCAGGGGTTCAAATCCAAACCAAACTGGGCTGGCCGTTCTCAGATCACCTGCTGAAGGGTGTTGACTTGATGTGGGCAAATGAAAATCCAACCACTAAAACACCTCTTGTTGTTCCCTCGCGCGCAGCTGCTCGGTTTTGACAAAAGTGACTCGCCATTGTGCCAGGCTTTTGAAAACACCCCTTCTTGACAAAGAGCAAAACAAGCCAAACAAACATAACAACAAAGCGCATGCAAACAAACGCATAAACAAAGCAACCCAGGCAGGAGTTAAACCTCCGTGAATGGCGAGCCTGCATCAAGTCAGCCAGAAGCGACGCCTTACCCATTAGGCAACTGGGTCAGGTGCCCCATTGGGTGCGGCAACAACAAAACAAACACATTCTTCACATTCTTTCGTCGCCAACCAACACCAACAACAAAACCAAACCAACACCAACAACAGCCAACAAACCAACAAACCAACAAGCCAACTGCCAGCCAGCCAAAGCCAACCAACCAACCAGCAAACCAACCAGCCAACCAAACACTTAGAAACCAAAGTTTAACTTGTGGGTGAAATGGAAAACCAACCAATGAACACACTTAAGACAACTCAACGGCTGGGACCCGCCCAGTTTTTAGCATTCTTACGATGGGGTTCCCTTCAGGATCACCTTGCGTGGCTAAACCCATGAAAAGCATCGATACATCACTAAGTGATACAGGCTTTTTGCCATGCACCGCCCTTTCCGGACGAAGCCTTACATAATGTAAAGGCGCGGGGTATTCATACAACCCCACTTAACTTGCTCTTGACTTCTCTGAACTCCCAACGGGCCATTCCCTGCACCTTTGAAGCCATTCGACCATGGTATTGACCAGCCCTTATTTGTGATACATCCTGCTTGAAAGCGCTTGACCTGAAAAGCAAGCGGCTGAACTGGGATTCACCTGTCCAGAATCGGGACTTACGCATCTCTTGACCCTTTTTTCCATGGAAATGTAGCGACATTTTGTTGGACTGTCCTAGGTGTCCCTTTGAACGGAAGTAAGTTAAACGAGCGGGATATGTCTAGTTTCAACCTTTGGCATCACGGAAAGGACTCGTTTCTACAAAATAGACCAGTGCAGCTCACTTCCTGTTGGCCAAAAACAGTACGGGCCGTTTACTTACCGCCGAAATTGGGAGGGGGGGGGGAGGGGCTTCTGAAAATAGGGGTCCGCTAAAATGAGTGGGTCCCTTTTTGTTAACCTACCAACACGCAAGTGGGCCGAATCCCATCCTGAGAACCCCCAAATGGGTGTCCTTCTTTAGGGGACCCCCCAAAATGGTGGTTTGCCTGTTGGTCTCTCTTTGAAGCCACCAAAAAGGGGTACCCCCAAACAAACACCGTGAGGCCTTTGGACCCGTACGACCCATGGCCCCACCCAGCCTGCTCCACCAGATTGGCCCCGTCCGACGGACAGCGAAGCTCCTCCGAAACAGCGGAAGCTTTCGATACGGCGCCCGTCTGCAAACAGCCGGACATCCAAAAAGGGTACCCCATTTTGAGGTACTCCCCCCATCCTGATTCATTGTGCTTATCCTAGCATATCATTTGTTTGGGTTTTCAGACCCAAGCTTTGGGTCAAAGTACCTCATAGAAAATAGTTACAACATCCCGTTGGTACGTCTCAGGTAACCCGAAAAATTGATTGCTTTGTTGAGGAGACATGGGAAACCACCCATTCAGCCCACCAATCGGAGGGAAGCTCATTTGTAGCTACGGGGCTCTCAAAAGTTGGAAGAAAAAACGCGGGGATTCTGGGATAGGACTCCCTTTGACACATGCCATACATGATGCTTGATCAATCGGCCCAAATGACCATGGGAAATATCATCCCATGCTTTCAGGACCTTTTGATCAACCCTCACGTACAATTATTGTCTGTGCTTCCATGAGGGTACCCTTTTCGGCTTGGCTTTGTTTGGGAAGACCAAAAACAAACAACAAAATGACATGTTTTGGGGGATCCCTCTTATCTTGACACGTCTCCAAATCCACTACTAGGTCCTCCGGTAGAGAGCTTAGAATAAGGGTACCATTTTTTCGGTAGTCTATTTTACTAGGGGAACCCTCCCAACCAAAAAGAAACGGTAGAGAAGGGCACCTAGCTGGGGGACCTAAGGACTTCAATGCCCACCTGAGCCATACACGACTTCAACCGACCCACCGGTGCCGTGCCGCTCCTCGCAGCGCGCCACCCAGGCGAGGCTCCCGTCTTTGCGGCGCTTGATGCGGTGGGAGCGCCCCGACATCTCCCCCACCTGATCCGTGCTGCGCGATCTGATCGAGCGCTGGGATCGGGCTGGACTCCGGATGGAGCGGAAAAAAAGAAGAAGCGGAATATGGATGCTGAAATAGGAAGACATATAAGCTGGTCATGCTTTTTTTGTCCCAACTTAGCTCCAAAACCAATGCCTGACAACTCTTGAAGGTTGCTCGGCTGGCAGGTTGCGGCTGGCAGGTTCCATGTTGCTAGGTTCCATTTCCCGGAGGCTCGGGGAAAAAGCGTTCTCTTCTTTTCAGGAGACCCTTTCAAGGCGAAACCCCAGTCCTTGGGAGCCAAGGGAATCCTATAAAAAAAGAGGCAAATGGTGCACTTGGGTGGAGCGACATTTTGTCACACACCGGCCAGTTGCCGTCTTTTGAAGGGATACAAAAAAGGGACCCCATTTTGACACCCCCCCCCCGACTTGTTGATTGCCATTAAACTGTTCTGCCCAAAAAATTGGGAACATGGCAAGTTTGCATCATGAATATTGACCACAAACGCAAGTCGGGGTGTTCATACCATTGTTTGGCATTGGGACTCACTACTTCTTTCATTACCAATAGTTGATAGCTTCCCTTGGGCATGACTTATATTTGTTCCCTTTTGAACCTATTGGGTCCACTTGCACGTATTGGGTCTGAGTCTATCGCTTCCCATATCATTTAAGTGGCCGTAGGGCCACTCACCATTTCCGCAGGTATTCAAACCAAGATTGTGTATTGACCATTTGGAAATGAACCTCAATAGCAAACGACTCAAAACTGCATGGTAGACATAAGTATTTGCATGGACATGATGTCCGCCAAAGGTCTCCAATTAAGCACCACACCCGTTTGAGTATCAATCGGGGCTCATGTCAGTGCAAAGTCACCTACATGGGAGTTGTCCAGTGTTTCCCATGCTTAACATTTCCTGTTGAACGCATCACCCCACCAATATGTTTGCAACCACAACGGGGCAATGTGGGTACGTCTCAAAATAATTAGAGGGCGACCCAACATGCATGGTTTTCGTGGTGGTTTCTCTTTAAACCAACCTGCCAAGGATCCCCTCTCAAAATTCACGTACAATGGTCAAGGTGACTTGTGAAGGGAATAGGAAAAATGGTACGGCTGTGACACAGCATGTCACGTCCAAGGTGCAACATCTACAGTACCCGATGTTTCCAGCTGCCAGAGTCCCAGAGTTCTGGGAAGAACTGTTGCATCCCGAAAGGCCGTGATTTGCATTGTACCCAGCCCATCCCCCACCTCCCTGCCCCCACCCCCATCCCCCTGCTGCCCCCCACCCCATTCCCCACCTACCTATCTACCTATCTACCTATCTACCTATCTACCTATCTACCTATCTACCTATCTACCTATCTACCTATCTACCTATCTACCTATCTACCTATCTACCTATCTACCTATCTACCTATCTACCTATCTACCTATATCTACCTATCTACCTATCTACCTATCTACTACTCACCCAAAAATATGTCGCCTTCTTCAGACCGCCAAGTCGATCCAGCACATCATCCAAGGCGTTGGGCGGAAGGCTCAAGTGCTGCGCTTCCTCGACCGAATCGATTCGAATCGCCCGGAGAAAAAACCAGCTACCAGCTACCAGCTACCTCCCTCCCACTGACAGAAGGCACCTGAGGATAGATCTCCTCTTGTGGGAAATTTCCGTGTGCGCTTCCCTAAAGCCATCCAAGGGGAGGGGGGTCCCCTGAGATTGGACTCTTGATGTCACCCCCATGGTTTCAAGCAAGCTTCGTCCACTCGGGTGGATGGCGGGCTGTCGCCGAGCACTTTCCGATTTACGAGACAAACCACGAAGACAAGCCAGCTAAGAGAGAAATACCGACCACCCGGCTGTGGCTCTACACAAAGGATGTTGCGAAGGTCTAGAGGGCGCTATCGGCAAAGGTGGGAGGGGTGGGCGCAGCTCTCGCGGCTTCCCAAAACGGAGGCTTTGCGAGGGATCATGCAAGGGTTGGATCGCAGTCTCTGCAAAACTGGACCATACCTGTAATGTTGATCCCGGATTCAAACCCCTGTTTGTTCGTATGGGTGTTCCCCTTCAAAAGTGATGCATCCCCACTAAAACCAGGGGCACCCCCCCTTTTTAGTTTTCAGGGGTTTAGTCATACGGGGTCAACATTATAGCTGATCCAGTGCTTCCAGTTACCACTAAATAGGTAGCCAGGGATCCTTACCTCTAGGTGAAACAGAATAGTTTTCCCTGGATACCTACTATAGTGGTTCCCGGAAGCACAGGGCTGTATAGCAAACCAAGGGAACCCTTGAAGAAATACAAGGAGCATGGCAAAGGGTTATCCAGAGGGGAAAATGAAATCCACTGGGGTCACATGTAAGTGATGTAAGACTTACCCTTTAGTTTTGACCCCAGATTCGTACTCCCGTCCCATGAAAACGGGGTGATCCCCTCCAAAAGTGATGAATCTCTCCCAATGAAAATCAACCAGGGGTGCTGGCTGCGGGGGTTTCCAGCAGTTCCATCCAAGCTCCAGCGATCTCTTGCAATTAGATCGCCGCAAGCGGTCGGGTTCCCAACAGATTCGTTTCACTCGGCTCTGAGTCGAGGGAATTTGGAGAGCGCCACTGAACTGGGGAGAAGCTGTACTCCGGCTCGATTCTTGTTTGCTTTTCGAAGTTTAATATATAAAAAAAACCGGCCAAGCAGCAGATGCAAAGAAAAAACGGCGGAGCGCACTGAACTGCAAAACCAGTCGGCTGTTTTTCGCTCCGGTCCTTCACCAATTGGCTCTTCACCTCTGCTGCCCAGGCCAGCTCCTCCCCATTCTCGCCTGGCGACGGGGGGAAAATGATTGGAAAATGTGCCAGACTTTCACTTGGCCATGAGTCAAAAGCAAAAACACTCAGGAACCGGATGGCTTGAAACAGTCGTGGGCTAGATAAGGAAACCCAGCCGCTAGACCAACCAAAAATCGGGAAACAAAAACACGGAACCGGAAGGCTGCTTGGAGCCACAGCCATGTGGCCATGGGTCAATAGCCAAATCGTACCCCCAGTGAACGTCCCAATCCAACCACTAAAATAGGTTCTAACATGGGTGGTGCACCGAAAACCCTAAAATGGTACCAACACAGTCTTGACCCACAGCCACTTGCGTTTCTGGCGAATACGGATCTGCTTCTTTTTGGAGGGTACCCTTGTTGGGGTGGTGCTAAAGGGAACCAAAAGGAACATCGAAATCCGGTTTTGGGGGGTATCCTATTTTGAGACATACCCATACTTCCCTGAGGTTCCAAGCAAACCGACGCACGGGGGGTTCGGGGGTCACTTCGGGGACGTACGTACCTAGTTCCAAGCAAGTACCTGCGGATGTCGGATTCGCGTTTGGGGTCAAAGTACCTGCATGGATTCTCCGGGCTAGTCATGACCGTGTTTTTTAAAAGCTGCCTGAGACCACGAGAGGGACCAAAAAGATTCAATCATGGCCTGTCGTTTTCTGAGTTCGCCTATACTCCGTGTTGGGGGATGTTTACAGGGAAGTCAAAGGGGAACCAACGCCCGTTTTGGGCGCCACCCCACGAACCTTGGGTGAGGAAGCAGCTGTTGATGAAATGCCTCAGTGCTTGTGATGGCTCGCTCTCATGTCACTGACTTTCAGCTTATCAGCCAGTCCCGCCTTAGGAGGGTGTTGGAAAACCTGAGCTTTTAAAACAATTTCCACTGCATCGCAGCGACCAAGCCATATCGCCAACTCAGCCATTCAGCAACGCCACAAAAATGGAATTCTTGGCTTCCCAGTGCCCTCCTGAAGCGTCATCCAAAAGGGTCCCTACCGAGTCACATCCTTCAACTGGCAAAGGGCACAACCCTTGGCCGCCGTTTGCTTCTTCAAGTGTGGCCTGCTTCTAAACCCTGTGCGGGGAAAGGGGGTCAAACAGAGTTGCACGGGACTTTCCATTCAACCATTGCAACGTACCCTCCTGTCTACTAATCTGGAGCCTGAAACGGTGGATTCTGAAACAACCAGGTCAACCACCAGCACCCCCAACCACTGCTTGCTGCACAGTGGGGACTTTGGACATGAATAAAAACTGCAAGTTGGGATCCGGCTGCCAGCAGATTGGCCCTGGGACCATCCCCAAAGGTCTCTCAGGCGCGGGCTCGACGATCATGGCAGGGCCGGAAAGGTGCTCATCAATCACGGGATCCTGACCCGCTGGGCGAGTTTCGCGCCACTCGACCGGAGAGAAAAGAAAGAAAAAGAGGAACACGCGTTGACGTGTAACCCTTGATCCACATGGGGTCAAAATCACGTACCCCCAGTGAACATCCCAATCCAACCACTAAAATAGACTAACCTACCCCAAAATGGTGCCAAAACGGTGTTGACCCACAACCACATGTGCTTCTCAACATCCCAGTGCTGCAGCTTGGTGTCCTTGGTTGGTTAGCCCCATGAACACAGCTCGTCCTTGGATCCTTCCGTGTTACTTGTGCTCGGCCAAGTTGGTGCCCTCCCTACGTTTCCATGGCACATGTACCTGGAAGATCCGTTTCCACTTAAGGGGACCGGGTCGTCAGGTGCCATGTTAGTGGGAGAGAGGACTCCATTTTGTCACACCCATTGCTTCCAGTTACCGCAACCCGAGGGACAAGCCTATAGTGGTTTGCATGCAAGCACTGGGATATACACCGCCACCGCTCAAACATATCACCAGCTCCAACCTGATGCATTGCTGGCAACGTTCCTCAAAATCATAGGGATTGCCCTTGAATTGGACTACGCCCCCGACAACAAATCCACCAGCCATTCATCAGGCGACCCGTGAAACATGGGTTCTCTTCTAAGGGGTTCTGATCGCTTACACCCAAGGAACTTTGGTAGAACCCATTCGGGTCAACCATGTTTTTGTTCAACCTGGATCCTGGGTTCTGCGTTCCTGAAATACATCCGAACACCACCTGCTCCAGGCTGCGGATCCCCTAAAACTGGAGTTTGGGTATTCTTTTTCTAGCTGGCCGCAAATGTGTCGTCTCGAATTCTGGAGGGCCACGTTTCAACCATTTCTCTGTGTTTCATGGCAACGTGGAGAGGGTAGGTGTGTCTCAAATAGGGGAGTTTTCAAGAAAGAGTTGTCGCCTCTTGATTGCCAAGGCCAACCCCAAAAACGGGTACCCTCAAAGACAAACCCATACTGTGGGAGGACAAGATCCTGCACCACCTAAGAAACCATGGAATGATGATTCCCCTGGAAATACCAACAAACAGTGGGTTCTTTCCCATAGTTTCTTAGGTGTTGCGAAAGGATTTCGTCCATCCACTGTCTCCTTTTTGCGTGACCCTAAAAGGACCACCCAGCTCCAGTAGAGAGCTTAGAAATAGTTGGTACCAAGTTTGTTTCTGAAACGTCTATTTTAGTGAGGGTTTCCCTCACAAAAAAAGAAACGGTAAAAGGGCACTACTGGGGGACCTAGGAGCATACTTGTTTATATATTTTCTCGCGCCTGGAAGGCCAGGCTCGCGCCCTTCCGCAGCCGCGGCCGCAGAGTGGCCACCTCGAAACGCCCAGGAATCTCCGGCCCGGGCCCGGTCTCTGCCCGTCCCCTTTTTGGAACCTCCGAAAGTGGAAACCGGTCGTTTCAAGGGAAACTACCTCTGAAGGGAGAAATCAGTGGCTGGTCTTTACTTAGCTGCACGAGTTTCTTTCAGGGGATCAAAGGTTGATAGAAGTAGTGTCATATTATTGGATAGAAATAATGTCATTTTTCGTCTATCCAATATCCAATATCTTGCTGGTGCGATAGGTAGGGAATTGGGGAATGAACCGGAACTGGATTCCCTTAAAGGAACCACTGGGGATGGAACACAAAAACAAAACATTTCAGCAAGTGGAAGAGCTCTGGTTGGGAGAGTTCCACCTTGGTCAGTGTCCTGTTTTGGCTCAAGAAAGCACCACCTTCCCAGCTTCGTCTGAGGGTTCCTTGGTACAACATGGGCCTTTTGAGGAGATCAACCATATCATTTGCCGGACCTTAGAAGGTCCAGTGCTTCCAATCACCACGATAAGTAGGTGACCAGGGGAAAACATCATGTAAAACCTAGAGGTAAGGATCGCCGGTTCCAAACCTACTATAGTGGCGAAACGCCTGGAAGCCACACGTTGGGGAATGGGGCGACCCGCAACGTTTGAGGTGCGTTGCTCAAAGGCCACGGGGACAGACAAACCATTGGATGTCCGTTGAATCGAAAGGGGTGGCCATGAAGTTAATAAGGTACCATCTGAAGAGTTGTCGGTTGACAGGAATCCTCACCTGAATACAGTCCAACAAAGGGTTGCTATGAGATAATGTCGTGCCCATTTCAAGTTATGTAAACCGCGATTGTTGAAACAATGTCGTCTGGGCTTCCTCTTTGATCGGGAACTGAGGTCTGTTTCGAGGCCTGAACAAAAAAAACTCATAAGCCATGAGTTGGCTTTCTCAGTCAACTTGGTCCATGAGGAAACCGCAAGAACACGGTGTTCCAAGTTCCTTGCCTTTTTTAGAAGCACCCCAAGGACACCTTCGAGAAAAACAAAAAACAAAAAAAACGCCCAGTTCCTCAACCAAATCCAAGTAAAACAAGTTCTACCGACTAAACAGTCCGGATCTCCGGCTCCATTTGTAGCCGGTGCCCCCCTAGCCTGGCCTTCAAGCTCCGCGTCATGTTGAGCCCATACGAATTGAATTTGAACCAACCTGTTTATTCATAGGGGGGTGGGGACCCTTCCAAAAGTGATCTGATTCCCCACTAAAACGAGGGACACCCCCTTCCCCTTCACAACTGATGAATCACCACATGTCACCCCCCCATATGGAAAAAAAGGGGTTGATTCATATGGGCTACCCCGTGGCCCAGTTACTGTGCACCTCAGGCACTGGCACGGATCTTTCCCACCGGCTTGTCGTTGATCCTCTTGATGTGCCAACCTCGCCCCCCGGCGAAATTTGTTGGATCGGACATCGACTCAACTGAGCTGTCCGCGCTTTCTCTGATCCCCGGCGAAAAGTGACGGAATCCCAACCACTGAACAGACTACAAACAACTAAAAACCTCAGGAACCGGACGGCTCGGAACCGCCAAGTCAACCCAGTCAAGGAAAAAAGGGACCTAGACTCAACCGAATTCATTTCAGCCAATCCCAGTCCGTACTCCAAACTGCCTGTGGATTTGACACAGGCTGGTCCTCTTGCCCCCCTCACTTCCCGACTTCCCAATTTGGAGAAGTTAGGGATAGCTCCGAGGAGCAATGCACTCCGGAAACGGGGCTTCAGAGATTCAGAGATGCTGAGATGCCTGGGGGCCAGTAGGAAAGCTGCATTGGGCAGTGAGCTGAGAAGATAGGACAACGTCATGCTTTGTTTTTGTGGAACAACTAGCAATGGTATCGATGGTTACCAAAGAATTCAGCTAGTTCTGAAAGTGACCTCAAAGAATGTGGTCTTCCATGGTCGTCCCGTGCTCCAATCTGGGTGCATTTTTTTGAGGATACCCTTTTTGTGGTTGATTGAAAGGGAACGAAAAGGGAAATCACTTATTTTGGAGGTTCCCTCAAAAACAAGACCAACCATCACCTACCTCCCTTGGGAGCTTCAAACAACCTCTGCCACTTTGCCTGCCTAAAAGCTAAATGGAAACCTCCAGGTTGCTCGTTTGCTGGTTGGTAAATGGGTAAATTGTCATCCGCGTGGTTGCTTGTCACAATCTTATAACTTTTTCTTTCCCACGCACATGGCAACCAAAAGTGACTCAAGTCCATGAAGTATTTTTTAGGTCCTCCAGTAGAGAGGTTAGAATAAGGGTACCAACTTTTGTCCTTTTGTCTATTTTACTAGGGAACCCTCCCAGCCAAAAAAAGAAACGGGAGAGAAGGGCGCCTAGCTGGGGGACCTAGTAGTGTTTATCCTAGCATTTCATTTTCTTTGCCAATGGCAACCAAACCCCAAAAGTGGCTAAAGTCCATGAAGTATTTTCTAGGTCCTCCAGTAGAGAGGTTAGAATAAGGGTACCATTTGTTTCCTTTTTGACTATTTTAGTAGGGGTTTCGGCAAAAGTTGGCACCTAGCTGGGGGGCCTGGATTATGAGTGGTCCCTCAGCGCGCTCGCTCGTTGAGCTCTCTAAGTCCTCCACCCTCCAGCTCGGCTCGCCGGAAGGAGGCTGGACCCTCCAAGACCTGGCGATCGAGAGGCGACTGCTTTTCGGCGAGGCGCGCAGCCCGTGAAAACGCGGGCCCCGCGGCTTCGTTGGTCAAAAGAAAACCTTTGCCGCACTTCCCTTCCCTACGGGAAAAAAAGGTTTCACCAACCGAAGAGTTGCGATGTTGCCGGTGGTGTCCATTGATGCCGCTGAAGGTCCCAAGAAAGGGGCAGGATTAAAACGCGCCAGGCTGATCAAAAGAACTCTGTATATTTGAGCTAAACGATAACACACTCATGTTGGTCAACGCCCGTAAATTTTAATGGTGGATCCCAGAAGTGGTCTTCCTCCTGCCTGAAAAGGGGCTCGCAATCAAGAAAAACATATTACAGACCCTTTTGAGCAGCACCCGACACCCCGAAAAGTGGCCAGGTCTTGGTAGGTGGTTTTACTACCTGGTTTGTGCCTTGCTTATAGCAAAACTCATTGTGTAAAAGAAAACAAAACGGGGGGGGGGGGGGGAAAACAACAACGTTATAACCATTTTGGTAGAATGATCATTTCGGGTGATGCAACCAATTGATGAATCCCAATTAAACCTCACCATATCCCAATTGAACCTGGTAGACTCTAGATGGGTCTGTTCTTTTTGACCCTCCCCTTTTTTGGTTGTAATGCTTGGAGACCAAAAGGAACCAACAGAAACATTGCTGTCCCAGCTACTTCCTAACACATACTCTCCATTTGCTTGAATCCCCTGGAACAAAAAGATATTGCCAGTGACAGGTTCCTTTTAAACCCAGATTCACATTCTTACCCAGTGCTCGGGCAAGCCACCATAGTACCTCTAGGCTTTACGTGGTTTCCCCCGGTTGCCAGCCTACTATCGTGGCGTTTCACGCAGCTGGAAGCATTGGGCTGTCCACCTGAACACTTTCCCCAAAAGAGGTGGTCTCCTAGCCCAGAAATCAGCTTCCCTCGTGGTTTGGAGCCCTCCAAACGGAAGAAGCCCAACCAGGTCCTCCAGCAGAGAGGTTAGAATACGGGTACCAACTTTTTTCTGCAGTCTCTAGCCAAGTGGTTTGAAGCCCTCCAAATGCAACAAACCCCAAAGATAGCCCAAAAACCGCGGACTTGCTCCGCGCCTTGGACACCAGGACCCGCTCTCCGAAGTCGTCGTCGTTCAGCTCGAAGGTCACCGGCCTCAAGCCCGAGAAACGAATCGGAGGGCGAAGGACACCGCGGGAAACGGCGCCGAAAAGAGGGTGAGCACGCGGGTTGTTTCGTCGTGTTCGCGGGGTACCCCGTTTGGATTTTAAAGAGAAACCCAAAAGGGCAACCACTGTTTTTTTTGGGGGGGAGGCCCTCGTTTCAAGACACACTCAAGTGGTTTATGGTCAAATGAAGCAAGTTCACAGTGACAACTCTAGATCCTAGGTCAACATCATGGGCAGGTCCAAAGCACATGGGCCAGGTATGCCAAGTGTGTCCTCTTAGAGGGAAACCAGTACCAAGGAAAAGCACCAGATTTCCCTTTCGTTCAAGTTGCAAGGACCGTGTGGATTACTTTGAACAGTCCAATTCGGGCTTCCAAACAAGTTTGCTGGTGCTTGCCTTTTCAGGGCTTATTAGCTTCATCACTGGTTGCTGGGTGTACCCCTATGAACAAACCAAGGTGGCCTGGTGGCAGTTGAGTGAGCAAATAGGGGAACCAGGGTGTGAATGCAAAAACCATCGCTTAGAACTTCAGCATCACCAACCTAAGCTTCCATTTGGTTAAGACTCCAATCTATATATATATATATATTCAGTAGTGATAAATTCTGTTTAAAACCAACAAGGGAAAAAACTATATGTATATAAATATATATATATATATATTATTATTTTTTTAGAAAAAAAAACTTAAGCAAATGGAAGTAAGCTAGTGTGTCCTTCGCCGTAGGGATGACTTCCATCACCACGCATTACCCAATGTTTTAAGGGCAAGTTGTGGAACTACCAGGCAGGCTCTCTGGGAGGCGCTTGTCTGGAAGAGTAATGGCTGAAATGGTGCGGGCCCGATTATTGCCCTTAATTTCGGCTACCTGCAACATGAACAATGCTCAGTTAGTATCCCATGGCCTTCTTGCACAGTTGTTTACTTGACCCCCCGAGAAGCAACTGCTTGGTTTCGTTGGAAGGTGCTGGACACAGAAAATGCAAACGGTTTGTAGGCGCCCCCAAAACCGTCCAATTTTACCATCACCAACTCTCTGACGCTTCTCTCTGGTGCTCAGCAGGGAATGAGGGCCGACCCTCATAAACCATCCAACTGGTGGTTTCCTTTAAGGGGACCCCTGGGGCCATTCCCTCATTCCATACTGAACATCAGCAAGTTCTTTGTAGTGGAATCCCATGCTGGCAACATTGTTTTGAAGGCCATGCGTCTCTTAGTTTGTCTTGGTGCTTGGAGGTTCGGGGTGGTTTCCCATTTACCCCGCTCCCCCAACCCGCCCCTCCGCCGCCCAAATACAAACCACAATTTTCCTGAACATGTCCCAGTTTAAACGTTGGGTTTTTATAAATATGGTTTGTCTCTGTCTTTCCTTCTAAAAAAGCATGTTTTGTTTTTGTTCAAAGCATGTTGATAAAAGCACAAAAGGAAAACAACAACTAAGACCCTGCTCCCGCCCCTGAGCGCCAAACTCCTTGGTGTCGGTGGCATGGGCTGAAACCACCTAGGGTTAAGCTCAGGCTGACCCCTTGGCAAACTTAGACGTACAAATGTCCAGCCATAGGTGACCCCATGCAGGAAAAGATAGACGGGTGTCCCCTGGTAAATGAAAGACAATCTAAACTAGTGAAACCTATCTATTTCAATCCAAACTAACTTTGAAAAGACACCACTGTGTCCAACGTCTGGCGGTTAGACACATCGCTTAACTTTTAGTGGTTTGATGGCCCGAATGAGGATGGAAAACCCATTAGTTGGCAAAAAGTAAAAGTCCTAACATCCAAGCGAAATGCACCAAGGAAAAGATCAAAATTAATAATGACAGACACACAGACGTGGCACGGCCGACGTGCTGGTGGCCTTGAGTGGGCTGAGGCTTGCGTCAAAACCGGGGGATCCCCTATGTTCGGTGGTTCCGCTTGGTTTTTCCTTAAACCGCCAAAGGGGTACCAACATAGGTGCCCTTTTGGGGCAAGTAGATGGCCCTGGTAGATGATTAAACCACCAGGTAAACCAGGGCCATCTATTTTTCGACCAAAACAACCAAAAAGGATACCTATGGGCACCAACTCCCAAAGAACAAACGACCACGTTGAAAGAAACCACGCAGACCACAAAAACACAATGCCAAGGGATCGTTGACAGGCGCCCAACTGCTGCTGACAAGGTGTCCAAATAGCCGTGGAATGGACTGAGCGTGGTGGCTTGCTGTAGGGGTCAATGTTTCATGTACGTACGTTAGCAAGGCAACTTCCTTTGCAGCCCCTATTACAAATACAGAGGAAGCCAACAAGGACAACAAACAAAGTACGAATACACAGGAAGCCAAAAAGTCAACAAACAAAAATTGCCTTGCAAAACACAGTGAAGCTGCACTGACCGATTCGCGATTCTCACTAGTGTTCCTTCCGGGAAGGGACTGGGGTTTACCTCCTGAATTCGTAAACCTCTTTTCAGGGTTGCCACCAGTAGTTTAAGTTCTGGGTGCTTTTCCTTACAAAAAGACAGATCAAGCCCACGGGTCACTCTAAATCCCAACCTACTAGCCCTACCAGAAACCCAACCCTCGAGTCCCTAAACCAATCTCGGTGTGTGTGTGTGCTTTTTGAGGGCACCTTTTTTTAGGCTTGAATAGAAAGGGACCCCACACGAGAAAGCAAACGCACCACGTTGATTTTTGAGGGCACCCTTCTTGAGGCTTGCTTATAAAAGGGAACCCACACGACAAGAACCAAAACACAAAACACGGTGTGCGGGTCCAAAGGCTCCGCTCGCGGCTTGAGCGGCTCGCCGCTCGCCCCGGCTGAGGCGCCCCGCGAGGCGCCGGAGACTGGCAGTTCGAAAGACCAGCTGGCAGGGCACTCCGCACTTCAGGAGCTCCTCCACCCGCCACCCACCCGGCCCGCGAGATCTGGATCCCGCGAGATCGCGGGCCTATAAAAAAGTGGATGCCGTGGCAACTGGAAGCACCGCGCCACTTTTGCCTCAGAACCAAAAATCCATCGACTGTGGGCACTACATAGCGGCTTCCAGTTACAACTATAGTCGGTAAGGTACCTGCTGTGGATGGACGAATTGCTGCACCACCCAAGAAACCATGGTTGAAACCATTGTTTGTTGGTATTTACCGAGGAATCGAATCATTCCAGCGTTTCTGAACGGTGGTGCGAAATGGATTTCGCAACCATCCACGGTATGGCGCCTTTTTGGATTTTGCGTCGGTGTTGCGCCTCTGGCCGGCTGATGCGCTTGCCCTCGGCTTCCACCAGTTTGCTCAGCTGCGCGACCTGTCGTCGAGTCGCCCCCGGGGACATCTCCGGGCGGAGTTGCTGACCTCCAAGCGACCATGTCTAGGTCCTCCAGTAGAGAGGTTAGAATAAGGGTACCAACTTGTTTTTTCAGTAGTCTATTTTAGTGGGGGGAGAAGGGCACTACTGGGGGACCTAGATGTTCTGACAGAATCTGGCAGAATCTTCTTGAGACATGGGCTAAAAGGGCGTCTGACTCGCTTGCCAGTTGTCTGACACGGTCCACGCTCGTTCAAAAAGTCACTGCATTTCTCATTCCCTGCCAACCGAACCAGCACGTAAATACTGTAGGTGACATCCCAGGGACTTGACTACCATGTTCCTAACCAGAACTCCGATCGGTAGCCTCTTTACGAGCAAATTTGGCGACCCCCAGCTCCCTAACGGCTCCCTTCCAACCACCAGCTAGCACCCCAACTTGCCTGGTTGTTCAACCATGTCCAAAATCCCAAGTGCCTACAAAGCAGTGGTTGGGATCTCGGTGCTGGCATGTTAGCTTTTGATTTATGGGGATCAATCAAACAGGTTCGCGCGGGGGGAAAACAAGGCCCCCTGAAGGAAACAACCGCGATTTGCGAAACGCGACACGGATTTCAGGGTTGGAGCGTTCATTCCAAAATGTTCCTTGGGAACTGGCAAGTTTTTTGGAGGTGTGTTGGAAGTTCAACCCCCTCTGGCGCTTAAAAATAAGCAAACTGCCGGCAGTTGAGCAGCGCCGGCTTGCCATTGACTGGTTCTAACATGACGTCAAGGTTTATGGTGCTGTTGCAACCAACCCACAAGAAACGCATGACATTGATTTCGAAGCTTGGGTGAAAATCAAAAAACGGCCGTTTCTCCTGGCACCTGCAACTGTCTGAAAAGTGAAGTTGCCCGGGTTACCTGTCCACCCCCCTAAAAATGAACACAACCATCAGGAAACCTCAAAATTCACGTCAAAGAACTTGCGGGGCCGACTGATCGCTTCCCCGACCTGCTTGCCGCCGATGGTCAGCTTGCTCCGCAGGGTGAGGTTGGCATAGAGACAGGAGATCACGGCCTTCAGGGTGTCCTGCGCGTGCGGAAGGCCCTTATTCGGCCAGTGGCCACCCAGAAAAATATCTGGCTGGGTGGGTTGCTTTTTTTAGGGACCCCCCCAAAAACAGGTTTTCCTTTTGGGTTCCCTTCAAACCACACCCAAAAGGGGACCATCAACAAAAGACACACCCGTCTGGGAAAGGGCAAATGGCGCTTGGTCTTTGTGGAGATGAGGGTACCATTTGTCTGGTTGGCTCAACAGCAAACAAGAAAATATCGACGTTTTTGGCCCACCGTATTTCGGCCAAGATCGAATGGGGCGCTATGGAACCTTGATTCTTGGCACCTACATACCCCCTCCTTACGCGGCGTGAAAGGGGTGATGTACTACGTACTCCGCTACCAGCCAGAGATCTGTTTTAGGCGCTTCGCTAGGGCCATGTTCCCTCCGAGAAAAAAAAAAAAAAAAAAAAACTCGCAGCCTCAACTGAGCTACTGGGGCCTGGGAAAGTGTGGGTGCCTCAACAAATCATCGTGCCTTGCACCCACAAAGCGGAAACGTTGTTGGAAGGACTTCATCGGGGTGCCCCCCCTTGCATACTTTAATTCGGGGAAGGGGCTATAGAACCCTTGTTCTGACGCTGGTCTCAACTCCGACCTTGACACTTTATACCAATTTGATGAACGTTCACACGAAAAGAAGCAGATTGACAGGTGGGTGGTGTTAACAAGTAGGAGCCATGACAGCAAGACCTATGTTGAAGAAAGACCTCGCTCTTTGCAGCCCCTAAACTGAAGCCTGTGAACCAAGGGCGTAAACAAGAGACAGTTGCCAAAACAATCCGAAAGCCGTGGGTTCGGTTAAAACTCGGAAATTACAAGGAAGGCAGCCAGCGAGAAAAAAAGAACAACAAACAACAACAACATTTTGGGTCAAAGGAGGCGAAAACTGTTCCCGGGTGTCCTGTAAACTCGAAAAAGAGTACCAATTCCAGCACCCCCCAACCGTTTTTTTGTTGGACAGTACCATGGATACTTTGCACACAGTTGTTGGCGGGTGCTGGAACTCAAAGGCTTTCCTTTCGGCCGTGCTCTTAAATTTCCTGCTTTCAGGTGACTCGATTCGCAGGTCAAGTCGAGAACACCGGTGCCAAGCCACTCGCCTGCTCCTTGATCTGCACCTCCGTAATGCCATCACACACCTTCGATCGCACGACCCATCCGATCAAACTTTGGGATCCGTTGGGATCATTGACACAAATGATTCCATGTCAACCTGTGAACTTGGAATTGAGCAACCTCTGGGTCATGTCATGCTGATAGGGGGGGTGTCGCAGAGGGAATCTGGGGGGGACATAATTACACGCTATCAATCCACCGATTCACTAATCAGGGCTCGACATCACAATAGGTCTCTGGCGGAACCACGTTTGGAACCAAAAAGGCAAATCTCTGGCTGCCTTTCACTTGGATCCTCAGGAAAAAAGCCATCGATGTTCAAATCTCGAAAGACTCCAAGCGCCAGAAGAATAACTAGGTGTTCCAGATTTGAGATAGAACAAGGGTACTCTTTTGCCTGTAGTCTATTTGAGTGGGGAACCCTCCCCAAAACAAGGGTAAAAGGGCACTACTGGGGGCCCTAGATACTCATAACAATCAACATCCCATCACAGCCCCAGAACAACTGGCAGTCTGTCTGATTTCCAATCCAATTTCTCCCCTAGGTGGAACATCCGTCGCGTCTGAGCAAGACGCACTGTCCACGGTCACGCGCCCAGCGGTCTCCTCCTTGAGTCGCTCCTTGGCGTTGCCGGAGCGAAGCGAGCGAAACAGCGAGACCCGCCAAAAGGGCAGCTGCCTGGACCCTCACACTACCCAAAAAAAGGGATGTTACTCGTTTTCTTGGGGCAACCAAACATGTGGACCCTCAAACTATCCAGAAACAAATGGGATGTTACTATATGTTACCTTTTGTTTGGGCAACCAACCATGTTTAGGGGTCTTGTGTGGGCAACCACCCAGTTTTAGGGGTATTGTGTGGGTCCAGGCAGCTGTTTTGTAGGCGGGTGGCTCGTCTTCTGAGTTGCTAGCCTTTCTTGGTGGCCGTGGCGCCATTTTCCCCCAGGTGTTCATTTTTGTTGAGGGGTTTCGGGATTTTCATTTTTGAGGGGTGTGATGGGAGGGGTGTTCCCCAGGTTTTTTGTTGAGGGGTGTTCATTTTTGTTTGTTTCGGGATTTTGAAGGGAAATCCTAAGGAATCACCACAGGTCTGGGCGCATTGCCACGTCTGAGCCGCTGACCATCTTCGCGCGGGATCTGGCTTCGCCCGTCGCCCAAATGGAGATGACGACCTAGCGGCGAACCCTTGCAGGGGATGCTAGGCATTTCGCCCCTGCACCTACTGCTTCCTGTTGCCACAAAAGTAGCCAGGGGAAACCATCCTGTAAAACCTAGAGGTAAGGATCCCTGGGTACCTATTCGCAACTGGAAGCGCTGGGGTAGGTATACCACCCATTTTCCTTTTCCTAAAGATTCAAAGGCGATTCCCTTGGTTGCCTAAGCAGGCAAATGGATCCACGCATGATTCAAAGCCCTGTTGAAACATGTCGCCGTTCAATCGAATGAGCCTGTTGTCAAAGCTTGCCGACCACCAGATGGCTCGGTCCAGCCTGCTGGCCCTTGTCCACTGCTTCTTGAGCCGCGACACAAGCAGCCGGAACCTGTGGGTGAGAACAATCTCGGCAACCCTGCGGGTCAACCATGGTCACTTACATGTTGCGTTGTTGGACTTAGTAGCATGTGGAGGGAAAAAACACCGACAATGCCCCAAAACAACTACAACAAAACAGTGAACATGGTTGCCCCTGAACATGTCTCCGGATATGTTTTTTGGTTGCTGTTGGCTTTTCTCGTTCTTTATGTACTTATTTTGTCGTTCAATGTCCTTGTCAAGGGCAATGATGGTTGTTGACATTTTGCTTTTGGGGCTTCTCGAGGTTGTTCGGGCCTTTAGAATCCCACGCCGGCTAGACTTTCTCAGTGTGTTGCTTTGTTCTTTGCATGTCCCAAATCGGTGTGTGAAGGTAGATTTCGATTGATTTATGTGCAAACACTCAGCGCTCACAGCCATTCAATTCTAAACCAAAGAAACAACACACACCCCATTTTGCTTGGCCCCAGATTTGGGCTACCGCAAAAAGAAGATGAGTCTCCCCTTCTCGTCCAAATGGACCAACGACTGCAAACAAGACTATGACTGACCACATCGAACCCCGCTGCCTTTCGATCATGGACACCTCTTCCTCGATCCCTTCTTCCATTCTTCGGTTGTTTGAATTGGTCTCGGTCGCGTCTCTCGCGCGCGCCGGATGCGCCGGGCAAATGCGCCTTGGCTGAGTTGCACAAGGCCTTGAAGAATCGCTGTTGCCTGGCGGTCTCCAAGGTCTGGACTGCAGCCACCACTTTTCTATGGCCTTACAGAAGTCCTAGCTCCCTCCTCAAAAGCGTTTAGAGGATACCCGCAGCTCCTTGGCTGACTTACCAGCTAGCTTCTTATCTAGGGGTCAACCCTTGTAACTCAAAAACCAGGCAAGCTCTTGCGGACTACACTGGCATAGTGAACTCACCTGCAATGAGCTTGGTGAATCATATCCAGGCGTCCCTACCAGTCGCCATTGGGTGGTGAGAGAACAAGGCGTTCCGCTGCTATTTTGGTCGACCCCAAATTTGGCAAGCAACTCCAGGTTCGAGTGGTACTGTGGCTGGACGAAATCCGTTCACACCAGTCTGAAACCGTGGTTGAAACCATAACGTTTGTTGGCATTTACAGGGGAATCGAATCATTCCAGGGTTGCTTAGGTGGTGCGAAATGGATTTTGTCCATCCACATCATCTTGGTCCTCCAGCCCCAAAGTTGCACCCCTGCTGGCAGATCGATGCATGACAAATTTGTCTGGACGTCTAAGCTGCGGTCAAAATATCTGGGCTCCTGCAACGGCTCAAGTTGGTGATCCTGGCAATTGAAACTTGGGGACAATCTAGTGAGTCCCCCGCCAGCTCCCTCCCAGTTTGACCATCAACTGCATGTTTTGACCGAACCCATCCGTCCATCTCAGCCCCTTGCGCGCCCCAGTAGAATTGCCAGAGGCGTTTGGTCACGAGGTCCTCTTCCTCTGCATCCATTTCCTTAGCTCTTTAAGCAGCCAACGGCCGGAGGCTGATCTACTAGGTCCTCCAGTAGAGAGGTTAGAACAAGGGTACCAACTCTTTTTTTTGAAGTGTATTTTACTAGGGTCCCGAACCCTCCCAACCAAAAAAGGGGTGAGAAAGGGCACGATCCTGGGGGACCTAGTCTACCTAGGCAACCTTAGCCTTATTTCACCAACCGGGAATGAGGGCTCCCAATGCGAGGCACCTTCAGTGACGTCGCACAGCCCCTAGTCACATCATGATACTTTTCCCAGACCCCTTGTTCATACTCCATGGCTCGGTGGATAGCATCATCGATCGAGCGGACTGGCCCAAAAAGTCAAAACTGGTTGTTTGCCACCAAACCGGTAAAAAACCACTAAACCGGGAAATGGCCAAACCCACTAAGCAATTTGCTACTAAACCCACTAAAATGGCAACCAACCCCAACAAGTATCAAGTCCATGAACTCTGGAAATGAGAGGAGTAGCCCCTTGTGCACAACTCCTGGACTCGTAGGCCCCGGCTTTGGCGCTCTTTCTGGAGACTCCGTTCTGGCCGATTGACTCGAGTCCGGCTGAGTCGTTTCCAAGGGAGCCCACCCCCCAGCTAAACGGGCGTGTCTTTTTTCAGCGGACACCCCAATCCTTTTGGCTTCCCTTTAAAACGGATCCAAAACGGGCACCCTCCCTCCCACTAACATAGCACCACACAGGGGGTTCCTTAAAAGGAAACTGATCTTCCAAGTACCCTCCCACAGGTGCCGTGTTTGGTGCCATGTTTGTTGGAGGAAGAGTACCAACTCAAAAAACAGACACACCCAATGTCGGCTGAAGAAGCTTGCACTTGGAGTTGCCAGTTTTTCAAAAATCCCCTGAAATCCCCGTTACCCCTCCCACACAAAAGCTGCCACAGGGTCTCTTTAGAAGGAACACCGTCTTCCAGGAACCATGGCCACACATGGGTGTGGGTAATAACTGGTACACTGCCAACGAATCTTTCCCAGTGCTTCCAGGAGTTTCGCTATACTAGGCTTACAACCAGGGATCCTTAGCAGGTGTTACCATGGATGGATTCCCCTGGGCAAGCCTTCTATCATGGTGCTTGGAATCACTGGGTTAAAAGATAAAAGCCTCCCGCGCACCAATGGCCCAAACGGACTCGAAAATCGCCCCGCCACAGCCGGGTTCCTGTCCGCATCTTTGTTTCATCACTTCGAAAACCTTCGTTGCTGTTGACCCCTGCAAAAAGTTGAAAACTGTTTGTGAGGTCAATACCAAAATCCCACCCCTTTCAACCATAAGTTCGTCAGTCCAAAGATCCGTTCCCGAATAGCCATAAAGCAAAGGGGTTCCCTTTCCGCGAATTAACAAAATCCACTCCGCAGAAGATTAATACAACCAGTGCCAGGCATGGATTCAACCATGGATTCCGCCCCAAATATTTCCCCTTGGCTCTCCTTGTAAAACCAAAACTTGACCAGGGGTACCAACTCCTTAACAAGACACACCCATTTGGCCATGGGTCAAAACCCCGTACCCCCAGTGAACATCCCAATCCCCACTAAAATAGGTCCTAAAATGGGTGGTGAATTCACCTATCCCAACATGGGATCCCAAAACGGTTTTGAACCATGGCCATGTCTCTGTCCTAGCGATGGAGTTTTTCCCACAGATGGCCTTCTTCTTCTGCAGCTTCTTGAAGAAGTGATTGGAATAGGTCTCCTTCAGGTCCTTGCTATGGATGAACTTCCGGAACCTGCAAGGGCGGGGTGGAAATTGGTTGTATTGTTTTTTTTTTCCCCCTTGGGGGGGTACCCCGTTTTTTGGTGGTTAAGGGAACCCGAAAGGACAACCATTTTGGGGGAACCTGAAGGCTGGTGGGGCTTGGTTGTGTCAGGGTTTTGGGGGGACGAAACCGAAAGGACCACCACCATTTTGGGGGAACCCCTTACAAAACACACCCATACCTTCTGGACAAGGGGTTTTCTTCAACAGGGCACGCGATCTTGTGTTCTTGGATTCTTTATGGGGGTTGTGCAGAACATCCCAAGGTCTATCGACTTAATATTGCAAGTGAACCCCCGGCAAGAGCTGTAAATACGGGGTTTCCCTTATTCCACCACTTGGCATCCATCGTATGCAGCACAGCATCGGAATACCGGTCCCTCTATTTCCTAGTCCAACCTGAGCTCTACCAACACAGTTAAAATGGAAAACATTACCTTACTACAATTCCTGCTAAACCTGGTAGAGCCACCTAATCTTGAGTCTGAGGTGCTGCTCACATAAAACGCGCAGTTTGTTCCCAGCATTTCTAAGCTCCCCGCGTGGCCAGCAGCTTCTGCCTGGGATCCGATCTAAAGCAAGCTGCTACGTGTCTGTTCAAAGTCCAGGCAAAAACGCACTGGGCTGCCCTCAGATCCCCCGCTAACAGTGTCTAACTTTTAGTGGGTTACATGGAAACTACCCCTAAGCACCAAAAAGCTAAAGAGCTAAGGAATGGGAACCTGTGAGCTTTGCAATGGAACACGAGAGGTTTGGAAGGGAACCAAACAATAAACCAGGGGTCCCTGGATTATCCCTTCAACAAGTTGCCGTTTGGTGGTAGGTTCCGGCAACAAAAATGCCACTTTTGGAGGTCCCAAAAAAAATCGGGACGATCCGCGGAACCTGCCAAAGCCAGGCCCCCAAAAACATACCAATGAAATCGGAGTGTGGTTGGACAACGCACGGAGAAAGTACTGGGCCTCCGGGCCAAAACACTGCAGCGGTGTCATAGACCCTGAGCTGCTCCTGGGGTCCAAGAACAGAAAGAAACAAAACGAGCGAGATGCCCCGTGCTTCCGTTTGGCGTGCCGCCACAACCAGGGGAAATCATCCATGGTACCCGGTAAGGATCCCTGATCGCAAGCCGAAACGGCGAAACGCCAATTTCCCAAGCACTGGGATACCAAAGCTCCGTTGAGGCCTTTGGACTCTCACGGTGGCCTGTTCGAGGATCAACTCGCGAGGCAAGCGTCCTCCGTCATGCCATTCTGCTGAACCTGAAACTCCGTCCCAACCTCAAGGCGAATCTGAGATGGGGAAACCGCCACACGGCTTGGAAACCGCCACCCGGCTTCAGGTGTGAAGCACCTCTATAGTAGGTTTGCAGCCAGAGATCCCTGGTTTTGCCATGGATGGTTTCCCTTGCAAGCCTACTATAGTGGCGAGACACCTGAAAGGGGGATATACAGCCACACGCTTCGCAGCGAAGGACCGACTTCCGCCACTCGCTTGCTTCAGTTTTCACCCCGACAAACCAAGCAGGTGTTTCTTCAGCCCAACACATACCTGAAGATTCCCAACTTACCCTGGCCCACATCTGGGGCGCACACAACACAAACACATGCTCAGATTCTGTATCTAAATCTAAATAGTTGTGGAGGGGCGCGATTAAATCTGGCGGGCACGACCCAATTGGGTGTGGGTCACAAATACGTACCTGGTAAATGGACATGTGGAAATTAAAACCTGCGGTCCATATCGTGGTGGTTTACTGCGGACCGATACACTTATTAAGAAGGTACGGACAACTCTCAACAAGTCTAGGTCCTCCAGTAGCGAGCTTAGAATAAGGGTACCCCTTCTTTTTCCGATTCGTCTATTTTAGTAGGGTCCCGAACCCTCCCAACCACAAAAGAAACGGTAGAGAAGGGCACCAATCGCTGGGGGACCTAGAAGTTCTTCTCCGAGCGGTGGCATTTGCATCCAATCTAAGCCTGGAACATAGGCCAAAGCTCGACAGGACATTGCGCCCACCGCCTCGCGGGGATGGCGATGCGGTTCCGAACAGCGTCTTCTTACAGGGAGTAGCTTGATTAGAGGGGTTGGCTCACCACCAAAAACCAACTTCTAGGGGCAGCTAAAAGGCTTGTTTTTGGAGAAATGTGGTGGATTCCCTAGACATTGCAAGTGAACCAAGCTCATCCAAACACAAAACCTTACTAAGAACTACAGTAAGTCACTTCACATGTTCCCCTACTTGCAGTCTTTACGTCCTCCACCTTAGAGCCGGCTCACCACTAAAAGTCGTTTCGGGGGAAAATGGAGAGTGTCGGTGTAAATAAGGGGGTTCCGGAACCCAAAAAGGAAAAGGGGGGGTCTTCAACGCGACAATTCTCATTTCCCAGCCTGCCCATGGTTTCCAAACCAAGCAGAGTCGGGTCCAAAAATAATTGGTCGGACCCTACCTAGGTCCTCCAGTAGAGAGGTTAGAATAAGGGTACCCTTCTGTAGTCTATTTAGTAGGGGAACCCTCCCAACCAACAAAGTTGGTGAGAAATGGCACTACTGGGGGACCTAGCTACAAATGGGGAGGTTCCTTTTGGTTCAAACGTACGCCCAATTGGCTCCTTGCGAGTCTGGCCTTCATGTTCATGGCGAACATCTCCATGGCGGCAACACCTCGCTCCGCATGCGTTTCCGTTCAGTTCTGAGACAAAGGAAACCACAAGGGGATGGTTCATAGAGGTCCCTCCAACCCCCCAAGACAGAAAACGGTTAACGTGCCTGTGACTACTTTAGTTAGCGTGTTCTTGATGGTATGTTAATGTATAGCAGGAGGTTACCAACGGCTCCCTCGCAACACGAATAGGACAAAATACACTTTGTTCTGCAAAAAGCATGTGTTGTTTTCTCAGCAAGCAAAACAGAAGGCCAAAGTAAGCTTAAATAATTTTCTTAGAGAAATTGACCTTCGTTCAAAATAAGTTGGACATAAGCACCATTTAAGCCAATTTTGAGCCCTTTCAGAGTGTTCCCAGGGAGGGGAGTTGCTCTTGAGAAATCCTACATGCTTACTCTAGTTTGGCCTTGTGTCAGCCTCATTCTTTGCAAGCAAATGTCAAGTAGATGTGCTTTCCTTACATTTTCACACTGTGTTTGCCTTGGCTCGGCCTCAATTTAGTCTTATATTTTCAGTGAGTCCTTTTGAGTGCATTCATGTGCTTTCCTTACATTGCTGAAATTTGTTTGCCTTGACTCAGCCTTGTTTTTTTCAGATAATCTCTTTTGAGCGCTTTCCTTGCATGTTGCAGTATGTTGGCCTTACTTCAGCCTTATGTTGGCCTTGCTCAGCCTTTTTTTGTTGGCTGACCACAGAATTTGGGCCTTGTTTCGGGCCTTTTTTCAGCCTCTGTTTGAAGCATGGTTTTGGCCTGCCTTGCACATGTGGTTTTGTTTTTCGTTATATATATACATATGTAAAACATGAAACACACTGTCAAGCAGCTTTAGACTTCCAAGTGCCAATTCCACAGGCTGCGAGTTTCTGCGAAGCCCCAAGAAGGTCAACAGAAGCGCATATCGGGGCTCCCGGAAAAGGCAGAACAAACGCCATGTGGGTGTCTGTTTTTCAGGTTGGCCGGCGCCAACGGCTTTCCCTAGGGTTCTTCTTCTAGGTCCTCCAGTAGAGAGGTCAGAATAAGGGTAGCAACTTTTTTTTCTGATTCGTCTATTTTAGTACGGTCCCGAACCCTCCCAACCAAAAAAGTTGGTAGAGAAGGGCACTGCTGGGGGACCTAAGTCTTTGAAACCCACAAAAAGGGGTACCAAGTCCAAAAACGATCAGCCACACATTGGGAATTTGGGTCTTAGGGTCGGGTTTCGTCTTGAGGCAGCGGCCGTTGGCCTCGATGGCTTTCTGGAAGTCGTTGAAGGTATCGAAGGCTGTGCCGGCGCCCCATGCCTTTGTTGCTGTTGATGCTGTTGACCCCCCTGCAAAAAGTGAATAACTTGTTGGGGGGTTTAGTGGAAAGCCCAACTTGATGTCAACCAAAAAGTTCAAGTCTAAGCTAATCGATCCATTTCCATTGTTTGGTGACTTGTTTGGCCAGTGCTTAGGGTGTTGGGAATGAACCGTTTGGGATTCCCTTGAAGGACACTTTAGGAGATGGCTGATTTCTATGGGGCTATGTTTCTTTTTTTAATGGTTTGGTTTACAGGGAAGCTAAAGGAAAACCGAAGGGAACCAGGCGTTTCGCCACTATAGGCTTGCAACCAGGATCCTGATCCCATGGATTCCCCTAAAAAACAAGCCTATGATTGCTCGAAACGCCTGGAAGGAAGCACTGCCCGTAGACTCCCGTAGAAATGGAGGGGTTGGACAGCTTGGTACGATCACCGAATTCCCCGGGTGGGCTCCATCGAAACTGCTACTTTTAGAGGCGCAAATAGGACACTGAGGGAGGCCTGCAGAAATCGAACCTGATTTTTGGGAGCGCAAGGGGAAAGGTCCCAGCCATTCCCAAAAGAAACTGGTAGAACCAATGTGAAAGGGACATATCTTTGGACCTCAACTTCTCCATTTTGCATGCAAAGGGAGACTTGTGTTCGCATTCTCTCATTCCTATAGATGACAAATTGTGTGACCAAACCTCGCTTGGCAAAGAAAAGTGGATCGAAGGGTCACGTACCCACGTGTTTCCAGGCAATCCACTATAGTAGGCTTGCAACTATAGTAAGGATCCTTACCTCTCGGTTTTTGGTTGCAAGCCCTTCGAAACGGCTTAGACGTTTAGACCGAATCCGAGGTGATCTATTGGGGGAGGCGGTGCGTCTCAGTCCCAGAGTTTTGGATCTACATGTTCACCACGGCCTTTTGAATCCTTCGTGGTATTGAGGTTTGGTCCGACAAAGGTCGCGTTTTCACCGCCTGATGGAAGCCCCGGGTACGCCTGGACTCTCGTTGGACGAGTCGAAACTTTGGATCTTCGAGGCTTGGACGCCCAGGCGGCTCATGTACCCCAAATGCTGCACCTGAGCTCAGGTCCAACCCGAAGCTATGGGGCGCCCAGATGCTGCATGGAAGCTTGGCTTCGGCTCAAAACTCCTTTTGTAGGCCTGACTATTGTCTTCGGATTCTTTTTTTGACACTTTAGGCATGGCACATAGGTTTCCTATACTTTTTTTGGCTTGCATGGCCTGGCTGCTTTCGGAAAACAATGGAATCAACGGAATCGCACTCTCTATGGTTGTCTCTCAAATCTGAACCAGAGGATCGGTTCATGACCATCCCTAGTAAGCGGGTCTTCTGCCAATGGCACACATAACCAAAACCAATATGTGAGAAAGCCCGCGAGTGCAGGGGCCGGTCCCAATCTCAGCTCCAGCTCAGTGGAGAGGGCTTAGAATAAGGGTACCCGATTTGCTTTTCTGTAGTCTATTTTAGTAGGGTCCCGAACCCTCCCAACCAAGAAAGGGGTGAGAAAGGGCACGATCCTGGGGGACCTAGTTTTCTACATACTTTTTCAATAGTACCTAGACCAAACTGGTGTCAACTAGACCAAGCTGACCTATCTGCGCTGAAAGCCTCCGATCTCGGGCAACTAATGGACTCCCCCAAAAGAGGGGAATCCTGGCCAGGGCTGTGGGAAATGGAATCCACTTCTGTACAACAAAAAGGGCTTCCCAAAGGGCCTAACCCCAAAGACTAACCCCCCATAAGGGGGAGATTCCCTTGCATCACAGAAGTGGGGATAAACCCTTTGATCCCACAACCCTGATAATGGCTGTTTCGGGTTCTCTGTCCATTGCTAGGGCTTTCAGTTTTCTGGGCTGTCCGTTGTCTGATCTGCTAAAAGTGGGTATAAGTTGTGGGTTGCATACGGACACCCACCCACGAAACCGACGAAAAACGACTGGAAACCTAAGGAACCACCAAGCTACATGCTAAAAAAGAAAAAAAACTCGACGTTTGGTTCCAACACGCTTTCAGCTTGGTCAAGTTGCTCTGCTATAACCACTAGGTCCTCCAGTAGAAAGGTTAGAATAAGGGTACCAACTATTTCTGTAGTCAATTTTAGTAGGAACTCAGCCCTGGGGAAGTTAATCTTTTACAGACATATAGCCCATGTTACCCCAAACAAGTTGAGACACGTTTTTTTTTTTTTTTTACCGAGGTAAGGCTTGTAAGGACATGGACAAATCCACCGGAAAGCGAGGCGCTGGCCTCCGTGGCGGCGGTGGCGGAGACGTAGAGCACCGGGGCCTGGGATCAAAAAAGCCGCCGGGCGCTTGGGGGGCCACGACTGGGGTAAGGTGAACCCCGGATTCATAGACCCCGGCTTAGGAAAATATGGGGAAGGGCGTTCCGGCTCCAAAAGTGGTCTGAATCCCCACTAAAACCGGAATTGGACACCCCCATGTTCATAAACCGGGGTTTACTAATCCGGGGCCAACATTAACCCCGAAATGGGTGGCCCTGGACTAAATGGAATTCAGGATTGACACCTGGCATCCCCTGGCGAATTCATTTTGACCCACACCCACTTGGGCGCGTCCTTTTGGGTTTGGTTGGAGCCATGGCGCGACGGGTTTTGCGAAGGTGTTCCGGAAAAAAAAAGGAAGGAGAAAAAAAGGTCTAAGAACCCATCTGAAGGACATTCTCCAACTCGCCAAATCCCTTCCAAGAGACCTTTGGGCCAACTTCCTGGCCCAAGCAAATTTCGCCAGACATTTTCTTGAGGACTTGGCAGACTTGGCAGCGGACCTCACCTTTGGGGAGTGAGACTGGAGTTGGGTGGCTGAAGGTTGCTTCGGTTTCCCTTGGATCTTCCTTTGTAGTAAGCACCAAGGGGTAGCCTCAAAACAAGAACACAGCCAATGGCTGGTTATACCCTGAATCCCAAACTTCTTGTAGCAAATGACCTTTCTAAGGGCCCTTGACCCCAGGAAAACCCAAAGGGCAAAACCGCCGACTTGTGGTTTTCGAACGTGCGGATCCATCCGAACAGGGCAAACCCCAGGCAACATTCGCATATGGCCTCATGCCGGCGCCACGTAATCCGGACAAAAAAGGTGACTGCTGACGGTGGAATCTTGACTAAAAGTTTACCACTAACCAACAGCTTTCATCCTGACTCTGATTTGCTTTGAGTGCAGAAGTCGCTTCCATGACTTCATGTAACATCTGGCTCCTGTGCAAAAAGAACTAGGACTCTCTTCTCCATGGCTTTTTTTCCATGACACGACATCCCCTGACGCCCTGAAACGCTTGAACCGCTGTCTCCAGCTCCCGGGCTCTTCCAAGATGCCTTAAGCTTGGAAGAAAACAACCTTTCTGAAGGTACTGCCACCCCTCCGAAAATGGCGTTCACCGGCTTTCCTTTTGCTTCCCGTGAAACAAAACAAAAGCAAAAGCCACGCTCAGCAAAAAGACAAGTCTGAACTGAGACACCCTCCCAATCATATGAGTGGAGCCCTTAGGTCTTCCAAACCCGCTTTTAAAGGATGATTCTTCGGTTGCGAAACTGCTCCCAAGTGGCGCACGTCTCAAGTGACCTCTTAGGGCGTGAGCCCAACTGAAAACTGGAACACGAGAGAGACACGCAGGGAGGCCCAGTGCTTCCAGGCAAGCCAGGTCCTTACCTCTAGGTTTTACCGTGGATGGTTTGCCGTGACCGAAACGCCTGGAAGCACTGGGAGGGACTGTTGGAAAATCAAGTTCCACGAATCCTTACCAGATCTTTGGGTTGGGGTATGCCCAAGGGGTATGGTGGCTTCTTTGACAAAGGAAAAAGCGTTGCATCCCGGCTTTGTCTCAAAATAGGGGAACCCCAAGAATTTGGTTTTCTCCTTGTGGCTTCCCTTTCAAACCACCCCCAAAAAGGGTACCCAAAAGAAGACTGCTGCGGTAGTTTGACCTCAAGCTATAGGCAAGGGCACCAAAGGGCACGAAAAAGGGTAACAAGATGGCCTAAAAATGGCACCAAAACACAAGGAAAGGCCCCCCGACATCGAAAAAACAAGAAGGCCAGGGAGTTGATTGAAGGCATTGAGTGATCTTCCTGGGCTCTTTCTTTGTCCCCGGATTTTGTTGTGTGGCGCATTTTTCTGATGGATGGGGCAGTACCCAAGTACCCAATTGGCCAGTGCTCGCCGGCCAGGCCCAAGAAGGGCCCAGGCGTTGGGGCAACTCTGCTGCAGGCGCTCCACGTAGAGACCCGTCTTGGTGCTGGCCTAAGCTGCGGGCCTTTCCGGGATATGCACATGGATCCCGAGTCAAGCGAAGGGGTTGATCAGGGGTTAAGATTGAACATGTTAAAGGGAATCCAGCGCTTCCAGCTAAGGCCATAGTAGGTAACCAGGGGAATTCATCATGTAAAACCTGGAGGTAAGGATTCCCGGGCAAGCCGTGGCTTGCCTGCGGGGACTGGAAACGGAACCCAACCTCAGGTTCATGAGGGGTGTCCCAGGAAGCCAAGTGCTATGCATGACTCGAGATAGCCCAATCTGGAACATGTATGCATGTGTGCATGTGTGCATGTCTGCATGTGTCTGTCTCTGTCTGTCTGTCTGTCTGTCTGTCTGTCTGTCTGTCTGTCTGTCTGCCTGCCTGCCTGCCTGCCTGCCTGCCTGCCTGCCTGCCTGCCTGCCTGCCTGCCTGCATATGTGTGTGTGTGGTTTGTGTGGTTTGTGTGGTTTGTGTGGTTTGTGTGTGTGTGTGTGTGTGTGTGTGTGTGTGTGTGTGTGTGTGTGTGTGTGTGTGTGTGTGTGTGTGTGTGTGTGTGTGTGTGTGTGTGTGTGTGTGTGTGTGTGTGTGTGTGTGTGTGTGTGTGTGTGTGTGTGTGTGTGTGTGTGTGTGTGTGTGTGTGTGTGTGTGTGTGTGTGTGTGTGTGTGTGTGTGTGTGTGTGTGTGTGTGTGTGTGTGTGTGTGTGTGTGTGTGTGTGTGTGTGTGTGTGTGTGTGTGTGTGTGTGTGTGTGTGTGTGTGTGTGTGTGTGTGTTGGACTTGTGTTGGATTGGTTGTGGTGCGTTACCCCAAGCCACCAAAACAAGCCCAAAACTCGCGCACACATCCCCAAAGCAAGCCTCAAGCCACTGCCAAGCCAGACACACCTAGCAAAAATCAGTTCCCAGCCAACCCAAACCCACCCAACGTCAGCCCTACCCAACAGCCTGGATATCAGCTCTTTGCCAAAATGAAGCCCGCCCATGAAGATCTCAAGCCCAAAGTTCTCCCTGAGCAACTCACTGCCAAATCAAAGCTAATAGGCCAAGTGAGGGTGTGGCCCCGCTTCCAAGCAACCGGTTCTGGGCTGAAGCGCCCTCCAAAATGGGCCCTTTTGGCTTGCCTTCGGAGCTGGAACAACCCAGCCTTGTCGTCCTTGTCGGGAACCAGATTCTTGGCCTGGCCAGTTGCGGGACTCAACAATATGGACCCCAACTGCGCGTCGCCTTTTCAGGCTGCCCCGCTTCCCTTGTCAAGCAGTTGAAACTATATGGGCACCGATATGTACGCTCCCACCAACTAACCTGGAAGTGCATAAAGCCTGCCTCCAAGAGGCAGGTAGTCCTTCCAATTACAAGGTTCTATGCATTTTTATGTTGGTTGGTGGGAGAGTAACCGCCAAGAGCTGCTGAGAAACAAGCAGCAGAAAAGTGGCAAGGCCCACTTGCGGGAAAGCGCTGGTTCGGCAAGACACGTGACAGTGTCGAGCTGGCGAACGAACAACTTTGGAAGTCAACAATTGTCTGGGGAAGCCCCGAAACCCGCTTCCATGAGGGTTGTAAAAAAAGCAACAAAATCCGAGGAACAACGGTCAATATTTTTTTGCCCCCGACTGACATTGGAGTTTGGTAAGCAACCTCCATTTCCTGATAGTAAACTGACAAGTGTACCCTATGCTGGTCCCCTTCCTGCGGTGGAGGGTGAATATTGACCGCGGCTCCCCCTTTTCCCTTTGTCCCAGAGAGGGGTACGCTTCACCCGGAGCGCACGTGTTCGCCGCGCCCAAAACACAAATTGACTTTTGGTTCTACCAACACAGCCAGAATTGCTTGCATTGGGCCCTACTATAATCCATCAGGAGAAAAAAAAAGAAAAAACACGCGACTAGTCAAGGTCCTCCAGTAGAGAGGACAGAATAAGGGCACCTTTTTTTTCTGCAGTCTATTTTAGTAGGGGAACCCTCCCCCAAAAAAGGTAAAAGGGCACCTAGTTGTAGAACCACCTACTAAAATTGTTGCCTCTCTTTGTTTCTTGGGGGGGTCTTCGGCTCTGCTAACGTCTCTTGCCTTGTGCACTTCGTCGAAGCAAATGAGTCCAGTGGCCTAGCATGGCTTCGAAAAGCTGACCATTGGAAGTGAGACTTGGTACCGGCAACTTTAAAACCCTTGGTATGGGCTAACAAAAAACTGTCTGTTTGTTGCAGCCTCGTACTAAAAACGAGCAGGGCGAACAACCCCAAAACCAAAAACAAGGCTGGGTACTTTTAGGAAAGCTGGCCAACCTCTTCGGTAACTCTTCAGCAGGTTTGTGGGTGGTGGAAATGCGTCGCAAACGCGAGTCGTGGGATTCTCTTGGACAAATATGGTGAGCCGTAGACAGTTCACTTCACACGCGTGATCCTCTCTACAAGCCCAGCCATAAGGCCACAACCGCCCAGAAAACTGAGTGAATCGGCTTTCGTCAGTCCGTGATACTAGGAAATCGGCTTGCCAAATGACTGATCCTGCAGCAGGCGGCAACGGTGGGCCCCTGGTACTATTTCCAAGCGAGAATCAGTCCTCCGAAAGGGGCGTATGCGGCTTCTGCGCTTCGATTCTTGGCGGGAGGGTCGTTCAACGAAGCAACTTCAGATTGGCTTCCTTTTTCAGCGGGATCCTCTTTCAAGTTGCAAAGAAACCGTCCCAACGTTTCCGCTCCAAGTGGGGACACTGGGCTTTGAGTCTCGCAAAAAAGGGCACGTCAACCGTGGCACATCGGGTGTCCGACAATGGGGACTGGAGGTAATACAAAGAGGGAAGCTTGCTAGGGGAGGCCTACAAAAAAATATCATGATACCTTCACAACCCTCTGTATGGTTGTTCCTTGCACCCCCCCCCCCCCCCGGCTAAAAATGAACAGAACCAACCCCAAACAAAAAAAAAAAATGATCCGACACCCGGAAGATGCTCATTCTGAGCTGTTCGCCCGCAAGTTGTCCGTTCTTTTTCCAAGGAATGCGGTCCGCGTGGCTTCGGATCGGGCCATTTTTTGATAGCTCCGTCATCAGGCTCACCACCCAACACCGCCACCGTCCAAAATCGCTGAACATCGAACCAGAGGATATCAGAGGATCCATTTAGCTGCAGCTGACCAAGGGAATCAGCCTTTAAACAAAGGAAGATGGCTGGTTCCCTACGATGGCGGTAAGTGGCCGCTGGGGAAGAAAATTGCGCCGGTCTGGTTCTTCCCGCCACCCAGACGTGTCATTCAGACACACACGAAAAGCGAAGGTTTCCCTGTAAAAAATAATGGCGGTTAACACAAAGGCACATCCGTTTTCTAGGACCTTGCGAACAAAAATAAGCGAAACAACCAGCTTATTCACTCACAACACGTATTTGTAGGACCTACTTGTAGGTCTCTTTCGATCGAGAAAACAACAAAATATAGACCTTCGAGAAACATAAAAAAGTGTGATTCCCTGACATCAGGGGCCTTTCAAGCCGGGCAGTCCCTTTAAACGGACTGACTCGGGACCCTCCCCGAGCCGTCGGCACAGTTGTCTCACAGCTCGCGCCTTGCCGCCGCCCAGCCACTGGACCAACTGCCCCAGCCTCGGATCGATCGATCGAGCCAAAGCGCGCGGTAGGCGTTTTCCCCGCTTTCACGGCTTGAACTCAAGGGGAAGCAAGAGGTAAACGCCGCCTTCTTCTTCACCGCTTCACATCGGTTCAAGAAGTGGTGAACTGCGACATGTTTAGGGGTCCGTTTCACTTCGGGGGACAAAGGATACCAACAGGTAAACTGCCTTTTTGTTCACCGTTTCACATCGGACAGGACATTTTGGGGTGGCCCAAAATGACGCATCACATATGTACATATATATATATATATACATCTATATATATATATATATATGTATATATTCAGTTGAGATAGTGTCCACTTAAGTGTACTTCAGAGAGACCTCAGACTTCCCATCATGCCTGAGGATCCAGACATGATGAAACATACTGATAAACCAAATCGATTTCGCAACCTTGGAAGCAAAGGTTTTGCAAAACATGGTAACTTGGTGTTTCCTCAGGCTAGAGCTGAATCACTAGTTGAAACAGCTGGAAGCCCTATGAATATGGGATTGACCACTTAGGTGCAGGATTGTGAGGGTCCTGCAGAAAAACCGTTCACTGATTGCATCCAAATTCTGAAAACTGGATATTTTGAACACCTCCCTTTGGTTACCAGCATGACTGCAAGGTTTACTGTACGAATGAGCTGGAATTCGGACGATTGCTGGTCAACCAACATGGATGAGGCCATTTTCCCCAAAAAACCTCCCTAAATAAGGCCTTATTCAAGGCTTAACAAGGCCTTGTTTGGGCTCCCTCCCTACCCCCCAGCCCCCATGACCTTTGGTTAGATGTTTACTTTGGTGGAACATTGCACAGCTCCAACCAGTTCCAAAAAACCTGCGGCGAGGCAGATCTGCCAAAGACCTTGATACGAAGTGTCAGGCTGCGGTGTCAACTGGTGATCCACCAACATATCGGGCGGAGTAGGTTCTATTCTCACATGCTCGGCTATATGAAACTAAACTGTTCCTATGACGGAAGTCTCAACAGTTACGCAAACGCCTAAACACCCATACACTCTTGCTAAGTTCTGCAAATTATCCGCGGTGGACACGAGTAGGATCGATGAACATTGATCAGCTACCAATCCCGAAAACCGCCTGATCTAAGCAGTATCGCGTGTTTTCGTTGAGGGGGAACACCCCTTGACAATACGTGTCCTTTTGGGAACATAGATGGCGATTCCTGGATTACGAAACAACCAGGTCAACCGTTGGAATCGTCATCTAAATTCCAACAAAACAACCAAAAACAACACCTCTGTGTGGGCATGAATAGGTGACCAGGTGACCTCAGCTCCTGGCCGGGAATTCCAGGCCGTGAGTTCTGTGGCATCCTCCTTCCGAGGCTGAAACAGCCGAAAGGTGAACGAACTCAAGCACAGAACCTCCGGGAAGCGGTCAAATATTTGCAGAACTAGAAGCCGATCAAATTCCATCCAATCCCTCTAGAATCTGGTCGATTCCCCCAAAAAAACCGTTAAACTAGAAGCACAACACCTAGAAACTTGTGGTGTCTATCCTAGGGATGCATGTTACTTTCCCTTTTGCCGTGAGAAGCCATCGGCATCATTTTTTCGCCTTGCGTTGTCCATGCACAAGGCGAATGGTTACCAACAGGTTGATGAAAGTACAAACCTATAAGGGGCTTCTCAAAATCGGAAGGGTTTCAAAGGGACCACCCGAGGGTCCCTAGTGTTGAGAAACACCCATAAAATAGGAGTCTGTCTATATTTTTAGGGGACCCCCCAACATGTTGTTTTTACCTGTTGGTGTCCCTCTAAACCCACAAAAGGTACCAGTACCTTCAAAAAGAGACTAACCGATATCAATGGACAGCCATAAGATCAGATTGGTAAAAAAGGCAATGGAGAACAGCGACTTGCGCGAGAACGCGCCTTGCCATTGCCATCCTTCGCATCCTTGGCATCCTTGGCGTCATCCTTGGCATCCTTGGCATCCTCCCCAGCCTTTCGAGCGCGGTGACCATGTCGGACGCGCCTTTTGACTTGTTTAAGCAACCTTTTGCTTTGGTCGGCGAAACTGGGGGGGGGTACTCCCATCATCATCACCAGGAGTCGTCAAGTCCCCATTCTATTTTCAGGCTGGGGATTGAGTCTGCTTTTCTCTTTAGAAACTTAGTATTGGCTCTGAGGAACAAAAGCGCCACGTGTCCATTTGGGAGTGGCTCTTTGAGGGTACCTGTGTTTTGTGGTTGTAAAGGGACGCCACTCGCAAAAAAAAAAACGGGGGTTCCAACCAAAAGAAAAACGAGGCCCCCACTCTTTCGCCGCCCCCCCCCGCCCCCCGACTAGCGACTCGCTGCCTTGGGCTTCTTCTTGTCCAGGACCCGCTCCAGTGACACGGTCGTCGGCACATCCAGGCCCTGCCATGCGCTTCTAACAATGAGCCCCAAAATTTGGATAATATTATATATATATATCAGACATGGGAACATCCAAGCAAACTGTGCTTTCCAGAGAGGAAGCACCATAAAACCACAGATTCCACAGATTCCGGTGCGTCAACATAGGAACTTGGACCCCGAACAAACATATAATTGTCCTTTTGCGTTTCCTTCGGCTATATAAAAAGGATACCCTTGATTCAGAGCCGACTCGCAAGAGGCACGGACGACAGAAAGCGGCCCGTGCTTGTCTTGGGCCTTCAACAAGAACCACGGGTCATCTACTCGCTCACGAAACATGGAAAAAATCAGCAGATCGTTGGCTTCCTGGTTGGGATATTTGTTGATACAACCACTGGCTGTGCTCTGCTGTTTATATGATTCTGGGTGAATTATGAAAAGTTTTCACCAACCTGAAATAAGATGGTTGGGCCCACAGAAAAACCACCATTTGGGGTGAATTCGGTCGCGTGAGGTCGTTATAATTCACCCAGATGACTTGTTGAAGCCATATGGCCATGCGCCTGGAACTCCCGGAGATTCTTCACGCTCACCACCCGGTCCTTGGCTCGGAAGATCGGCCGGCAAGAAGCGTGCCCCTTGTTTTGCAGAAAGCGTGTTTTGCTTGAGGGTTCCCTTACGTTGGGTTGTCCAGAAAAACCGAAGAAACATCGAAATCCATTTTGTGGTCCCCAATCATGACACTCATATGATCTGAGGGTACCCCTGTTTTGTGGTTCTATCAGGGAAACCAAACACCCCCCCCATAAGTGATGCGACATTCACCAATGCTAAGGCCCACGCGCCAGGCAGGATCTTCGCAGGGCGCCCACTCCCATCCACGCCGCAGTTTACCTGGCTTTGGCGATCAATCGATCGCAACCCCAATGCCTGGAGTCTCCATGACCCTTAATATAAAAGGGGGTCATGACACCTTTATTTTGGGTAATGACCCCATTTTTTGAGGGTCATGGAGACTCCAGGTGCTTCCAAAAACTGCTCATACATCGATTCGGGTTCCCAACACTGAGTTTCACAAATGAGATCCCACTCCAAGGTCGTGCAAAGCGGCGCTTACGAAGCCTCAGCTGGCTAGCCTAGACCCCCCAACTGCTTTGTCCCATGTGGGGGTTGATCAAAGGGCTTTTACATTAATGGATGACAATCAGGGAAACCACAAAAAAGACTTTCACGAAATGAAAAAAATACCCATGGTCATTTTGGGCCAAGCATATTGATCAACCCCCGTGTCCAAATCCACTTGGTACGGTAACCAACAAGCAGTGGTTGGCGGGTGCTCCCTCTTTTGCTTCCTGGGGCGATAGGTAGGGAATGACCCAGTCCGGGTGTTGGGCATGAACCGAAAGGGGATTCCCAAACAAAAGAAACCACATCGAAGATGAGTTAAAAGTAGTCATTCCATTTTTCATTCCCTGCTGGGAACAAACAAGTTTATCCTCCCTATCCTCCCTTTAGAGATCACCCCTCGGCAGCTATGGTTCACGAAACAATTTTTAAAACAATAAAACGGCGAATGCAGAGCAGGGTCGATTTGGGGGGTATTTCTTCTCCGCCTCCATGTTGAAGGGCATTTTGAGCACGTCACTTTTCAGGGATCCAGAAAACACAGAAGCACAGCTTGCTTTCTGCTGATTCCAGCCCAGTCGCATATGGCTGCATTCTTTTGTTGAGGGTCCCCGCGGTTTGGTGGTCTTAAAGGAGCACCAAACGAGGAACACCGTTGCCAGTTTGGGGTTTCCCAATCAAAGGGCACTCACTTTCCACCCTGCCATTTCATTGGTGACCATATACTGCCACCAAGTGGGTACCTGATTTGGAGAAGTCGCCCAGTCAGGGTTGCGGAGAACCACTGTGAGAACACGTTTCAAGTTTTGTAGATCACTATTCACTGGAAGACTGGTCGATCACCACCTCATTCCCAAACTCCTGTTCGGAATTCATCTGTGTCCTCCAAAGCGTCATCCTCAAAACAACTCAACGGCTTGAAACGACCACATTTACCACCGAATAAAAGGAAACAGTCCCCAGAAGTAGCTGTGACCCCCCCCCCTCCGAAACCGGGAAGCAGTTGTTTTGCCAAAAACCGCCCCCCTGGCTCTCGTTTCTGGGGTCTGGGGGTCCAGGCTACACTGCCGCAGCGCATTCGCTCATCCAGGGCATCCAGCAACTTTGTCTTGGCCTGGCACTCACTTTTCCAGGTGTACCTTCCATTTCCATTCTGAACCCAGGGATCCTTCTCAGAAAACCGCTGAAAATTTAGAGGGAAATTCATGGGGTGAGCGGCAAATGGGGTGAGGCCCGAGGACGAAAACGACAAGAAAACACCGCAAACACGCGTGTTTCCCCGGAAAAGCACTTTCTTTCCTTCCGGCGCTGAAGGTAATTGTCTCCAGGGCTTGCTGGCTAGCTTGCTTGCTTGTGTTTGGTTGCTGTGCTGCGCACAAAGTGGTCAAGCCATTTATTGCTGCATTCATGAGGGCACGTTTAGTGTAGAAAGGCAACACGTTTCTGGGACCATGGGTGTTTGGGGCCAGGACCATGGGGGCTTGTTTGGGACCATGGGTGTTTGGGACCAAGTGTGTGGGTCATGGGTTTTGCGACCACTGTTTAGGACCATGAATATTTGGGACCACCGACCGGCTGTTTGGGAATAGCGCTTGGGACCATGAGTGTTTGGGACCACCGTTTCAAACCACACGCGAGCGTTTGGGACCACCGTTTGACAGTGCGTGCTGGGACCCACAATTTGGGTGGGTGGACCAGCTGTTTGGGACCATGGGTGTTTGGGACCCACAGTTTGAGGGTCATGGGCATTTGGGAGCATGGGTGTTTGGGACCATGGTTTGGGACCATCGTTTGGGACCACCGTCTGGGACCATCGTTTCGACCATGGAACACTGTTTGGGACCACCATTGGACCCACCGTTTGGGGACAACATGGGGGTTTGGGACCATGGACCGTTTGGGACCATTGTTTGGGACCATTGCGGCTCATGAGCGTTTCGGACCAGCTGTTTGGGACCGTAACCCACTGTTTGGGACCACCGTTGGGATGATGGGTGTTTGGGATCCACAATTTGGGACCATGTGTTTGGGTAGGCGTTTGGGACCATGGGTGTTTGGGAGCTGTTTGGGACCCACGCTTGAAACCCACCATTTCGGGTTTTGGACCGCTGTTGGGACCATGGGTGTTTGGGCCTGATTATGGGACCCCAGTTTGGGCCACCGTTTGGACCATGGCGATGGGTGGGACCACCGACCCGCCTGTTTGGGACGACAAGAAAAGACAGGTGGAAAAGGGGCCTGCTTGGCACCGCGCCTGCTCAGCGCCTTGTAGGTGCCTGCTCGGCACCGCGACCCCGGGCGTTTACCGTTTGGGACCAGCTGTTTGGGACCATGGATGTTTAGGACAACTGTTTGGGACCATGGGTGCGTGTCTGGGACCAGCTGTTTGATGGGTGTTTGGTTTGGGACCATGTTTGGGATCATAGGTGTTGGCAACGTTTGGAACCATAAGTGTCTGGGACTTGATTTGGGACCCTGGGTGATTGGGACCAGCCAGCTGTTTGGGATACTGGGTGTTTGGGACTACTGTTTAAGGACCAATGAGTGTTTGGGACCAGCTGTTTGGGACCATCCTGTGGGCCAGCTGTTGTTTGGGAGCATGGGTGTCCGGGACCACTGTTTGGGACCATACCGTTTGGGACGATCGTTTGGGACCATGTTTGGGACAATTGTTTGGGACCATGGTTTTTGGGACCCACCGTTTCCGGTTGGGCAGTTTGGGACCCACAATTTGGGACCATGGGTGTTTGGGACCATGGGTGTTCGGGACCAGCTGTTTGGGACCATACCGTTTGCCACCTTTGGGACGATCGGTGTTTGTTTCGTTTGGGACTACCGTTTGGGACCATGGGTGTTTGGGACCCCACAATTTGGGACCATGCGTGTTTGGGACCATAATTTGGGACCATTGTTTGGGACCATGCGGGTGTTACCATGTATCCGGGACCACTGTTTGGGACCATGGGTGCTTGGAACGCACCACCATACGTGTTTGGGACCTGTTTGGGGGCCACCGCTTGGGACCATGGGGGACCGTTTGCGTTTGGGACCGTTTGGGACCATGGGTGTTCGGGATACCGTTTGGGACCATCGACATGTTTGGGACCACCTTCGTTTGGGACCACCGTTTGGGACCATGGGTGTTTGGGACCCACACTTTGGGACCATGCATCGTTTGGGACCATGGGTGTTTGGGACCACTGTTTGGACCATGGGTGTTTGGGGCCCACCATGGGTGTCTGGGACCATCGTTGGGACCCACCACCATATGGCTCTTTGGGATCAGTAGTTTGGGACCATACCGTTTGGGACCACCTGTTTGGGACCGGGTGTTTGTTTTGTTTGGAACCACCGTTTGGGACCATGGGTGTTTGGGACCCACAATTTGAGACCATGGGACCAGCGTTGGGTGTTTGGGACTCCTAAGTGCCCGCTCGGCACTCCTAAGTGCCCGCTCGGCACTGGAAAAAAAAACAAACAAACAAAAGGCCGCGGGCCCGAGCGCTTTTTCCTCCAGCGGGTCGAGGTCGGTCGCGTCGGGCTCACTGTCCTGCGAGGGATCGAGCGCGACGGTTCGGAAGGAAAGGAAAACGACGGCGGGGGGTCCTTGCCGAGGCCGCTTCGACGCCGGCGATGAAGACCCCTGACACGAAAGCGAGGCCGAACGATTTCAACGGTCGACGGATGAGCCTTCAGGCGATCCAGCTCCTGGCGGAGCGCGCGAGCATCCGCCTGGCGGGCGCAACGGGGGGCAGGGGAAACGAAAAAGACGCCCGGTAGCGGGCCTGAAAGCCTTGGGTCCACTGCTTCTCGCCGCGGAGCTCGGTCTCGAGCACGGCCACGCGAGTGGCCTGACAAGGAAAAAACGGGGGGAAAGAAGGAAGGGAGACGGGCCTTCGCGGCGAGCTCCTCCATCAACGCCACCTGCAAAACGGATTTGCGGGTCCCGCGAAACCCCGAAGAAAGGGTCGGTGGCGACCCGCGCTTCCGCGGTGGAAGCGCGGGTCTCCGCCGCGGCGAGCCGCTCATCCTGACGGGAAAAAAAAAGAAAGGCCGACATCCGAACGGCGAAGAACGCGCCTTGAGAGCGAGCTCGAGGCGCGTCCTGTCCTGCCAGGCAAGCGGAAAAAAAGGGGAAAAACGAGGAAAACGACGGGCCTTGGAGGCGTTGTGCTCCGCCTCCCGGCGGAGCTTCGATGGAGGCGGCCTCCACGAGCGACGCAAAAAAAAACGAGAAAAGGCGATCGAACGAGCGCGCCTGCGGCTCGGCTTCCACGCCACCTCCTGGCAGAGGCAGCGTGGAAAGGAAAAAAAAGGAGGAACAAAAAGGGAAGACGCGCCTCCCAGCCGGAGGATCCTCCGCCGAGCACGACATGGCGAAGCGACGCAAAAAAAAACCCTCCGCCGGCGCCTCCCCACTCCGCTCCTGTCCAACCTGCCGTCAAGCCACATGGAAAAAAAAGGACGGAACCCTCACCGCGCCTCCCCATCCTCCTCCACCCCAACCTCGCAACGAGACAAAAAAAAAGAATGAACCCCTGGCTCATGCCCCGCCTACGTCCGGGCCCCACGGGCCCCACGTCTGGTCCTGAGACCAAAAAAAAGGCATGTTTTTGCAAGGAAAAAAAAGAGACGGCCTCCTCACCATCCGCCATCGCAGGGGCCGAGCGCGCCGGGATGCCGAGGTGCTGTTGCTGCTGCTGTTGATGCTACTGTTGCTGTCTCCTGCTTAGCCCGCTACCCGAGCAAAACCTCAAGTGCCCTCCCCGAGCTAAGATTAAAGTGCCCTCCCCGAGCTAAGATTAAAGTGCCCTCCCCGAGCCAAGTGCCCTACCGAGCCAAGTGCCCTACCGAGCCAAGTGCCCTACCCGAGCTAAGATCCTAGTGCCCTACCCGAGCTAAGCCGGAGCCAAGTGCCTTACCCGAGCTAAGATCCTAGTGCCCTACCCGAGCTAAGATCCTAGCGCCCTACCCGAGCTAAGGTGCCCTACCCGAGCTGGGTGTCCGGAAACCACTGTTTGGGACCATGGGCTGGAACCAGCTGTTTGGGACCATGGGTGTTCGGCCAGCCGTTTTGGGACCATCGTTTGGGACCACCTGTTTGGGACCATGGGACCATGAAGGGACCTCACAATTTGGGACCATGCGTGTTTGGGACCACGGTTTGGGACCATCGTTTGGGATCATGGGTGTTTGGGGCCGGGCGTTTGGGATCATGCGTGTCTGGGACCATGGGTGCTTGGGACCCACCACACGTGTTTGCGACCAGCTGCGTGGGACCAGCTGTTTGGGATGATGGGTGTTTGGGACCACTGTTTGGGCCAAATGGGTGTTTGGGACCAGCTGTTTGGGACCATCGTGTGGACCATGGGACCAGCTGTTTTTTTCGACCATGTTTGGGACCATTGTTTGGGACCATGTTTGGGGCCATCGTTTGGGACCATGGGTGTTTGGGACCCACCGTTTCTGTTTGGGACCATGGGCTGCTTGGGACCCACAATTTGGGACCATGCGTGTTTGGGACCATGGTTTGGGACCATGGGTGTTTGGGACCAGCTGTTTGGGACCATACCGTTTGGGACCATCGTTTGGGACCATGCATGTTTGGGACCACCTTGAGAACCATGGGTGCTTGTTTCGTTTAGGATCACCGTTTGGGACCATGTATGTTTGGGACCCCACAATTTGGGACCATGCGTGTTTGGGACCATAATTTGGGGCCATCGTTTGGGACCATGCGGGTGTTTGGGGCCCACCGTTTGGGGCAGAAAAAGTGTCCGGGACCACTGGGTGCTTGGGACCCACCACCATACGTGTTTGGGACCAGCTGCGTGCGACCAGCTGTTTGGGAACCACCGCTTGGGACCACGGGACCCACAATTTGGTTTTGGGTGTTTGGGACCCACAATTTGGGACCATGCGTGTTTGGGACCGTGGTTTGGGACCATCGTTTGGGACATGGAACCAGCTGTTTTGGGACCAATTTGGGAACCATGTGTTGGGGACCAGCTGTTTTGGACCACCGTTTGGCATGACCAGCTGTTTGGGACCCACCATGAGTGTTTGGGACCATGTGTTTCGGACCATGGGCTACCGTTTGGGGCCGGGCGTTTGGGACCATGGGTGTTCGGGACCAGTTGTTTGGGACCATACCGTTTGGGACCATCGTACCTGGGTTTGTTTCGTTTGGAACTGCCGTTTGGGACCATGGGTGTTTGGGACCCCACAATTTGGGAGCATGCGTGTTTGGGACCATGGTTGGGACCATTTGGGTGTTTGGGACCACCGTTTGGAACCATGCGGGTGTTTGGGAGGACCAGCTGTTTGGCTGGACCATGGAACCAGCTGTTTGGGATTTGGGACCGGGTGTTTGTGCAGTTTGGGTTTGGGACCATGGTTGTTTGGGACCATGGGTGTCCGGGACCACCGTTTGGGACCATGGGTGTTTGGGACCCACAATTTGGGACCTGCGTTTGGGACCAGCTGTGTGGACCAGCTGTTTGTGTTTGGGACCATGGGTGTTTGGGACCACTGTTTGGACCATACCGTTTGGGACCATGGTTTGGGACCATGCATGTTTGGCCATCGTGACCAACCGTTTGGGACCACCGTTTGGGACCATGCGTGTTTATGACCCACAATTTGGGACCATGCGTGTTTGGGACCATGGTTTGGGACCATCGTTTGGGATTATGGGTGTTTGACCACCGTTTGGGACCATGCGGGTGTTGCGGGTGTTTGGGACTATGGGTGTTTGGGACCCACCGTTTGGGGCCGGGCGTTTGGGATCATGGGTGTCTGGGACCAGCTGCTTGGGACCATGGGTGTTCGGGACCAGCTGTTTGGGACCACCGTTTGGGATTTGGGACGGGTGTTGGGGACCAGTTGGCTGGGACCATGGGTGTTTGGGGTTTGGGACCATGGGTGTTCTTGGACCACTGTGTTGGGATTATGGGTGTTTGGGACCACTGTTAGGGCATGGGTGTTTTGGACCATCGGTGTCTCAAACCAGCCCCTTGGGCACTGAAAAAATGCGCACAAATTTCCACTCTACACTGAAGCAAAGCGGCTGTGACAACACAGAAAAGGAGGAAGACATCCTGCCCAACTACAAGCTCACAACGATCCTTTGGGTGGAAGGAGGAACCATCGCAACCCCAGCTCCCAGTGACAAACCCATATGATTGTTGCTTTTTGTCTGTCTAAAATCAACGGCTGTTTTCTGCTGTTTCATGGTTTTTTGCGCTGCTTTCTGCCTTCGTCTGCCCTGAAGCCTCGCCCCGTTGACCCTTCACCCCCTTTATTTTTCTCCAGAGAAAACGGATTCGGGTTGTTGAAAAGAACAATGGTTGGAAGGAATGGGGAATCAACCCCTAGAACTTTGGTGGCTGAGATTTAGAGTCGCTGTTACCCAGATTCTGGGTACTGTGACTCGTTTTTAGGCACTGTTACAACCCCTACGTTAGAGTCGGGGCCCCGTTGTTTGTGGCTTTAAAGGAAGAACCAAAGGACAACCGATGCCATGATTTTTGCGCTCAATGCTTCTTTTGGGGCCATTTGGTGGACATCAACATTCAGTGGGAATTAATATCCAACAATCACTTTTGAGGTGGTCTCCTATTGTGATTCACAGCCAAATGAGCGAGCGGGACGTTGTCTGGCTTTTTGGGGATTTGCTTCTTCATTGCCCATCCCCCAGAAACCTAATTGCTCAGAGAAGATTCAGCAAGAAGAGCCATTGCAGCCTGGTGACTATTTCCGACTAGTAACTATGAGTCCTGGACTGGGCTTGGAGGTATGGAAGCTATATACCACATATATCAGGGGTGTATACTGCGTTACAACCTTCAATTGGTGGCATATACGCCTCCATACTGCGGATGGACGAAATCCTGCACCACTTTGAAACTAGGGGAAACCACAACGTGAGTTGGTATTTACACTTGGAAATCGAATCAGACTCCAGGGTGTCTGAGCGGCGGTGCAATTTCTGGATTTCGCAATCCATCCACAGTATGAAAGTTGTTTACTACCTTTTTTTGCAGGGGTATATGCTGCCGTACCAAAAAAACATGGGAGAAGAAAGCCTCCACGCCTCCATACCTAAAAATGGTGTTGAGGGCAATGAGCGTCTCACCCTTAGACGGCGCGGTGGCGCGTATTAAAGCTAAGGCACTAGACGGGTGGCAAGCTCACTTTTTTGTGGAGCTGGTAACCCTTCCTTGGTGGTTTTAAGGAAGACCGCAATTTTGGGGGGTCCCCGAAAAAAGACACGCTCGATAAGCCATCTACTTTCCTCGAACTGTAGTAGGGAACCTTTAGTCATCTTCCTTTTAATTCTAAAGGGTTTCCAACTACTAGAGAAAGACGTCAAACAATGTGTGTCTGGTTGATGGACAACTCCAGGCAAAAGCAATTGGTAGATGACTTATCCCGGTAACAGGGAAACATGCATCGCAAACTGGTGCAAGTATTTGCGCACAGCAGTACTAAGGGAGCAGTGCTTCCCTGACAAACAGGGGCCTAGTCAAACTTGGCCGTTCGGTTTGAAAAACGGCGGTGCCGATCAAAGGTTGAATGTATACGTTCATATTATGAACCCCTGGTATGAACCCCTAGTTTATGGGTTAACTGTCCGACCCACGTAAAGTGGATGACAGCCATTGTTTGCGACAACTGGGATAGCTTCTCTTTCGAAAGCGCGTGGCCATACTTTGCACATCCTGCCCATCCCCCTTTAAATCTTCTTTGGGAACACATCACAAACAATGATTGCTGTGGCTATAGGCGTTAAAATTGAAATCCGTCATCTACCTCAGCTCTCCTCCCCTGGTGTCACACACACACACACAACAAGGACGAACAAAAGATATCAAGGTCCTCCAGTAGAGAGGTTAGAAGTCTAACCCTCCCCCGAAAAGGGGTAAAAGGGCACTAGTGGGGGACCTAGGAAATCATGGAGATGCTTTGCACCGATTCGGATTTCTCGCGGATTCTCCAGCCTCCTGGCTGTTCAGGGTACAGGGGAAGACTTCTCGGCGCTGGCCCGTCTGCACCAGCAGGGAGTACGTCAGAAAGATCACCTCGCGCGAAACGTGGAACAAGACCTTTTCAGTAGAAAAAGCCCCCCCCTTTTGGGGTTGATGAAAGATTTAAGGTTGAGAAAGAGGGGAAAGCTGCCAGAAAGGCCAAAACAATTGCACCTGTATCTTGACGCCAGTGCTGCTGGTCCAGTTTGGGCAACCTAGGAACCTGAACCTCAGATAACCTCAGAGTCAAAAGGAATTAAACGATTAGAAGGCTGAGGGGTGCTTCAAAACCAACAGTCGTGATAGTTGCAACTAGTGACCCCTTTGACGGAAAAAGACCTGGACCTTTTATAGGGCTTCCACGTTCAGTGAAACATATTTAAAACACGAAAAACACATATTAGCTCTACGTGGTATTTTAAAACAAACAATAACGATTCAATATCATAAGACAATCAGGTGGTGAAATACTTGGCCAATCATATTGCTCTTAATATCCAGCGACCCCTTGGCAAGACAAAGGGGCCCCTAATGAAGTTGACTCCATGTTCAGCGGGGAGCCAGCAAAAAGGGGCTAAACGGGGTAGCCCTAAACATGTGAAAATTCGCAACAGGCGGTGGTGTTTTTGTTTGGGGGGCACATGCATTGGCAGCGTGTAGCCTATGCGAAGGCTACGTGCGCTTCATTTCCTCATATGGATTTGGCAGGTCCCTTCTCTTGAACACCTTTGCTTACAGCTTAGCTGAGTCAGGAACAAAACCTGGTATGGAAAGGGTCGACCCAAAACCGTGCCCCATCAACACCAAAAAAGCGGACCCTCGCACCGATTACTGGAGTCTGCCCCCTGCTCACCTTCACTTTGCAGGGTTTTGATGGGAGAGCCGGGCGCACTTAACAAAACTCGGTTGGTCTCATTGAGACATCGTGCCTGCCTCCAAATTCAGCTTCTAAGCTTATATACTGGGGCAAAACCAAAAGCAACCAAGTTTCGTGCATGGGTATGTGCCAACAATAGGGGGACCCGAACAATGGTGGCTTTCCATTTGTTTCCTTCTAAACCCTTGGCGACAAACTGTGCCTCGAAAACCACGTCCATATAAGCCCCGATCAATATTTAGTGTGCCCCCCAATGATATTGGATTTGGTCAACAACCCCCATTTCCCTATTCTTAATTTGCTAAGAATTTCAATTATATTCTTAATTTGGAGAAGAAAAACAAGGGGGACCCTTTTGCATCAAAATTCGTGTGGGGGTTCGTGTCCTTTTCAGGTGGCTTGCCGTATATTCTACACATCCCCGGGGCGCTCCAGCTTCCATCCGCTCACATGGAACCCTGAGGAGTACCTAGAGTCTCCTTCTGACCCTTCAAAAATGGGATCTTCCGCCCTTTCTTTTGGGTAATGATCAACCATTTTTTAAGGCTCAGAAGGAGACTCTAGAGGAAAAGGAATTTGCCTGCTCCAGGTTAGTGCAGAGAAGGAGTTGGAACCCGCTGCGCAGCAGCAAGTTATGAAGATCCGTCCAACCCATACTCCCACTAAACCAACTAAGAACACCAAATGCCTGGACCCACCAGTCCAGAAAACTGGAAAATTACCACCGAACTGGTTGGTGTTAGTTGATTTTGTTGGTTGTAGTTGGTCCAGTGCAAGATATCCACCAACTAAAACCAACTAAAACTGAAAGATACGTCCACCAATTAAAACCACCGACTAAAACCACCGCATAGTTGGTTCAGGTCCAAACATCTGTGAAAAATATCCAACTAGTGAGGCTGCAATCTCTCCAAGTCACTCCGTCTCCCTCCACGCCCAGGCCACGAACCAGCTCCTCACTCGCCATGCTGAGAGAAACATCTGGCCCGGCGTGCCAAAAGGGAGCCCCCCCAAACCATCCCTTCGATGCGCTGAATGGCCATGAACTCTTTCCCTTTGGCTGCCTGGACTTCCCTTGGTTGACGTTGGAAGGGGAGCACAAATTTATTTTTTAGCACTTAAGTGGTTGGATTTCAACCACTAAACCACAATAAGCAAAAATGTATCCAATGTTTCCCAACAACAACCAGGTTCCAATGAAAAGTTGGAGAAATGTTACTTCGTGGCTTCCAGCAACAACAAAAAAACGATCGATCGATCCACTTGTGGAGGCTCCAAAAATGGGAAATTTGGCTCGGAGTTTCTGCCCAACCATCTGATCCCAGGTATCCTGCCACCAGCCATTATGCGTTTAGCATTTAAAGGGGTTGCATTGGATAGGGGCAAAAGGATCTGGCGAACATGGGCCTTTTGAAGACCTAAGGTGAAGCAACTTCACACTTTGGAACCGGCAGAAGTGTTGTTCTTCTGCCCTTTGGACGAATAAAGCGAGCCTCCGAAAGAGACCAAAGAAAACCAACCATGGTTTGGCGGAAATTGTTTTGAAAACACTTACTTGGTTCAAACTCCACAAAAGGTTGGTTTACTTCTGGTCTGCCTTCAATCCAAGGTGAAACAATTACCTTCAAAAAGACATACATGTGCGTATGATATATATGTATGTGTATACTGTATACCTGGACCCTCAAACTACCCATAAAAAACGGGAACTCACCCAAATTGTTTTGGGCCAAGAGCCGCGCTTTTCGGGTTTTGTAAGGGTCCAGGTAAACCTCTGGCTGTGGCACGAGGGATCCTCAGTCCTTGTTGGCGGTGGTGCCTTTCTTGTCCAAAGGTCCGCTGGGTGGCAGCTTCCGCATGGCAATACCTCGAGAGGCGAGTCTCAAGCCTTGGATCCCAAAAACATAAGGAGAAGCTGCATCTACATGTGAAAACCTGGTGTAAAAAAGGTTGAGCCAGAACCATGTAAAGAATTAAGAAGGCGGCCGCAGCTATTTCTGGCTGGGATCGTCCCTTACTAACAACCTTCATGTACCCGGGTTTTGATTGTGGCTCATGTGGCACCAGGCAGGGGATCGCAGGTTTCAGTCCTTGGTTCCATCTACTAGGGTTCCAAAATGGATCCCCATTTGTGACCCACAGCCATGTCTTTGCTCCAGCCAAAGGCCCCTTGGGGCTAAACCCTGCGTCCCAAAGAGGAGCCTCAAGTTAGGTGTCACAGCTCTAGCATGCTCCAGCACCTCTGCACTGGTGTTCCCTACGGACTGCTGACCTGGGACCAGTACCTTCCATGGATGGGCCCAAACAAGTCCACATTTGTTCTTTGAGCACTGCTTTGGGTCTCAATAGGCTGTGTCCTTCTTTAGGGGAACCCCCCCAAAAAAAACACGTCTCCTTGCGGTTTCCTTTCTAAAGCAACCTGTCTCCTGTTGCTTGTGATGTCCATTTCAAACCAACCCCAAAACAAGTACCCTCAAGAAAACAAAAACCGAATTTCATTCCAAGTGCCATCCGCAAATATGTAAACTAGCTGAGTCTCCGGCAGGGGATGTCTGCGCCCAAATCCTGCAAATCGCGGCCTGGCTGATCGGGCCGACCTTTGACCCAAAAGGCCCATAGCCAAAACGACATGCCCCTTGCAGGGGTTCCCCACCTGACTTTGTCCAGAGAAAATAGACCATCTGATTCCGCTTCATGGTCTCACTTCCTGAGTGGATTGGTGAGAAAAGGCTCAAAGCGTTTACCACTAGAATGGTCTCGGTAAAAGGAACTCAGGGAGTGAGTAAGGGTTCTCCCGCTGATCTTGGCCCACATCTGAGCTACACAAAAATTAAACTATATTGTGTGATTCCGCTTCATATTTAGTCCACCCTAAAATGTGGAATCGCTCCGGAGCTTCCGACCCCAGCTTGGCATCCTGTAGTGCAACTCTGAATTAATAAACCACTGGCGGATTCATACGGGGTGTTTTAATTTAGGGGGACTCATTCATTTGTGTTAGGCGGAAAGAAACATCCCCCTCAATTCATGCGCCAGGTTTATTCATCACGGGTCGACAGTGGCATCGCATCACAGGATGTCTCAGGCGCTGGCACGCATCGTAGTAGAGGTCACCTTAGGCGAACGTCTCGCTCCGAGCAAAAGCACACCACCACTTTCCTATACCCAAAGTGGTCCTGGTGCGTCAAGTTTGGCATCCAAGATGCCAGAGTTGGAAACATCGGTTTTCCGCCCAAGTTTTCCTGCACCTACAAAACAAGGCTTGTGGGGCCCCGTAACAGCTTTTTCCAGAAGGGATTGAAAATGACCTCCCTCCAGAAACGCTGTTGCAAGTAGTAAGGCTGTCCCTCCATCGTTGGTCAGCAAGTGAGGGTCCAAAACTGATGTGCTTTTGGGACCACACATACTTGAACCATGAGACCAGGTAGCAGAAGCACCTCCTAATTGGCCCAATTGTCGGGCTTGACCACATAGACTCCTTTCGGCGCGGTACATTTCAGGCTCCTTTGGGAGCCTGGGGGAACACCCCTCCCCCCACAAATTCCAAAAAAATCCTTCCCCCCATCAACTATACCATAAACGCAGGTCCCACCCCTTGGTTCGATCTGAGGAAATGGCCATGAACTCTTCCTTTAAGCAGGGGTTACTGGATTCCCATTTAGTTGCAATTCGCTTTTGTGGCTTCCATTGAAACGATCGCCACCTGAGGTTCCCTTTAATTAAAGGGAAATGGCTCGGAAACTCTGCTACGGGAATCCCCAGTTTCATTCTCATCTAGGGTGCCGTTAGGTCGGATTTAACAGAAACCAAGACAGCAACTCGCATCGGAGTGCTCTAATTTTGACACATGGCTCGTCTTTTTTCGTGTACCTTTATTGTGTTTTCAAAGAGAAACCAGAAGGACAACCCACCATTGTTTTTGTTTGGTGTTTTTTTTTTGGGGGGGGGGTCCCAAAAAAAAGACACACGCACATGCCCGAACTGACCAAGATCCAGGAGTAGCCTGATACCAAGAGTCCGGCTCGTAGCTGACACCCAAATTGAACCTGGCGTGAGAACACGCTACACCACGTGGTGCAAAGTACAGTGACACAGCCAGGCAGGAGATTCCTTATCGCCAAACTCTTCACAATTATGTGTTGCGAGTTCACCATCACCAGCATAAACTAGGGTTCTCCCAGCAAGGGGCCTTTATCAAGCGGCGCGGAATCGCTCATTTTATGTCCGTGATACCAAACAGACTTGAGTCTCATCCAACCAGTGACCACTAACGCGAACCCTGGAAGGGAGCTTGTCCCCTTTTGGGATCTTTCACTTTGGGGAGCCGTGACACGTCTTGGTGGGTCCCGTGTTTTTCATTGCCTGCAGGAAGGATTTTTGTCCCCTTCCTTCACTCACCAGTCAGGCCTACTCCAAATCGCCACATCCATAGACGTTTGTATAAAATGTCCAGAAAGACACACCCGTTTTTTTGGGGGAGTGTTCGGCTTTTAAATGGGAACTTTCGGCCTTCAAATGTCCAGACACCACACGTTTCGTATGGGTAACCAAGAAAAGACCCAACTCAACCCGGAAAAATGGCGCCTGGGACCCATGGCTTTGGGGGCCTGGGATCCATGGCTTTGAGTGGCTTCCTTTGATCGAAAAAAAACAAAATCGAGCTTGCCTTTCGGTTTGCCTTTCGGTTTCCCTTTAAAACCCACCAAGGGCTACCCCTCCCCCCCCGCCCAAAAAAAAGAAAAAGAACTACAAACAAAACAATTTTTGAGATATACCATTGGTTCAACCCCGAGCGAACCGGCCATGGATCCGATGAACCTGCCCGGGACCTTGGGACCCCGGGACCCCGGGCGGCGGTGCCCGGAGTTCCAGAGGTGGTACAGCAGTGCGGAGATGACCCTCAGCCGGCCATCGACTCGGGGCCCTTTGGAGATATTTCTTCGATCAACACGTCCGATGAACATGGGGTACCCTGCACTACATGGCTAAATGGGGTTACTCATGATCATGTTTGGGCCAGGAATATCAATCAACCCCCACATCCAAAACGGGCAAGCCCCTACTTTTCGGACATGGAACGAAAGCAGCCAAGAATCAATCATACAAACCTGCTCCAGGGCTTTCTACGAACAATTGGCGACACACATACTAAAAACAAGGGGTGTCTGCCAAGATTCCTGTAGCTGACTAGGTTGTCACTTGAAAGGTAGGGAGTTCGTTTTTTGCGCTCTGAAGAGGGAGCGTGCATGAGGTTGGTCAAGGCCTGTCAGTTGAGTACAGTTCAAGTTGAGACTCTCTTGCCCAGAGACCTTTGTAAGTGTACAGGCTTTCCTATTTCTACTACGGTTTCTATATTATTAGTCTTGATTTGAGGGGCAAAACATCACCTCAATCCAGATATTGCCATCAGCATGTGCTCCAGTTTGCCACAAAATTGCTCAGCCTCACCGCGATTCAGCGATGCGGCCGCTGCTGGCTGGCAAGAAAAGGGCGAGCACTGTTGGCCGTGACTGGCCCTCCGGGTGCATTTTTGTTCGATCTCCCGAAATGCCCTATGTTCGCACTGTTTGCGGAGTTCCATTTTGGTCTTGGATTGGTGCCCCATTGCATGCAAAGAACTGCAAAGTCGGGCAAATGTGCACGGTCTCGACAGGGTTACCATGACGAGAGTCTGAGATAGTTAGTGACTCCACACTGCCAAATCCAACGCACCTCAAATGGGTGCTTGTTTATTGTTCGGGTGCCCCTTTTGTTGGTGGTTTTAAAGGAAAACCCAAAGGAAACAACCGAAGCCATTTTGAGGGGTTCCCCAAAAGACACACCCAACTAGCCACATTCAGGTTTCGATCTGACCCTCGATTTGCTTTGCGATCCGTGGAGCCCGAGTGGGGTACCAGCCACCCTAGGGGAAGCCCGAGGGAAGCGACCCATAAGCCATTTGAAGACAACATGTGTGAAAGCAAAGCATCCAACATTGGCCTAAACAAGTGTCCTATGTTTCCTCTCACACGGGGTCACAGAGTCTCAAAACAGGCATCCAGTAATATGCATATTATAATCCTTCTGGTTTTTAGAGGGAGGTGACCCTTGATTGCCTACTATGCCAGTCCAGAAACTCTGGACGTGGCGCAAACGGTTTTTTGCCAAACTCTTGTCGCGCCTGCCCTTGCCACAGCCAGTGCCATCGCCAAGCACCTGAAGCACTCCAACCAACACCCAGCACCAAAATGCGCTTTGTGTGGTACCTGATATCAAACGAACACCGCATTGGGCTACTCTGAGGCAAATGTAGCCGCCAAAGGGGCTGGTTTTTCTTGGAATTGGTTTGGAGAGGGTACCCCCCCGAAGTCGAGAAGAATCTGCGGCCCGGAGCGTTGATACTGTCATGGACCCGTGTCTATGGTACGTAGAAAGAGACGACTTAAACCATTTTTCTACCCGCGCGGTTGCTTTTCAAGGCCCAGAAGCCAAGTAATCATCGACAAAGAGGGCCCTATTCTTGCATAACCCCTACAACTGTGGACTGCCTCGTTGGAAACCGAGTCTCCGTGTTGCGAAGCTGAAGCTTGCCCATGAATTTACCACGAACGGGATTCCCAGAACAGGAGGCAGTGTCAATGTAAGGCCAAAATGGTAGGAAGGGTAGACAGGGGCAGGTAGCCATGGCTGCAAGTACGTGTTTAAACTAAAAAGAACAGGGTACATAGAAAGTGGCAAGCCACCATGTATGGACACATTGAAAAACAGGGTACGTAGAAAGTGACCACTCAAACCATGGCTGCTCACGTAGTAGTCCAAGAGAATGACTACCCGAAGCCTCAAGGCCCACAAGCCCAGTAATTAGCAACGAAGAGGGTCCTATGTTTGGATAACAGGACCCCTCCGAAAAAGCGGCGAAAGGAGAAGGGTTGTCGTACCTGAGGGTGGGGGGGGCGGCCGTGACATGGACACTTAGAGCATATGTTGCAGAAACAAGAACCCTAAAAAGCCAATACGTGCCCATCATACGGGGGGGCGGCCCCGAGCGAACATTGCGCCCCTCAAATGGAAACCATTTCGATGATGCGTCCGCCGACGGAGTTCTGTGCTGCCCCCACATAGCCGGCCGTGCGCCCGTCCGGCAGCTTGGTGCGGAACCGCCGGGCTGCGAAGCCTCGAAAGACCCGGAGGAGACGCATGGCCCCACAGCCCATGGGGAGGGCATTGAAAGGGATGCTGGGGTTCCTGGAATATCGCTTTTTGACGTGTAGAGAAGCTGAAGACCCAAACGAGCAATTCCCAGATTTAGTTTTTTGGTTCCCTGTTCAGGTTGGCTTCCAGGAGACCACAAACAGGTCTTGGTGCAGGGACAGGGTTGGGGGTTGAGCCCCGATCAGAACAAGGGTAGAAAGCACAGCGGGAAAAACCAAGGCGTTCTTCCAACATGTTTTGGTCATTTGGGAGGAGCCAAAAAGAAATGCACTCCGGACAGGGGTGGATTCGGCCAAATTGGGTTTTCCCTTGCTGAGTTTCCGCGACTTTGGAGCACCAAACGAGGCAAACGGTTCTGACTGTTCTCTCTGACAGGCATGAGGCTTCGTATTTCTGATCCACGGCACAAAGCCAAATGGCTGTGGCTCAAAAAAGTGGAGCCCAAAATGTTGCACCAAAAGGTAAATGGAACCGAAGACTAAAGCCCGCGGTTTGCCCCTCTTGAATTTTGAGCCATACCCAAACGATGATGTAATGATAATGCAATGTTGATCCCGGATTTTGATTAGGGGGTGTCCCCTCTTCGTAGGGGATTCATCACCTTTGGAGGGAAACACACCCCTACTAGTAAAAACGGTTGACATATCCGGGGTTAACGGTACTTTCTTTCGCATTGAGAGACATACCCATGAGAAGTTCGGGCCTGTCGTGGTTCATTTGGAAATGGCCACGGGGGTTTTGAAACGGGGAGGGGTTGCCATAGTTTTCCCATGTCCACTACCCTCCCTATGACGTGACAGAGGGCCCTTGAAGAGCATTGATCTTCCAGGTACCCTCCCACAGGTGCAAATTAGTGAGAAGAAGGGTACGGCTTAGTTTGGCATACTTTGGCCGTACCCCTGCGGTTTGGTTTCCACCACCATTTGTAAATTGTTTGCAAGGGAATCTTCGGGTACACCTTTCAAAGCTGCCAAGACTTGCGAGCAAAAGGCTGTCAGAGGCTGGCGAAAGGGCCTTGCTCCTCCTAAGGGTCCCTTCAAATCGGGACATTTGACAAAACTGGAGGCAGGCTCTATTAGTAACAGAACCTAATAGAGCCTGGAGGCAGTGGCTAGGGAGTGGACATGAAGCCTTGGGTTTCGCAAGCCTCATTCCGATGAACATGGGTGGTCTCCACTACTTTCCCTTGTAAGCCCGAAAGTGCTACCTTTCCCAGTGCTTCCAGGCAACCATAGTAGTTAACCAGGGGAATCTATTTCTGGTAAAACCTGGTAAGGCTCCCCGGTTGCAAGCCTACTTTGGTGCCTTGTCATGTCACGCCAACCGGAAGCACTGGCTTCAACACAAGACCCATTTGTCAAGGGCAAAATCCAGGGCTGTGGGTGTCGAGGCGCTTCTCTTCCACACGTGGCAAACAAGTACGACCTGCACTTCCACACCCGTCCGGGCCAACTCAAGAGAAGCCTTGACTGAGGGGGGGTTCCTCAAGGGAGCTGTTGGTGAGGGGTGCTAGTGGCATGGTTGCTATTGACCCCCCTCTGCAAAAAAGGTTTCCCTTCTTGTGGGCTCGATTCGGACAACCCAATGGATTTAAAGTCTAAAGATCCGCTATCCAAGACTGTGGATGGACGCAATCCTGCACCACTCTGCAGCCATGGGTAGCCATTGTTGGTTGGTATTTACAGGGGAATCCGGGTTTCTTCGGTGCTGCAGGATTTCGTCCATCCACAATAGCATCAAGGTGGAAAGGAACCAACCAATCGGATTCTGCACGCTCAAGATCGCTCAAGGCTGCGGCACACGGTCTCCAGCTGGAGAGAAGACAATCGCTCCTCGCTTCTGATCGGTTTCGAATCCGAAAACATAGTGAATGCACAGTAATGTTGACCCCACATTAATAAACCCCTGTTTATCAAGATGGAATTCTGGTTTTAGTGGGAATCAGACCACTTTTGGAGGGGAACACCCCCATATTAATAAACAGGGGTTTGTTAATCCGGGGTCAACAGTATCTGGCCCATAGGTAATGAACCGGAAAAATGGAATCCATCCATGGTAACACCTGGAGGTAGGAATCCCAGGTTCCAAGCCTACTATAGTGGCTGTGGAATTGCCAAAAGGAAAAGAACGCTCGCCATGAGAAACATCGGTCGCAAACAAAAACCGGATTTGGGAGACTACAAACAAGTTGTCCAGATTCTCATACCGCCGAGGAACTTCTTCATCCCATTCCCAGACACTCCGATGTTGGTGCTATTTGCCAACATTCGCGAACGTTGGCCTGAGAAGGAACATTGGGGTGTATAAGGCCAATGTTGCTCTGAGAGGCATACATCCAAAATGTTGGTTCGACAAATGCACGTTCCACAATTCTCCTGCGGTTAAATCACGCCAAATCACGCCAAATCACGGTATTACATGAATGTACCCCAAATGTGGCATACATTTGGCCCAAATGTATGCCACAAATGGCACACATTCAGTCCGACAATCACGCCAAATCACTCTCAATCACGCCCAATCACGGCATCCGACAAATTTTAGATTCCGATAAGCCCAATGTTGCCAAATTATGCCTACATACCGAATGTTGCTCTGAGAGACTACATTTGAATGTTAGTAAATATGACCAACATGGAGTGTGTGGGATTGGCGAGCGAATGAGTAACTCGCACGGTAAGGCCTTCAGGTCCTTGCGTAGGGAATCGTTACAACCCTTGGTATGGTGGAACAAAAAGGTAGCGGCCGCAGAAATCCCAGGTAGCTGTTCGCAGAGCAAGGAGGTGGTCTGCTAAAGTCGCCGCTTTTCACACTGGTAATGTTGCGCTGTGCATGCGGTTCATGCTAACAGCACCTCGCAAAAATGGGTGTGTCCCTCGCTGTACCCACTGGTCGGCGGTAAGATTCTATTTTGAGCCAGACATGGAAGTGTACGGACCTCCAAAAAGACCGTCTGCGAATGGTCTGTGAGGTGCGGGAGTGCGCTCTCATAGCCGCTCACTGAACAAAATGATTTCAACCCCCAAACGGGTGGTTTCCCATCTGCCCCCTACAAGAACCACCAATTACATAGGGGTAACCGGGCAACTACCCTGACAAACCACTACAACCACATGGAGCAACGCCTGAAACGGATGAAGTCCTAGAGTCTTCCCTTGAAACCAAGCCAAAAAGTGAAACCTACAAATATCACACACCCATCTGCGTCTCCTGCGCCACGTTGGCTGGCAGCGCCAGAATATCCCGCTCGGTCAACTCAGGCCTGAGCCGAGCGCTCGCTCGCTCTGCGTGCCGCACGTGTTCTGATCAAGTCTTGCCACTCTGTACAACACCATGTATAGGTCACCTCCCACCCTGGAAACTGATTTGCCCTAAAGGGGCTATGAGGCAAAATAGGGGCACCCTGCTCTCCTTTTCAACCAAGCCGAAGAAGAGTACCCTCCAACGCGCACGGACGTACCTTCCAGCTTGCCAACCGATTCTCGGTTGGGGCGCTCTGGCAGAAGCAGGGCTGTCCTCCGATCCCCTGCGAAAAGTTCAACTTTTAGGGGGGTTAAAGGGACACAACCACTAACATAGGTCTGATTTTAGGGCAACCCCCCCCAAACAAAAAAGTAAAAGCATAAGGATGTCCTTTTAGGGCAAACAAATGGCCCTGGTAGATGATTAAACCACCAGGTAAACCAGGGAAACCCATCTATTGTTCCACCAAAACAACCAAAAAAGGACACTATGCCCACAAAACAAACTAAAGAAACCTCAAAGAACAAGGAACCGCATGGCTGGGAACAAGCAAGCATGCAGGATTGAATTCGTGCTTTCAAAGTCGCTAGGTGCGTGAAACACCTCAGGGGTGCCGTATAAACAGTTTGTTTCTTGCCAGCCTTCGACAGGTCATGCTTGGCGATGCTTGAAAAGGGTACTTAGCTCTCTTTACGACCTTAGGTACGGTGGCAAAACACTGACTCGAAAACTTGCATTAGTACTGGGTATGCAACATGTCTTCTTTCCCAAAGTTAGGAAGATGCTTAAGGTTTGCTTCTGACTGCGTTGTATTACTTGCCCAAAGAAGCTTTGGCAGCCTTTTGGAGCCGGCAGCTGGAAACCGCACAAAATGGAAACTGGTACGAAAAGAGGACACTCTTTCAGCGGCCCTACTGTTGAAACAACCTTTGGTTTCCCTAAGTGCTAGCAGAAAAAATGGCTCCTGGTACACATGTGGCTGTGGCTCAAAAATTGGGTAACCCCAAACTGGGTTGCGCTGGTAAAATTGGAAACATGGGCTAAAATCAATCTGCGGTCCATATCCTGGTGCTCTTGTCTTTGATCCATACCCATGTTGCCCGGAAATCCAGGCAGCCCCCCCCTTTCAGTGTCAACCTCCCATGAAAAAAAAACAAAAAAACGCGGCCCCACGAAGAAAAAACCCTCGCAGCCCGGGTCACGTCTGGTTGACCGGGCTGCCCAGCAGCTTGATGCTGGCCGCAGCCCGCGGCTCGGAAAGTGGATCTGGATGGTCGCAGGTGCTGGTCTTCACCTGGTCTCTCGTGCTTTTTGTCGGGAGTTGAAGCACCGAGGTTTGGGGCTCGGAGGGAAACCCAAAAGGGACCACCGAACTCCGCTTGTTTTTTGGTTCTTGTTTCTTTTTTCTTTTTGGGGGGGGGGTTGAAGGAAGCCGAAAAGGGACAACCAAAATCCGTTTGGGGGGGGAATCCTGAAACAAGCGCACGGCCGTATCCCGAAGCAGTTGACCCCGCAAGAAAACCTGAGCTGACTTTTGGTAGAACCCATGGTTGGAAAGACTCCTGGGAATACGCAACTTCCCAAGTACACTGGGCAGAACCACCCAAATGGCCAATGGAGGGGGTGAGCGCTGCTGAAAAATGGGGGGTGGTCAAAAGCAAGGCAATCTACCGGTCAGGTGCGACGTTAGTTGGTGGGAGAGTAGTTAATTAGTTAATTATCGGTTCTTCGGCAACTCTTGTGCTGGTTATCCTGACATGTTGTTCCCTGTACTTCTGTTTAATAAAAAAGAGCTCTCAAAGTCTGTCGACGTGGTCACAAAGGTTTCTATAGGCCGTGTGAGCTCGTCTGACCCCTGAGCTTGGTCTCAGTTGCCCAAAGGACCCAGAAATAAAAGGTTTATATTTGGAACCTTGACTGCTTGACTACACTCCGAATCAGGGACACAACAAGGATGACAGGTCGATTCGCTTTGGTTGCGAGTGAGCGTTGCCCGGATTCCCCGAGCATTGCAAGCAAGTCACAAACCATGGTACATGTGTAATCAATCTGTCCGAAGGAAGCGATTCGGGTCCTGGATGTTTCTCTTCAAAAACAAACAAAACAAACAAACAAGACGTAAGCTCCATTTGCCCTCCTCCTATTTCAAAGGGCCAAAGGAGGAACCCTGTCGCTAGGTATTGGTCTCTCAGGGTCAACCATCGCCCCTTCCAACAAAGCCGCTTTCCGCCTGGAATGATCCAAGTCTAAGCAACCGATAAGCTCCATAAACTCACATATGTGTGACACCCCAAATGCCGGTTTTCCGTGTTCCTCTTGGATTCCCTTGAAAAACACCAACAGAAAGGGTCTATCAACTGCAAAAACGACAAGCCCATTCTGGGCGTTCTGGGTCTGCCTCGCAACTTCGGAACCCCTTCCGCTGGTTTCCATTGAGTGAATCCCAGGAGGACCGACTCCTTTGAGGCACACCCACGCGCGAGTCTCTGAGTACCCGATAAACGGCTTAGGCTCCTTTTCCCAGCTCGACTTTTACCCGTGGCCGGCAACCAAGGAAAGCACCCTTGAACAACTATTTGGACAATTGGCAGCCGACTATGGCGGTTGGGATCCAATGGGTTGGGCTTCCCTTGCAATTTCGAAGGGCAGCCTTCGTCTCCCAAAAACAAGACGACGAGCCACGCATCCACAAGTCCCGCCGCTCGAATTCAAGCTCCGCTTCCGGAGGTCTTCGGCGAAATCTGAGCGAGGCGCCACACTGGATCGCCGCAGGAGGGTCATCCTCTCGTACTCGTCTTCCAGCGCCTGGTACCAGCATGGTGAGACGCAATGCAACCCGCTGCGTGTTTTTACCGTGAAAGGCACCAGAGCACTCAAACTGAGAAAAGGTGGCCAACGAATACAGAGACACCTGAGTCAGAATCAACACCTGATGTTGAACTTGTCTACTCAAAGTCACATGGTGAAACAGGCAAAAGATGAAGTTGGCAAAAGATCTAACCAAACGGCAGCCAAGAACAGGGTTATCTGCCGACACCCGTCAAGGGGAAACAAAGGTAGCCCTGAAGGTAATGTTTTCCCCGGATTTAATTAGCACCAGGCTGTTGATTCGGGTTGTGACCCCTCTTTGAGCGCACGCCCTGGTCAGGTGATCCCAAAACACGACAATGGCGTAAGCCTCCACGAAAGACGCATCGCGCTCAACCTCAGTCAGAGAGAGACACTCCAGCAAAGCACGACACGACACGTGAGATCATTCGCTTAGAGATAAACAAAAACAAAAACTTGAACCCATCCCCCAAGCACCAATGCTCACCGCAACTTGGAAGACCCTTGGAAGACCGTTGTAGTGGTTGATCCAAATGTCCAACATTCACTAGTGGGTGTCGGGGGGGGGTAGGCTCCAAACCAATGAAAGATAAGTACTAAAGAACGAGTGCCTTTGGCCTCGCTCCGACAACCCATGAGGTTTCTGCAAAAATTAGGCTTGCGTGAGATTCGCTTGCTCCAAGTGGCTTGCTGCGATGTCTTCTTTCCGGGTTGGGGTACTCCGGGTGTGATGAAGGCAATATCGCCCTGCTGGCCCGCAGTGAGGTCTGAGCCATCCGTCCAGTCAGGATGTCTTTCGGGATTGTGGCCCCTGCCAGGGGTGGAAAAAAGAAACAAATGCTCGATTGGAGTCTCCGAGACTCTCCCCACCGCATGTGTAACCCAAGAGTTACGCATCTTCGAAGCCGGCGATCCCCTCCAAACATGATATCTTTGTTTCTGGTGCATATTTTGCGAGCCTTTCAATGCAATACCATTCCAAAAAAGACCCTAATTGAGGTCATGACTAGGAAAACCACCGAGGGGCGTACAGTCCTCGGTTGATAGCACGCGGGCTTGGATTTGTTAAAAGAGAAAATAAAAGGAAACAACACATTTGGGATGACCCCAATTTTGAGACCACTGCACCTATTGAGCTGATCGTCCCAACAAAATTGTCAGATGAGTCCCGCATAAGTTGCTCATCATTGATTAGCGCACCCCCCAAAAAAAACAAATGGCTTCGCTTTTCCTTTGGGTTTCCGTTTAGAAGCACTGTGTTTTTAGGGGGGTTCTTCTGACAGGTAGGGTGCACGTTGACAATACCAAGTGGTAATCCGCGTTTTCCAGGAATGCCCCGTAACAACCCCGTTGCGAATCGCAATTTAAAGGAACAACCCGAGCACAAGTTGAAACAAATGGGTGGTCAAAAATGGAAAGGACTATTCTTTGTGGTGGTTTAATTTTGACCCATGCCCACATTTATCGCACTTTACCTGGTGTTTTCAGGAGCACACCCCTAACAAACTCCCCGAATTGCAAATCGATTTTGCAGAACAACAACCAAACAAACACAAATTTCAACAAGTTGATTGACACACATCTCCCGACACCCCAACTAACAGTTGACACAACATCGCCCACCTCCCCGGGTGCCTCTCTTTGGCGTGTCCCAGTTGCTCAATCGCCGCCGCCCGAAAACCCGCCTGGAGAGGAGCTCTTCGAGCTGCTGCTGGGCGCTCTTGCCGCCCCCCACGGGGCGCACCTGGTCCTTGCGGCAGTCCATGTCGAAGCTTTTGGACTTCACGAAGAGGAAGCACTTCCTGGGTGTGCGTGTCCTATACTCACTGGCTGAGTGGATGGCCAAAAAAAATCCAAACTTTAGATTTACCACTAAAATGGTCCAGCCCCAAAAGGTTTAAACATGAACTCAGGAAGTAAGTTTATTCAATTGGGGGCGAGGGCCAAAATTGAATGGTACTGGCACTGGTGTGATTTAGACGATGGGAAAACCACATCTCCAACTTCCTGACACTTTGCTTCCCTTCAAAAATCCCAGTCGGCGGGTGGAGGGGTGTGGGTGGTTGACCGGGGGGGTTTAGTGGAAAACCCCTTGATTTCCCCAAAGTTAAAGTCTAAAGATCCAACCTAATAGCAGTCAAGCTCGTTAAGAGGGGTCTCCAAGCACTCCGGAGAACGGAAGGACAAAAAAAACCGCAAAGGGGCTAAGAGTTGTAAAGCGGCTGTTCCGCTAAGGGGCCTTGGTGACAGGGTTTGCCTAAAAGTAAGAGCACCGACTTCAGGCAAATGCCCGAGCCCAAAAATCGCTCCGATTTGAGAAACAGAACCTTCTTTTGGGGACAGCCCGTTGTTCTAGGGGTTGATTCCCCATTAGTTTCAACCATCGTTCTTTCAAAAAACCTGCTGTTTCCCTTGGGTTTTTGGTGGTTGTGTGAAAAGAAGGATGCCTGGAAAGAATGGAAATGGAAGTGTCCCCTAGAAAAACTGAAGCTGGGTTTCACCCAAAAGTCGATCAACACCGAACAAAAACGCCGGGAGTCTCCAAATACCCTGTCAAAAAACACGTGGGATATCGTGACATCTGAAGATCTCTACCCTCGAACCGGAACTTGTTCGGTGAAAGCACCCGGGCGTTGTTGTCCTTTGGCTCGTTTTCAAACCAACCCCAAAAGGGGTCTGCCATCTTATGTGTGGTGCCGTTTTTGGAGTTGAATGAAGGAAAACCACAAGCACAACTGGCAATTTGGGCAATAATTTGGGGGGTGGGGGGGTCCCGACAAAATGACACACAAAATGGTACCTCCAAAAAAAGGACACACATTCGTGTCGCCAGGCTTCCCCGAAACACAGACACCAATTTTGTGGCAAACATGCTACAAAGGCTGAAGTCCATGAGGACTGACTGTCACCTGTCACCAACATCTTATGCCAGTCTAAGGAAAACCATATCCATATCTACGTTCATATACATATATATATGTACATATGTATACATATAAAACGGGATAATATATATATATATACACAGGAATATGCATGTGTACATATATATATATATACATGACTTTAGTCAGCCTCATCACTCGCTCTTTTGCCAGGAATGCTGTGGACACAGCATGGTTGATTGAAATGTCTTCGACACGATTCGTGGGGAAAAGACGGACGCAGCATATCATTGCATCCAAATGAAAGTCACAAAAGAGAATGTGCTGCATCCCACCGTCGCTTCCCAAATCCCAGACTCAAAGAGTACTGTCGGTGGCCAAAATCTCAGCAACCTTCTGGCAGAGCGCTCGAGGATATGGCTGCGCCTGGAGTGTTCGCGCGAAACCAGCCTCATCAGTGCCTGCCAGGGCGAGATGCGGCCGTTTGGATAGTGAGCACATACCATGTGTTCCGCTGCACTGTCTGCTGATACGATGGAGCTGCCAGAAAGTTCCCACGACACTGGTAGGTTTCTTCCAAGGTTCGTGGTATTGGCAAAAATCAACATATGCAAAACCAGGCATGAAACGCTGTCTGAACCTCTGCACTTCAGGCATGAGCCACGCAAAGCTTGCATGAGGATTCTCAAAGGCATATGGAACTCGGTGGAGTTCGCAGGCGCGAAGCACACGTAGACTGATGTCCAGCAGTGCGTTTCCAACCCGCACTTTTTTGGCGTCGCTTCCAGTCAGCTCAGGGAGCTCCCGCAAGTTCCGGATGTCTCTAAGAGGGCCAGACCCCAAAACATCGTGATTTCGAGCCCGTGAAAATGAAGCGTGTGGCAATCCCAACCAGACAAACTCCACGCGACCAGCACTAATCCAATGAAGAATGCGATGCGCAACGTGGATGTCAGTGAGGTCATGATCAGGGAAAATGCATATGTCGATTGGAAAACATGTGAGACCAACTTGCTGCAGAGCACGCGACATTCTGCCAGTCCCGGCAAAAATCTCTAAGCAGAACTTTCGCGGCAGCTTTCTTCAACGAGAACATTTGGCCACCCAAAGCCGATCACAGCTTCCTGGCGACCATGCGTCCCTGAAGCACCTTCTCCATGTTGGCTTTCGACCACTGACAAAACTCCAGCGCAGCGGGCGACAATCTGCTGAGAAGTTGCTGCAACTTGCCAGTCTTGGCGTATCGTCGCACGCTTTGGTCTGTGTGCCACCGCCCTCGCTGCTTGATCATTGAGTGATCCCGAACCAACCCGTTCAAGTCCTCGGAAGCACCTCCATGACGGAGCTGGTATGGGTGGAGCCCCTCGACGCCCAGCCGACCACCACTTCTTTGGAACTCGGCACGGAACTCGGCGGGCGTGAAGCTGAACAACTTTTCTGTCGGAGACGACATGGCCCGGCAGTGCTCCCACATCAGCGCCCCGATGTACTCCCGGCCGGGGGTGTTGAACAGGACTGTGTTGTCGAAGACGCCGGCCTTGTCCGCCCGGAGTTCTTCTTGGTCCCTGATGACGATGGCATAGTGCTTGTGTTGAGGCCCTGCTTTCTTGACCGGCTGCGCTACATCCTTCTTTCTTAAGTCGATGCTTTCGCCAGGACGTAGGTACGCGTCGAAGTCCATAAGCAGCTTCAGCCCCATCACCCTTCGATCTCGGGCCACCAGATCCATCGCCATCCCAAACGCCAACAAGCCCGGAAGGGGCAGCCGACTCTTGGCTGGACTCTTGGCTGGCCTCTCCTTTCGCCAGCCCCTCAACGCTCGACGACTTCGAACAAGCTTGCCCTTGCACTCCACATGATGGTACTCCATAGCGGCAACCACTTTCTCCCCCTCGTTTGCCGAGCGGTCCTCGAGGAAGAGAACGTCGAGATAGTCGGCCAGCACCTGGTCGCAATCGTGACCAGGAGGCCTTCTGCCCGGCAAAAACTCTTGAACTTCATGTAGTACCCCATGTGTTGATGCTGGACTTCTGATGACACGCTCCGCTCTTCCAGGACTGTCATGCGACCTGACTGGGCCCTCCTCCCAACTTCCAGCTCGTTTTTCACAGAGGTGCGAGTCACTTGCCGTTTCCGCTTTGCCCTGGATGTGTTCCAGTGGCTGGGCGGAGCTACTGACCTCACCCTTCTGCTTTGAGACAGAGGCTTCGTGGACACTGAAGGCAAGCTTCGGCACTTCTTCTTCGCTGTGGCCTTCAGCACTCGGCTTGGAGCAGGTTTTTGCGGAGCTGCCCCATACGTGCGGCTCGTGAGGACCCGGACGGATTTGCCCCCTGGAGGGCCCATCTGACACGTTGTGTTCCGAGGCGATCCATCTAACTCTGCAGCCAAAACCCCCAGCCAGCGAGAGAGCAGACAGCTTTTGGATAAGTCGCAACATCTTGAAGTTGTGTGCCCTTCCTTTGCTGACGGCCAAGGCCAAGCCCAAATTGTCAACTAGGATAAGATGACGCTTGTTGCGGTACCGCAGGCTGCGCCCCAAACGCCTATAGCAAATGACCAGCGCCCGGCCCTCCTTCAAGGTAATATGCTCGTCCCTGAATTGCCATTTCCCAATCTTGTTGGTTTTCCACAGTTGGGGGTCAAGCAAATGGTGGGGCACCTCCTCAAAAAGCGGGTTGTCCTCAAAGGGCTGAATGGAGTTAGGGTTCAATTCCGTGCCCAACACGCTGCGAACATCTTTTGAAGACATCCACACCCAATGCCCTCTGCCTTGGCTGCCACTCTTCAGGAGGAAGCCACTTACCGACGCATCCCACAGTCTTGGGGCCACAAGGCATGCTGCAAAGGCCGAATCCTTGGGGTGAGGCATCAGTGCAGTGTATCTCAGCACCCCAGTCACGTCGTAGGTTGGCAAAAAGCAAAGGAATAATTCCAGAGAAAACCAGGCACTCTTCTCGCTCATGCTTGTTCAAGAAACGAGGCCCGTGCTCAGACATGGCAAACTTGTAAAGTCGATGAAAAACACACATGCCCCCACGGTTCAAAACGCAGACCACCATGGCGTGTCCCAAAAGTCGCTGAACCACGGAGGGATCAACCCGGATGCGTGTGATGTGCTCAAAAGCCAGCACCAAGTTCCACATTCGCTGAGGTGTTGCTCTAACTTCACCTGAGGCACCATTGACGACCCCTCCGAGAGTGTGGAAAAGCGTGTTGGCCGCCTCATCTTCATGCAAGGAAAACCCCAGCTGCGCCAGTGCTTCGCAGATCTGGTTCTTGCTACTGTTTGTCAAGTCTTTGTCAAGGGCCAACGTGTGCACATTGTCACAATATGGCATACTTAACGGAACCCCGTGCTCCAATGCTGGAACGGGACACTGCTCCAGGATCAGGTTACTCCGTGGAATGTTGAGTGCCTTCAGCACCCATGAAAACCCCATTGGAAGGACAGCAATAACAGGAGTGATATTGCAGTGACATCGCGGTGCAAACCGAAAAATCTTGAAAGTTCCTCAGGCATCCTGACTGCATAAAAGCAATCCTTGATATCCGCTCCGCTCATATACAAGCTGTATCCAGGGGGGACAAACAAGTCTGTCATTGAGGCAAGTGAGCCCAACTGTGTGTGGGGAGAAGGCCGAAACAGCAGGCTGGTTTGTCGGCAATCCAATACTAAACGCTGTCTTTGCAGGAGCACTCCGTCCACCACCTTACTTTTCTTCGACACTGCGAACGCCCCGACCCGGCCTCGACACCCCTCAGCAAAACTCAAAATACCCCTGTCATAGAGGTGCTTGAGAAAGGTTTGGTAGCTGCCGGGCTGAAGGAGGCACGGGTCGTTGTAAGGTCGTAACTTGGAGGTGTCTCTAGAAAGACTTGTCCACACTGCGGAATCTTGCAGCATCGTGTCCTCAAAATGTGAAACAAGGCCCTTCACGGGCTCTTCCAGCGCCTCAAGCAAATTCACACCAGCGACCGTGCCGTCAGGCAAGGACAAGTGCGGAAGCTGCATTGGCACCACGTCACCCACGCCCCCAACATTGTCTTCATACAGGTTGGAGGCCGCCCGGGCTCCTCGGCCACACGCAGCGGCAGGGGGGGCCGACATCTTCTTTACACTTTCCAGTATATCCCGCATCGCCGCCCGCTGAGCTGCCGGCAAAGAAGAAAATACTGAAGCTACTTTGTCGTCCCACGCTCCCCCACCATGGTAAAGTGAATTCAAACTCTGGACTGCACGGTTGTATTGCTTAGCAATGGCTGCCCTTCTTCCCAGCCTCCTCAAAACAGAGCGGCTGAGACGCTTACTGTAAACACTCTCGACGGCCAGCAAAGGCAAGGGCAGAATGTCACGAACTCGACCGTCAGGCCTAGGCGCGTGAAAAATCTGGCTCTCCCACAAACCACGTCCCATCAGCAGTTGTGTAGCAGGACCACGCTCCCTGCTGCAAAGCGCGGTCCTATGTCAGCAACTTACTTTTCCGCGCCTCCCCCTGGTTTTGGGGGAGGCTTGGGGAATGGTTTTTCTTTGCCCTTGCCCTTTGACTCAGCCATCTTCCGCTTCTCTTTGAGGATCTGCGACTGAGCGTGCATCTGCCTCGACACATGCTCTGTCAATGATGGCACCACAACTCCACCGCCAGCTCTGTATGTCTGGCCCATGAAGTGCTCCGCCCCGAGGTAACTGGGCGCCGCTGGAGACAGGCTGTGCGCCTCAGCGATTAGCTGCCGCCGGCGAACGACCAACTCCATACATGCCAAATTTGCCACATTTAAGCAGTCGTAGCACAGCGCGGCATCCAGCACCCTGGCCAGCGCTTCATCTTCATGAATGCTGCGGTCACCCTCAGGAATTCGGGATGACCCAACCCACATGTGATGCTGAGCTGTTGCGCTCTCTGCGATGCTTGCCACAGCCTTCATGTATTCCAGCGCTGTTCTCGGGGCAAGGGGGAAATCACTGAAGTCAACCTGCTGGAGCTCCTTGACACTCTCTCTGAATCCGCGCTGCCTTTCCCCGTTTAATCCATAAGTGACTTCCAGGGTTCGCACATCCTCGCCAGCCGCCAAGTCCTCACCTTCTGCGGCCTCACTTCCTCGCAAAAAACAGGGATGTCCTCCTCCTTCAGCCTATGAGTCAAACAAGGCCGCTCAAACTGCTCCGAATCCGCAATCCGCATCAGCCCCCAGTCACCATCTGTTGGGTGGCCCGCTGGTGGAACAACCTTCTTCCCAATCTTGTGCCCTGGAATCGCTTCTGCAAGAACCCAAACTTTATGATCTGCAGCAGCTGGAGCAGGAGCTGGGACAGCATCTGGGACCCCAAGAACAGGGCCCCCAACACCTCTCCTCCGACGCTCTCGCTCAGCTAAGGCAGCTCCTCGTGCCAGGTGCGTCGCAAACTCATTCGGCCTCATGGGTTGGAAACCGTACACATAGCGAGCAGGCACGCCGTGGGGAAGGTTCCCGCCAGCAGCTCCGAACCAGATGTTGGTGAGGTCTGCGTTGTCCATAGATAATTGCTCAATGTAGCAATCTAAGTCCGGAGTCACGCGTGTGTATGACCCTGGGCACTTCTCCATAATCTACAAACGCAATTGAACCAGCAGGGTGGACTGCCATGCTAGTCCGTCAGGGCCAGTCCCTTGGCAGCTCCGTAAAGACCTTTGCTCTTCCCTTTCAGGCCAACCTGCCACTCTCGATTGACTCCAGTGGATGAATCTTGGTATGAGAAACGCAGGGCCAGGGCAGTGTTGGAAAACAGCACCAAAACAAGTAACAATCCAAGGGCTCCCAGAATCCAGATGGGCTGCCCGCTTGCCTCAGGGCTGGAAAAAGTGTGGCCACTCCAATTGCACTCGCAGCGACAAAGAGGGACCTCAGGCTTTTGAGTGGTCCAATCCCGTGCCAACCACCCAGCAATGAATGAGCTGATGCACAGCGCTGGGGCAAGGTCCATGGCAAAAGCTAACAGTCCAAACTTCTTGAGAGAAAGACGGCAAAATGCCGTTCTCAGCCTCAAGGCGTCAATCCACTGCAAGCAGAAAATATGTATATTGCACATCTACAATGTAGACATATAGGTAATATATATATATATATATGACAAGCGCGGTTGGTTGGGGAGGTTGTAGTTGGGCCAGTTTCTTGCCAAGCTGCTTCTGTCCCCGGTACCCGATCGCCACGGGGGTGGCGGGCGTCCAAGCGGACGGCTTGCCCTTCACCGGGGCCAGGACCTCCACGCCGCGGGCCTTGTTCAGCGCCCAGCGGGGCCACCACTCGGCGTCGCTCCTTTCGAGCGGGGACGGGAGACCTGACCTCCTATTTCATTCTGGAAAACCTCGAGAAGTGCGGGGAAATGGCGGGTTTTCAAAGACCGAAGGCACATCGGGGAGGGATTGTGTTTTGCGGTTCATAGGGGTCATTCCCTCATTCCCTGCTGAGAACCAGCAAGTTTAGGGATACCCTCCGTGTCCATTCTGAACCAAGGGATCCTTCTTTCTAGAAAACCACCAGAAACCCGGGGAACAGCGCTAGACGAAAAGAAACCAAACACCAACATTATGGCATATGGTGTGTGGAGAGGGGGGATGTGCCAACCAAAGGAAAAGACAGGGTGTGTTCGTTCAAAGGAAGCCGGCAAACTATGGACATATTCGGGAGAAGCAACAGAGAAGGGGGGAGCATCGTATTCAAACAGACAACAAACACTTAAAGGAGGGGTGATATTATCTGGGTCTGTCTTTTTTTGAGGGCACCCTTTTGGCGTTGGTTTTTAAGGAAAACCAAGAGAACAACCACAATTTTGGGGGTCCCCTAAAACAAACACACGCATATGTTGTTGACTCCGACCAGGAACACGAGGTGCTACCACCAGCAGGCTTTGAAACCGAAAGAACATAAAACACCTTTACCACCCTTACCTCGTTGTTGTAAGGAAGTACGACCCAAACTCTACAGAGGTAGTCTGTGTCACTAGTTTCTGTCACAAGGAAACCTGAGCCAAACAGGAATACGGCTCCAAAAAAGTCCGACCCACCCAACAAAGGGCGCGGTTGTCTGATTTTGTTCAAGGAAGCCCGGCCAGAACAAACCATCACATTATTTTTGAAACCCAAAGCAAACAAGCGTGAATGCAGTTTAAAGAAGCCCGACCCGAATAAACCACAGGGCTTGTTCTTCAAAGAGAATCCTACCCAACTGTACAAACCAAATGGGATTGTCTAATATATTATGCTCCTGTATGTATTCCTGAAGGTATTCCTGCATACATTCCTGTCTGTATTCCTGTCTATATGTATGTATGTATGTATGTATGTATGTATGTATGTATGTATGTATGTATGTATTCATGTATGTAGGTAGGTATGTCTGTAGGTATGTATGTATTCATGTATGTATTGTCTCTTTGACAAAGCTCGCCCCGGAGCATGCTTGCAAGCAAGCCCAACGGAAACCCAAACAACAAAGCAGGAGTAGCTGACCCAAAGAGCCCGGCAGGTCAGCATTTCCTTCCTTGGTGGCTCGGTCTGGTTTTTTCAAGTTGGCGTAGCTTCCCATTTGCCCTCAAGTGGTCCGGGGGTTCGAATCCAAGTTCAAACCAAGCCAAACCAGCATTTTTAACTGGGCAGTCCAAACTGATCCCCTGCTAAAAGTTTAATTCGCGGGTAAAATGAAAAAATAGTAAAACCTAAAACAACTCAAAACCCCAACGGCTGGTTCCGAGCCGCCCAAGTTGGAGGGGTATCTGACTTCCGGGCCACTTTCCAAACAACCGGACTCATCGAACGTCGGGGCTCCTATTCCGCACTTGCGGACTCGGCACGTTCTGCACGGACGGCACGAAGGCCCGCTCCTTACGCGGGTCAGTGCATCAGTGCCATGAGCAAAGTGGTTGAACCGGCCGTCCGGTTCCTTTGGTTTTTGTGTTTTTTTAGTTTGTGGTTGGGTTCCATTTTACCCACAAGTTGAAAACTTTTAGCAGGGAATCAACTGGTTTGGACTGCCCAGTTCATGGGTGATACCTCTTTATTGCGGTTTTAAAGACAAACCACGGGAAACCAACAGGACAACCACCATTTTTTTTTTTTAGTTTGGGGGGGAGGGGGGGGAGGGTTCCAAATCCAGAAAAAAACACACACCCAAATGGTTTGAAGGGAATGGAGCCTGATTTGTGATCCTCAGAATCAGCACACTCCAACGACTGCTTCTCTGCCAACAAAGCAGTCGTTGGGGGCCGGAATGTCAATTTTGGGGCCAGCCAATTCAGGGGCGTGTCTTTTTTTGAGGGGTACCCCAGAAAAGGTGATGTTGTTTTGATTTCCCCCTAAAACCAACTCCCGTATTGGTCGAACGTCGACCACTCGCAACGAGTGGCAACGTTCACGTGGGACACCTTTCATGTTCCTAGCTAACAGGTGGAGCAGTGGATTCCGGCCAAGCGAGCCTGATTTACTTGCAAGCTCGGCTAGTCCAACTACACCCGCTACAAGTGGTCTCTTCCTTTCCGTTCCCAAGTTGCAATTATCTTGGTCAAGGCAAAGAGCAACCAAGGCAACCAACATGCTAAACTGAGAGGTTCGCTGATCCCTTGCTTTCAACAAATCAGCGGTTATGGGAAGCGGTGCTTCGGGCCTCTGGGGTCCATTTCCCGGAGATGCCTCTACTGGACAGGTTTCCCTGGGTTCCTTCCGTTCATCGGCAGGCTGGGTATCATGTTAGGGACCCCCCCAAAAAAACAACAACATCTGATTGGATTCCCAGGCACCAAACATGGGGCACCAACTCCAAAAGAAGACAAACAGTAAAGGAGCCCCAAAAAAGTAAATCTGGTTGGTTGCCCTTCAAAGGCACCAAAAGAAAGGGCACCAACTCCAAAAAAAGACGCCAAAAGCAAGGAGAACTGTCCAGCCGAAGGCTCGTAGGCGGCGATGGCCTCTTCCACCTCTGCAGTGCTGAAGGTCTCCCCCCGGTACGCCTTCCCCGTCTCCGCCCACTTCCGCAGCATGGGGAAGTAGCGCCGCGCCTTCTCCGCATCCGCCTGGCCGAGGGGAAAGCTATCGAACATGGTTAAGGATTCCATAACTGGGCTGCCCTGAGATCCCCCTCCAAACGTTGAACTTTTAGTGGGTTAAAGGGAAACTACCACTAAACACTGAAAGGCTGAAAAGCTGAGGGGATGGCTGGGAGCAACCAAGAAGAAGTTTCCCAAATCAAGAGGTTTCACAAAAGGGTTAAGGAGTTCAGAAGAGGTTTCCCAAATCAAACTGGCAAAAGGGCACCCTCCCAAAGAAACACATCCATCTGGGTGGGAATTTTAACCAGGGAATGTTTGGTGGACAAAATAATTTCGGCGGGCCAACACCTCACATCATGGCATGGCTTTCTCGGGAAAAAAAACATAATCATATTTATATATAACAAAAACAAATATGGTTTTCCGCTCGGATAGGGAGCCACTTTTGGATGGCTAGGAAACCTTTTAAGGAAAAACAGCTTGTTGACCTCTCTCGAGCTGGACACCCTTTGGCCTCAAAGAAGCTCCAGCCATGGAAGCTATCAAAAAAAACGCAGGGGTGGTTTGGCAAATGCTCACTTCCCCAAAGGACCCATCAATAAAAGGTTAACCTTTTGGGACCCCTACCAAAAAACCACCAAACAGGGAAAACCAAAAGGTCAAAAGGTCGGCTTTGAACAACTGAGAATGGTTTTGTCCCATAGGGTAAACAATCTCACTCAATAATTTAAATCAAATGATAGGGCCAAAGCTTCAAAGGACCCCTCGTGTTTGGACCAGGTACAACCAGACTTGCTGATTTCCAAGGGTCAAGCACCTGGGTTAAGACTAGGGTTTGAAACCTGGACCAGCCTGATCCATTTCCAAATGGGACAAGTGTGGGGGAAACGCCCACTCGATAGATGTCAAAAAAACATGTTGCCATTCCCTCCCGCAGCTCGAGCTTCTTTTCTGGGGCCCAAGAGAGAAAAGTTGATCGATTTCACGAGTTGTTCAAGCTGCAAATTCCAAGCAGTTTCCAAACAGAATTGGTTTGTAGTCTATCTTTCTACCATGCAATTCCCAAGTTTCTAAAGTAGTTCCCTTCTGGGTCCAAACAGATCCCCAAGTAAAGGACCTGCTTTCCCTTGTTTGCCCCGGAGCCCTTTTCACGCAACGTGATAGGCAGATACACTACTTGGACCCTCAAAAAACTCTCAAACATGGGTTATTGACATGTATTGAAACAAGAGGCCTCCAAGGCTTCGTTTCTTTTTGGTGTCCCTTTACCCCCAGCCCCAGCCTGTACCCTCAAAACAAACGCACTCAGAGTTTGGCACGAGGGAACACAGTGCAGTTGATGCCAGTTGGGCTTCTTTGCTTGCTTACTAAGCTGTTCCCTCATGTGGCATTCTTCCTTTCAGCTTTGCTGAACACCCAGGCGATGCGCTGGCTTCTCAACAGTCTGGGCAAATAGAATTGCGGATGCATCCCCTGGAAAGAACAGTTTTCCGGTAGTAAAACTGTTTCCTTTCAAAACCCACAGGTGAAACACATAATAATAACAATAACACTAATAATAAAACAAAACAAACAACTTCTGAAAGCAAATGGAGGGAATGGAAGGCATTTCATGCATTTCGAATTCCTTTGCAAATGCAAGGAGCTCGGCAGCTTTCGGAACTCGGCTCCTGCGGCTTGAGCACGGCGTCCAGCAGAAAGGACGCCTTCTTGCTGAGCGCCATGGCGCCTGGAGCCGCGCTCGCGACGCGGCGCTCGCGCGCGACTGAGCGACTCGACGCGCGGGGCAACTTGAGCCGAGGATACGAGCCGCGCTGTGTGCAAAGCAAAGGACCGAAGGTAGCCCTCCGTTGACAGGGTGTTTTGGAAGACTACTTCTCTTTTGAAACCTCCGGAACCCACTTCCATTGTTGGAAAGAGGGTAAGTCACCAACCCAGTGCTTCCAGGCAAGCCACCATAGCAGGTAACCCAAAATCCTTACGGTTTGCCATGGATGGTCTCCCCCGAGTACCTTCTATAGTGGTAGCTGGAAGCACTGTGCAAGGGAATCGAAGATCATTTCCAAGACCAAAAGGACTAGAGCTTTCGCAAGGGATCTGGAAGTGGAAGCTAGTTCATGGGAAAAGCATTTTGGCACGCTGAGGTGATGAACTCTTGGAGGTCAATTGGAAGACCAATGAACTCGCTGGAACTCGTGCGGAAACAATATCTTGCCCACTGTGGATGGACAATACCCTGCAGGTTGGTAGGTTGTTTATCCCAGTATTTCCGGGGTCCATCCATTCCATGCAGGAATTTTCGGCCAACCACACGAAGCTCTGTCACGCTCAACAGCGCGCTTTTCTCAAGGACTCTCGTCGCTTTCGTGTCTGAACTGAACAGGCCGTACCAGGACCATGCTGCCCGGGAAGACTCCCGGGGCCACTTGGAAAGGTTGATGCCCCTGGTGCAAACAATGTTGCTCCCAGTCTCGGACGAACTAATGAACGAAAACAACGAACAGTGAAGCTTGTATGCATCTCAAAGACCTTCTGCAGTCAAAAGACACCACATCATCAAGTATGCCTAGTGCGCTCAACCAATCCATTTGCGGGTGAGAGCCTTTACTGATGTGACAATGAACCTGGGCATGGGCGCAGATTGAGGGAACATGCGCAACTTATCACATCAGCCTGCATTAACTCCATTGACCTTAGGTCAAGACGTGAGACAAACATTCACAGCTCGGTTCCGAGCTTGAACATGTAACAAAGCTACTTGCATAATCAGCCGGACCCGATACAGGTTCCGAGGCTGGTTGCCCAAAGCACGCTGAGCCTCTGACAGTGACAGGAAGCTCAGAAAAATGGCGCGGACCCCCTTTGAAGGGGCTATGTCAAGCTTCGTGTCACGTGGACTATGACTGCAGCTCCGGGAAAACAGCGGTCCTTGGCAAAGTCAGCTCCCCTAAGTTTAACTTGTGGATGAAATGGAAACCCAACCACTCAACCAACTAAAAAAACTACAAACCTAAGGAACCGGATGGCTGGTTGAACCATCAAGAAATCAAGAAACGTGGATGCCATTGCTTCCAGGCAAGCCACTACAGTAGGCCTGCCTACTGATCCTTACCAGCTTGTACCATGTGTTTTTTCCTTTTTCCTGGGCAAGCCTACTATAGTGGCGAAACGCCTGGAAGCACTGGGGGCGTGGAGGTCCAAACAAACGAGTGGGGGGGGATTTTTCTCAGTGGTCCTCCCGATTGTTTTCGGACACTCAGACACACATGGGGTTGTGCCCTTTTTTGTAGGTACCCCGTTTTTTTGTGTGGTTTCAAAGAGGAAACCAAGGAAACATTCAACACCAGTGTGGGTGGTCCCCTTAAAAACGACACAGCCACGTCAATCTCTGAGTCGGGTGCATGTGCTTCTTGAACTCCTTGAACTCTTTGGTGAGACTCCGCGTGTCCTTCTTGATCCTGAGCGATCATGAGCGAATCCCATACGATGCTTCAGCGTTGTTGGGGCGAGACGTGCCCTGGTTGGACCTGGTTGTATAAAACCGAATGGTTGCCAAAACAGGGAAACCACAGGGGTCACCGGATTTCCCCAAATCAACAGTTGATAGATTTGCTGCTGGTTTCCATTGAAACGATCAATTCGCTTGAGGTTCCTTGAGTGGGAAATGGCTCGGAAGCCGAGAACCCAAAGGCCGGATTCTAAGGAAGCCAATGGCTGATTTTCACATAGGGGAGCCAGATCGGCCCCCCAAAAAAGTGGTCTTGGTTTCTGGAGGTGTCTCAAAGTCACCTTGAACCACGCAGGCTTCTGTTTCCTGTCCAAAAAAAAACACCCCCCCCACTAGGGAACAACTCACCTGGGCCTAAGGTGATGGGCAAAACACATGTCACGCGTTGGGAAGCAACACCTCGGGGTCTCTGCTGTTCCCCAGGAAATCTCTCCAGCTCACCCCCTTCCCCCCTCCCAACAGCCCCTCCCCCCATTTGGGTGTGTCGTTTTCTTGAGGCTAGCCCTCTTTTGAACAAAGGAAAGCCGGTGCGCCATTTGGGGGGTCCAATTCCCAAAAAACTCGACACACCCATTTGCCAACGAGCCTGTAGATGTCAATGCCTCGACCATTTCCCATCATCTGCCTCGCTTCGCCGCTTTGGGGCCCCAACCTCCAATGGCCATGCTAAGGACGGTCTTTGTGTGGTTGGGTGTATATATTCTCTGTTCTCTGTTCTTTTTTTTTTTTTTTCCGGGGGGGGGACAATAGCCATGAGGATAAGGACACTCTTGTTGACTTGGGTACATATTCGTTGTTTGGAGGAGACCAACAATGGCTTCGGCTTCCCTTTTGGTGGTGTTCTTCAAAACCACCAAACAACGGGTACCAAATCCCCAAAAAGAGACACCCAGTTGATTCTAGGGGAACATGCTCCAAGGAACAAGGCACCTGTCTTTGTTCAAAGGCTAGATTCTTTAAAGGGAGACACATCCTAAAAAAAAGGCACCAAAAAAGGCACCACACACCTTGCCGTCATGCTTACTCCGCAAACAACCCAGCGGGTTTCTGGTAAACCGAGTCTCCTTTTGGTAAGCTGTTTTCTTGAGCGCCTATGCCGATTTGGGGAATAACATCTCAAAACCAGGCCCCGGAAGTTTCGGTGTTTCTGTTGGTTTCCCAAAATGGACCCCCCGTTTGGGTGGTATTGAAAGGGAACAACTGGGCTGTCCAATCTGATCCCCTGCTAAAAGTTTCACTTGTGGGTTACATACGGACACCCCACTTTACCAACTGGAAAAACCCGGAAAAATCCTGAGGAGCCAAATGGCCGGGAACCAACAAGTGGAAGGCAACTACGGGATCCCTGCCTGATGGCGTGCGCGAATTCCGCCTGGCGAGATACCCAGCGAGGCCTTCAGAAAGGGATCGGGAAACCTTGCGGTGTGTTTTCTGGAGTTGGTAAGCTAAAGGGCCATGGGACTGGTAAGGGGCGAAGATGACTGCCTAGAGTCCCTTTCTGACCCTTTAAAATGGTTGGGCATGGCCCCTTTCTTTGGGGTAATGGCCCACCATTTTTTAGGGTGGTCATGGAGACCCGTTTTCAGGTTGGTTTGAAGCACAAGAGCAAATGCGAGTTTTCTTGTTTTTGCTTGGTTGCAGGGCTCACTCATTCCGAACTACTAGAGTTCACCAACCTGAGTTCAGGGTTGTCTAGTTTCATGGCCTTGTCTTATGGTTAGCTGGAACCCGAAAAACACGCGTGGTGTTCCAACCTTCTTGTTTTCCTACAACCAAAAGGTTAGATCTGGAGCTCCTCTTTTCCGCCTGCATGTTTGTCTTCGAGGAACCGTTTCGCTGCGCGGTTTCATTCGTTTCTCACGCTGAGGAAAACGCGCGAGCAAGGTTTAACAAGAGGCCAGAGACATAACAAAAAAAAAAAAAAAAAACGGAGGGACCCCAACGAAAGACACAGAATGAAGAGGTTGGGCCACCTGCTGAGCCCAAGTATGATAAACCCTCCTACCAGAAGCACACACGCACACAGCCCAAGTGCTGAAGGATGGGCAATCCAAGTACCATTCATGCAGAATTTTTGATCAACATACAAAAGTGAACAAATGGATGCACCAATTGGATGAGGCGCATCAGGGGCAAGTAGTCATGCCCCTTTGACTTGTTGTTTTTTTTTTTTTTTTTTCGCTCTTTCTCTCATTCTCTCCCGTCATTCTCTCCCGTCTCTCTCTCTCTCTCACACACATGTTCTTGCGAACATCAACTGGGTTATTGCAACCCCAAACCTATGGGGGTAGTTGCAGGGTCGACTTTCACTTTTTGTTCGCGCCCTCGCCTGCACCACTGATCCTCTACCTGTGCCGTCCAGGAGATCCTGACATCATTCGTGGCCGGCGCTACTTAGCCCTACCAATCAACGCCGCAACCTAATGACCTCCATTTGCTTAAGCCCCCTGGACAAAACGAGAAACTACTTCCAGCTGTGATAGGTCCCCTTTAAAGCCAACAAGGGTAAATAGCACATATTCTTAAGCAAATGGAAGATGATGCTTGCTGGGGTTGTCTCAAAACTAGGGGAATCCACCCAAAAAGGCGCAAGGGTCTTCCTTTTGGTTCCCTTTCAAACACACCAAATCAGGGGGTACCAACTCCAAGAAACCTCCAGACCCTGGACATCCCTTGAATTGAAGCCACGGCTCACCTGCCTCCGACCTCACGCTGCCCTCCCACCCAGACGAGCGACCCACAACTCCGATGGCGAGTACCCATCAATTCCGATGCCCAGCTTTCCTCGGCGCACAGCGCGCGAGCGAGCGGAGGCCAGGCAAACAGGCGGGAGCGAGCGAAAGGGCCATGGAGGGACTGGTAAGGGGCTAAGATGACCACCTAGAGTCTGCTTCGGACCCTTCAAAAATGGTTGGTCATGATTTCTTTCTTTTGGGAAATGACCAACCATTTTTTAAGGGTCGGAAGGAGACTCTAGGAGAGGTCTTGGACTTGAGAGAGGGGGACCTAAGGTTCAAACTTTGGATAATAGAACCACCTAAGACAGGTCACCCTCCTCCAGTTCCTAGGTGGTTGTTTTGTCTACCAGTTGGAAGTTTCCCTAAGGTATGGGTCAAAACTCACCAACCAGGGACCGCAGGATTTAGCCCTTGGCTTCATCTACCAGGGTTCCATTTTGGGTACCTGTTTTTAACCCACAGCCAAGTAGAGTTCAGCTTGTTGTCAGGTGTGGGCTAAACACTACTTGCCAACTTGGTCCAAATGGGGAAACCGGCCTTGACCAACTGTTGAAACACGAAAGCAATGCCAGACTCTAGTCAGTCTTGTTGCCCGGCTAAAGGCGATTCGCTTATGACTGAATAGGCTTTGGGTTCCATGCTACGTGTGGGGGAGAACTGCGATCCTCACCCGGTAGTCTCTAAAGCAGGCGTCGCAGTAGAGTCTGTACCCTGTCCGAGTACATCAGGGAGCAGAACTTGTTCTTTGTCACGTCGCCTGGAAGCCAAAAGGACACGAGGCGTCAACCTCTCAACAAAAAAGGGAGGGGCCTGCATTACAAAGACAAATGAAGTTCTTATGGGGGAAGCCGCATGGGTATCCATTTTTTCTTGGTGCGGCAGCAAGTTGGCATCCTCAGTAAAAGGCACAAAAAAGGGGAATGTGTTAACGCTGGTTGGCCCCTCCATCAAGCGTTTTGCACAAGTGTCACTTCACTGTACAACTCTCTGTATGGTAACAAACAGCTTTGCTTTTCGCAGCCCTCCCGCCCACTGAACATGAACAGAACCATTAAAAAAAAAAAAAACATGATCCAGCAATCATGGAAATGGACAGGGGGGGGTTCTCCAAAAGGAAAGTAGTCTTCCAGTACCCTCCTCTCAGCTTCCATGATTTTTGGATTGTTGGAGGGAGGGTATTTACTTTGTACCCAAACGCTATTCGCCCCTTGTGAGACTCATTCGTCACACTACTCACCTTCATCTAGGTAAGTGCGGCCCATGTTTGGGTGCTCTGCATGTTTTAAAACTTCCTCCAGTACAGAGGATAGAATATACAGGTACCCAACTTTTCTCTGCAGTCTATGTCAGTAGGGGAATTCTCCGAACCAAAAAAGTTGGGAGAGAAGAGGAAAAACTCTTGCAGCCCGGGTGTGTTTTTCTCCTTTATTTCCGGCCACCTCACAAGGCACGCCTGGCCCTCCTCGAATGCTCACGCCATGAAGACTTCTTTATGGGGGCATCTCGAATCCGTGATAGCACACCACAAGGAAAACACATATACGGGTGTGGGTCAAAAATGGGTATCCAAAATGGAACCCCGGTAAATGGACACCCAAGGACCAAAACCTGCGGTCTCCTGGTGGTTTAATTTTGACTCATACCCATACCCGTACTAGCGCACCACAAGAAGAAGCATACACCACAAGGGACGATCTACAGCAAGCATACCAGAAGGGAAACCACTGTCTGAGAGTCTGGCAGAAGGATCAAACGCGGATTTGCGAAGGCCCGCCTGAGTTGTCAGTGTCCACCTTATAAAAGAGCTCCGCAACATCTGCCTGAGCTCTCGCCAGAAGGTATTGTGGCTTTCCTTTATGGATACATCAACATAAGATATGGGCCCCCCCTTAGCTCTCAAATACTGCGGATGGACTTGAAATCCATTTCGCACCAGCTATGGATGAAACCCGATTTGAATACTGGTTGAAAAACCGTAGAAATCCCGTGCCGAATGAGAGCCAGCTCAGACTGCCGTTGTTCGAAGGGAGATGTCGCTGGGAATCCCGACATGCGGACTCATCATGAGCTTCGCGCTTCTCCCAGGATCGTTTCGCCCGTAGAAAATTGGTAGCCCTTCGATCAATTTCATTTTCTCTCCCTTGGTTACTCACTGTCCTAGCTCGTGGACTTGGTGGTAAATAGAGAGCTTGGACTCGTTTTGGCCAATCCACCGAGAAAGTGAGGTTACCTTGGGATAAAGGAGCCACAGGTTCTAAGGTACCTGTACGGTCCCAAATGGGAGCCCGGATTGTCAAACTTATGCAAGGAAACGCCGTGCCCTGTAATTCCCACATTCACCACATGACATGGACATGGACCTGGGCTGGGCTTAGGAGCAAGCCCCCCCCACCCCCCCGTCCCGTGGTCGTAGAATTTCATCAGCCTTTTGGAGGTATAGGACAGAAAAAGTCCAAACCTTTTCGTTTGCCACTAAATTGGTCCATTGGTCCAAAGTGTTCAAACTCAAAAGTTTAAAGTCCGAAACGGAACTCAGGGATTGAGTTTACAAGAAACGCTGCTCGAAGCGCCAACGCCGGGTTGCAATCCATTGCCTCCTCTCCTTCTCCCACTCTTGGCGCACCACGCTCTCATCGGTTTTCTTGCTCGCCTTCGTATTCAGACGTGTCGTAATCAAAACATGATATGGGCATGTCTTCTTGTGGGGCACCCCTTTTTTGGTGGTTGCAAAGGGAAACCGCAAGGAACATCACCCATTTTGGGTGTTCCCCTATGTAAGACCAACCCATATGTTCTGGGTTTCGGATCTCCTTTTGGCTTGTATGTACAGGTCCACGCAAAGAATCAGGGAGTATCTTGTAGCTTCCGGGATTCACAGTGCCATCCCCATGTCTACTTCAGGGATGTCGCGGTTGCTGCTACCGAGTGAGACAAATCTCAGATTCACTCCAATTGGTGGCTTGGATTCGTGGTTGGACCCCATCTCCGTTTGAAGCCAAAAGGGGAACCAAACAAACAAAACAAACGAGCTAAACAAAGAAACAAAGTAGCCACAAACAAAAACAAACAAACAAACAAACAAACAAACAAACAAACAAACAAACAAACAAACAAACAAACAAACATATAAACACATAAATGTACAAAGAGAGAAATATAGAACTAATAAAGAAAGAAAGAAAGAAAGAAAGAAAGAAAGAAAGAAAGAAAGAAAGAAAGAAAGAAAGAAAGAAAGAAAGAAACAAATAAAGACCGAAAGGCAGACTTAAAAACAAAAACAAGACATGAACAAATAAAGAAATAAAGAAATACATAAAGAGCGAACTAAAGAAATAATGAAGAAAAAACAGAACGACACAAGCAAGCATAGAGACACATATAAGTATTGTGTTAAAAAAAAAAAAAAAACAACAACAAATGAAAGACACACATAAAGAGATAAACATCAAAACAAGCCAACCAACGAAACAAAACAAACAAACAACAAAAGGACAAACAACACAAATAGTGGGTAGTTGGAGAAATTGCTTAGTTTTCACCGACAAACAAGAGGGGACCAAAGCCCCAAACCACATATTGACTACCATTAGCCGACACTGGTCAGTTCGTGTGCCCTAGGCCCCTCGCTTTAAGGGGGCGGGTGGGGTGTGCGTTTGACGAAACTCCAGGGCCAGGTGAGCAACTCTATACACACGCCACGGTCCCTTTGTGGAAGGCTGCTGGCGCTTTGCTTACGCGGCCCATGTTCTAGCTTACGGGACAGCGAGCATGTCGAGCTTCTATGCGTTGCTTACGCGTCCCCAGTTTGAGCGTTGCCCCACAAATCTTGCTTACGCGGGCGCCTTTTTGTATGCAACTGCCACTGTTCAAGATGACGTGAAGGCAAGCAGCTTGGCGCTGTTAATCTTTTCCGGGGTCTTCGCTCTGTAGCCCTCTCGCTCAGCGCCTTGGATTTGGCCGACTTTGCCTCCAGAGTTCGTGTTGCTTCCACTGCAGATCAAGGGTGGCTGTTGCAGCATCCAGTGGGCGAGCGGGCAGCCGTGCTAGGCCAGTCGCACAAACCTGACTAACTCGTCTACTTTCATCTGCTTTTGCGCCTGGACCTCTGAGTTTTGCTAAATCTGCAGTGACCCTTGTATTTTGGAAATCCAACGGCTGAGCCTCTGGCATTCAACAACCTTTGCCAGTCCCGAAGCAAACAAGCGCTTACGCCTTCGTAAAGCCGTGTTGGGCAAAACGCCTACGCGGGCCAAACCTTGGAACCGCTTTGCAGCCGTGGCGGTTTTTATCCCTGCCTGGTGCTTCCAGATCTACTTCTAGTAGGCAACCGGGGGGTTACCTATCATGTAAAACCTACGTAGAGGAGCCCTGGATCCCTGGTTACCTACGAAAGTGGGCAACTGGAAGCACTGGGCCTCTATTTCCAGGATTTCATCGATTCCAACTGCGAAGTGGGAAGTGGCCATCAGTACCCCGTTGAACATCTTCGATTTCTCACGGCACTGGGTCTAAACGAGTGCAAGAAAAACCCGGCCTGCGCGTTGTCCACGAAGATCCCCGTCATGATGTTCAGGCAGCAAAAGGCCTGGAGCCACGTTTTCAAGACCAAAGATCAGGGCTGTGGGAAATGGAATCCACTTCTGTGATACAACAAAAAGGGATTCCCAAAGACTAACCCCCCCATATAAAGGGGGAGATTCCCTTGTATCACGAAAAACCCCTTGATCCCACAACCCTGCCAAAGATGGTCTTGCGGCTCCGAAGATGTCCCTTCGCTCCCGCACAAGGGACCCCTTTTTGCGTGTCGAAGTTCCCGGCGCCGGGGTTCATGAGCATCCCTGTTGAAAGGTGGGATCTACCTAAATGTCAGCACGGGCGGCAGTCAATTTTTCTTGAGCCAGTATCATGTCGGTATGCCATTACCTATCAACACCCCCCGCTTTGCAGAGGTGCGTTGGTGAGAACAGTACTTTGTACATGTTTCCCCCCAGGCCTGAAGCAAAGTCCTCTGAGGTCGAGACAATGAAGACGTTGAGCCTCAGTGGGATAGGTGGCAAGCCATGGTGATATGAGGCCTCTTGCATCAATGGCCGCTGCAACTGCAATGCATTTGGACTTTTGCAGGAGCATGCCAATCGAATCGGCCGACCACGACTTCCGTCGGGCAAAACACATGTGATTTTCATGTGAATGCTTGAAACTGAATTCATACTGTTGCCGCAAACGGAGGTGATCTCACGACCACAGCTTCCGCTGGGCGAAACTGAAATGACAGCCGGTGGTGGCGGCCGTGGATTGACCTACGGCCGCAGCTTGCGCCGGGCGTGCAAACTTGGCACAGCTAATGTTGCGGCATCAATGGATGAAAGATAATAGTTTTCGAACATGACATCACCAATGAAAATTGAAAAGATTACCGCAACAAAAGCTAAACTTTTGTGATTGGTGCGGGTGCTCACCATCCCCACGGGCCCTGACGCCATTGATCCCATCCATAGGACCACCCGTAATTCCAAGAGCTCCAGTCCTGGCCCCCCTTGTTCTTGCCTTTGCCTTTGCCCTTGCCCTTTGCATAGGGCTCGGGGCGGATGGACCGGGTGATTGCCCTCCACTGGGTGTCCTTCGCCTCGACAGGATAGGTCCGCGTCCGGCCGGAGGAAAACTGCGGGATCTCGAGTTCGCCGGTGCTGATCGTTCCCTGGGAGTCGTACTTGACCCAGGAGGCACGAATGAAACTGATCATGACCTCCAAGATATTCTCGACGCTCCCTTCCGGGACGTATGATCCGCTGTGCCCAATGATAATTGGCACCTGCTTGCCCGGAATGAAACGATAGGCACACATAACCGCAAACTGCATGATGCTGTAGAATCTCGCATGGTGCGCAATGAAAGCCTCCGTTGACACGTTCAACTCGTGGGGATCGCGCTTGTTGGGGCTGGGAATGAACACCAACTTCGTGCCAGTGTTCTGAGACCCTCCCCGATCGCGTTCCTCCCGTGTGCGGCCAGGGTCTGCAACGACCGCTCGGGCGATCCTGCCTAGGAAGTCAAGGCTCTCAGGAGTCAACCCTTGCGTAGCGCAATTATAGGCATAGAACGGGTCGACCGAGAGCCGGTCGGACACCTTCTCGCAGCCCATTGCCAGCGCTTTGGGCGTCTTTGCCGTCTTTCTGAGTGACGCCTCGACGGAGATTCCTCCCCGCTTGTCGCCTTCCTTGAAGTGATGCTTGGAGCGGATCCACTTCCCACCGCCCCCCTGGAGATCTTCCAAGTAGAAGACCATGTTTTGGAGGGATGCGGTGTGCTCAAGGCGCACAACCTCGGTGGCGATCCGGGCATCCGTCCACTCGACCATATCTGACCGGCATTCCTGACACAAAAGGTAGCCGTCGATCTGCTGGTTGCCACACCTCTTGTTCCAGCACTTCACAACCGGAATTTTCATCATGGTCGTGAAGAAGAGGTCTTCCCACTTTGGCTCGGTCTGGTAGCGGTTCCGAAGGTTGTTCCAGCCGCGACCATACCCTTTCTCTCCCCTGGAGAGCTCGGGCACCCGTCGAAGGGTTGCAGGCGCAACCTGATATGTCGGCCCTGCAGGTCTTTCATTCGACTTCCCCTTCCGGGGAGCGAGCTCATCGATCGTGGCAATCTCAGTCACGGCACCAGGAAGCAATTTGCCGTTCTTCGTCCCCTCAACGACGGTCCGCCAATGCCTCCATGCCTTTTCTGCGGTCAGGGTGTTTTCACTTGTGAAGAAGTTCGGATTGACGTCCTGGGGGCCAGGCGCAAGCTCGGATGCCAACGCTTCGCGATACCTTTTGCGAAGCTCAGGGTACGCACGATTGAAATAGAGGAACTCATTCTTGCGGGTATGGAAAGCGTAAATAATATAGGCATTTCCAACCCAATCGGCAGACATAAACGCCTCATCGCTCGTGAAGAGTCGAATGCCGTCTTGCATCATAAGCTCCGTATCGAAAGCAATCGTGACGGGCCTTCCGGCTCGCGTTCCAGCCAGCTTCCTCATCTGTGCCTCCCAGGGTGGCGTGGGGTTGAAGTAGACGTGGGCTCTGCCTGTCGACTTCGGATAGCCCCCCGGGACCAGGCCATAGTTGAGGATGCTCTCGGCCGACCTGAGGTCACAGGTATGGTAGAGAACAGCTGGGAAGCCCCTGCGCCAGAGATCCGTCTGCTCGGGATGCCGTACCGCTCTCGGGTATTGCCCGCCCAAGTACTTTGCCGCAGTGAACTCTTCGTCAAAGGAATACAAATTCGTCAGGATCGCCTGCTCAGTGTATTTCCTGGTGAGCTCGTTGTGGTGTCCTTGCACGGCCCTCACCCGCAACGCCTGATACGGCAATCCTTTCCAGGATGCTTCCCCCAATGGAGGGGGCCCAACCATCACGCGGAATCTCCGGGTGTTGTTATTCCGGATGCAGATCATCACCTCCCAAGGCATGACATTGGCGATCCGGTCGTTCAAATGCCTGACCAGTGCATCGAACTCCACCGACAAATCGATTCCACGGAACGGTGGGTGTGGCTTCCCGTCTTTGAATGCCCCTCCCCGGAGGAAGTATGACATCTTTTTCGAGATAGCCACAAGCCTGTAGTCGCGGTCCATATTGACCTTGGGGACATGCCCCATATCCTCGACCTCGAGCCACTCGCACTGCTCCTCGGCCGGGATCTTCGTGTTGATCTTCCGGGTTTTGGCCCAGTCCTCCCAGAAGATCTTTTCCTGCTTCGGGTCCTTCTGCTTCTTCGACCGGGGTTCCCCCTCGGCGTTGCCAGGCGGCGCCTTGGCCTTTGCAATCCTCGGCATCGCCTTCACCTGGGGCTTGTCGGCCGAACCGGCAGCCGTGGGGTCCGACTCGTCTCCAATGTCGATGAAACCAGTCGACTGGGGTTCCCCCACAGCGCTCTTGGCAGCAGTTCCGCGCCTTGGTGGCGGCGGGGTTGGCGGTTGCTTGGATGTGCTGGTGCCCTCCGTCACGGACTCAAAAGCGACCGACTCCGCGGTGATCATGGAACTCATCCCTGCCGCCTCGGATTCGTCAGCTTCTGACACCAGTTCCAATGACACAACCGTCTCCTGGTCGAACAAATCTCCCTCCACGATGATGATCGACTGGCCTTCCGGCGCAGCGCGGTGCACTCCTGGGGGCAGGTTGGTTGGGTCCCACCCGAAATCCTGGGTGTCATCGCCCAGCAGGAGCCATTTGTCCTTGTCCTCATCGTCAGGCACAATGGACAGCCCGTGCTGTTCCGCCGTGTTGCCAATGTACTGTGACATGGCGATCTCGACGCGGTCTAGCTCGTCGTCGGAGTTCTCTTCTCCCTTCTCGACGACCTCGAGAATGATCTCAGATTCGTCGACCTTGGCCCCCCGCATCTCGATGGTCATGGCATTGTAGGACTCGTCCTCAGCCACTCTCATCCAGGCGGCCACGTCGGCGTCGATCTCCTCGCCCTCCTGGTCATGGGACCAGTCGGGCCTCTCCTCCATCGCAGCATACTCAATGGAGTGCCTTGGCCAGCTTCAAGCATGTGGGCCACCCAAACAGCACAGGATCCACCGGTTCTCCTTTCACATAGGGTTCAACTCTCCCGATAGCCGGGAGAGCATACCTGATCCGTTGGGCCAACAGCTGCGTGTTGATTGCCGCATGAAGGAATTTCGACACAACCTTCCGGTTGGCATTGCTGTGTGTCATGTGCACGTCATCGTATCTGTGAGCCAGCAATGTCATAACCGACGGGTCGATCGAGTCGATCGCCTTGATGCGGGTCCCATCGTCGATGTCCCCATCTGCAAGGTGTCGAAGGCAGCCGTTCATAGCCTCATTGTAATCGGACGTGAGGCCATAGTCCTCGGCGTCCGGGTTACTGACTCGATGAAAGTAATGTCCCGAATGCGTCCGAGCCCGACAGCCTCCTTGAAGAAGTCAAGCTGCTCAAACACGCGGGTCTTCTGAACCTTTGGCCATTCCGACGCGGCCTTCCGGCCCGCCTCCGTACGATTGAGCCTTTTCTCATGGATCCATCTGCACCCCACGTACCCATAGTTGCCGAAAACATCGTTTCCTCCCCACAACACGTAAATCGAAATGGGAAGCTGTTTGATGCCCTTCTGGGAGTTGTCCTCGGCGATGAATCGCACTTTGGCCTCCATGGTGCTATAAATAGCGTCAAGCCCTTTTCCCCAGTCCATGCCGTGGTAGATGTTGCGGACCCCCTTCAGCTGTTCGGCCTGAAGCAGTTCCGCCACATGGTGCTTGGTCGGGAATTTGTTGTTCGGCTCTTCGACCATGGCGCATGAAGAGTCTCCAATGACCAAAATGTCGACCACCTCTTCCGAGGGGCATGGCACAGCGCGAAATTCCGCTGGGGCATTGCGCCCTAGGACTTGGATCAAGTCCCAATAAGCCATTTCTGAGTTGCTCCCGGCTAGGGTTCCCCCCAGCATCACTCCCGGTGCCTGTTCCTGCGATGCGATAGTCCGTGCCACCGTGTCCGGTTCCGGGATAGTCGCAATCGCTGCCTGCGTTTGGAATTGCTTCATCAGCTTGTCCCATTCCA